AACAAAATATAACAATCAACAGTATACAGTTTAAAAGCATAAAAACATAATACACGATTCATATATCAATAGCAATCCAATTCATCTCCTGACTAAAATCGTGATCCAGTTTCGTCGTCCATATTGCCAGTCCTTTAATCATTACATTCATTGCATTGAGTTAACCAAATGCCTGCTCGAACATCCAGGTTTTTAATCTTCTTCGGAATACCATCAATGAGGGGGCTGATCTTACCTCCATGGGAAGGGCGTTCCATAGCCGCGGGGCCACCACAGAAAAGGCCCTGTCTCTCGTCCCCGCCAGCCGCACCTGTGAAGCAGGCGGGATAGAGAGCAGGGCCTCCCCAGAAGATCTTAGGGTCCTGGTGGGCTGATAGGCCGAGATACGTTCGGATAGGTAGGTTGGGCCAGAACCGTTTAGGGCTTTAAAGGCCAACGCCAGCACTTTGAATTGAGCCCGGTAGCAAATCGGCAGCCAGTGGAGCTGGTGCAGCAGAGGAGTTGTATGCTCCCTGCGCTCCGCTCCTGTTAGTATCATGGCTGCCAAGACGTTGGACTAGCTGGAGCTTCCGAGCCGTCTTCAAAGGCAACCCCACGTAGAGAGCGTTGCAGTAATCTAAACGGGATGTAACCAGAGCGTTGATAGGCCGAGATACGTTCGGATAGGTAAGTTGGGCCAGAACCGTTTAGGGCTTTAAAGGCCAACGCCAGCACTTTGAATTGAGCCCGGTAGCAGATCGGCAGCCAGTGGAGCTGGTGCAGCAGAGGAGTTGTATGCTCCCTGCGCTCCGCTCCTGTTAGTATCATGGCTGCCCGTTGGACTAATTGTAGCTTCCGGGCTGTCTTCAAAGGCAACCCCACGTAGAGAGCGTTGCAGTAGTCTAGGGTCCTGGTGGGCTGATAGGCCGAGATACGTTCGGATAGATAAGTTGGGCCAGAAGCGTTTAGGGCTTTAAAGGCCAACGCCAGCACTTTGAATTGAGCCCGGTAGCAAATCGGCAGCCAGTGGAGCTGGTGCAGCAGAGGAGTTGTATGCTCCCTGCGCTCCGCTCCTGTTAGTATCATGGCTGCCGAACGTTGGACTAATTGGAGCTTCCGAGCCGTCTTCAAAGGCAACCCCACGTAGAGAGCGTTGCTTAGGGTCCTGGTGGGCTGATAGGCTGAGATACGTTCGGATAGGTAAGTTGGGCCAGAACCGTTTAGGGCTTTAAAGGCCAACGCCAGCACTTTGAATTGAGCCCGGTAGCAGATCGGCAGCCAGTGGAGCTGGTGCAGCAGAGGAGTTGTATGCTCCCTGCGCTCCGCTCCTGTTAGTATCATGGCTGCCGAGCGTTGGACTAATTGGAGCTTCCGGGCCGTCTTCAAAGGCAACCCCACGTAGAGAGCGTTGCAGTAGTCTAAACGGGATGTAACCAGAGCGTGGACTACCGTGGCCAAGTCAGACTAAATAAAGTTTTGTTGTTGTTGTTTGTTGTTGTTATTAAGTACAAATCAGGGCTGGTCCTTCTTAGGCCCCTTCCACACATATAAATAAAACCCCACATTACCTGATTATATATGGCAGTGTGGACTCAGATAACCCAGTTCAAAGCAGATAGTGTGGGATTTTCTGCCTTGATATTCTGGGTTATGTGGCTGTGTGAAAGGGCCCTTAGCTTCCAAGATCCGATGAGATCTGGTGCTTTTAGGGTATTTAGGTATTATTGTTGTGGTACTATTTACACACCAGTCACAAGGATTTAGGACATATATAGACTGAGTTAAATCCATCTTTAATCCCAGCTAGAGTAGACCCATTAAAATGAATATACCTTTATATTAAAATAATATAAGCCCCATGGATTTCAATAGGGACAAAAATTAGGTTTAGGCATTTACTCTTACAAGTTAATTATTTATTAAAAGAGAGAATAATTTATTTTAAATGATAAGTATGAACAAATGTATGCCAAAGAATTCAACATGTGTGGGTTTTCTCATATTTATCTCTGACAAGCAAAAGGTGCTGGAAAAATTGTCAAAGATTATGCAAACAGTTATAGGACCATGCAAATTGGCACAATTATACAATGAGTAATGATATAAAAGGGTTAGAAAACATCACAATCCACTTTTGCCAAAATGACAGCGTTCAGGCAGTGCGTGTTCTTGGCACTTTTCTTTGGTTGGGCCTTTGCTGAAAATAAGCTGGTAAAAATCCAAGGTATGAAAATAAGGCATAATTTTTAAAGCCATAAATTATTAATACGTAACAGGTTTTAAATCACTATATCTCTTGAAATGCTAACAATATAAGTTAATGAAAATTCAGTTTAACAGCTCTAATTAAATAAATGTTTTAGTGGTTTGAGAAAAGGATTAATGTTATCACTGAAAACAACTCCGAGGGCAGCTGAATTAACCTGGGTTGTGTCTTGAAACATAAAAATAATAGATGGAAAATGAAAATGTAGATGTTATTTTTAATATGTGATGTTTTAATAGTGTTTAATAATTGTCATATTTGAAATTTTATGGAGAATGCTGGGAGAGTTTAATGGTTAGGAATTAAGATCCAGGAATAAGGAAAGCATATGATATTTGACCATCACAATCCAAATCCAAAAAGATGCAAACATAGATATATTATATACCAAATTATATTGGAAGTTTGATCAAATCTGGCTGAGCTGAAATGTTTAGCCCAAGATTATATACATTTACTGGATTAACCAATTATTATTCACTTTCTAAAAACAGGATATAGTCAATGTGGTGACCGATTGGTAAAGAGTTATGGAGCACTGCCATTTTCAGCTGGTGCAAATGAAAATTGTACCTGGCAAATAGAGAGAGAGATGACTGCAAATAACAATAACAAAAATGAAACTATCCGATTAATCTTCTCTTATTTTGAGTGAGTATCCTTTCAGTGGTTTGTGAGAAAAGAAGCAATGTCCGATAAACTACCATATTTTCCGGCGTAGTAGACAACTGGAGGTATAAGACAACCTCCAACTATTCCATCTAAAATTGAGTGTTTAGGACAGGGGTCCCCAAACTTTTTGAACAGAGGGCCGGGTCGCAGTCCCGCAAACTGTTGGGGGGCCGGATTATAATTTGAAAAAAAACATGAATGAATTCCTATGCACTCTGCACATATATTATTTGCAGTGCAACCCCCCCCCATCAAAAAACAAAGACCCACACTTCTATATAAATAAAAATGTAATGTTCGTTTGTGGGATTAACAGAACTCAAAAACCACTGGACGAATTGACACCAATTTTAGACACAAGACACCTAATAACCCAATGTATGTCCTTCACACAAAAAATGATTTTGTCATTTGGGAGTTGTAGTTGCTGGGATTTATAGTTCACCTACAATCAAAGAGCATTCTGAACCCCACCAACGAGGGAATTGAACCAAACTTGGCACACATTTCTCCCACGACCAACTGAAAATAGTGGAAGGGTTTGGTGGGCAGTGTCCTTTGGTTTTGGAGTTGTAGTTCACCTACATTCAGAGATCATTGTGGACACAAACAATGATGGATCGGGATCAAACTTGGCACAAATACTCAATATGCCCAAATGTGAACACTGGTGGAGTTTGGGGGAAAATAGAATCTTGACATTTGGAAGTTGTAGTTGCTGGGATTTATAGTTCACCTACAATCAAAGAGCATTCTGAACCCCATCTAAGGTGGAATTGAAGCAAACTTGGCACACAGTTCTCCCATAACCAACAGAAAATACTGGAAGGGTTTAGTGGGCAGTGTTCTTTGGTTTTGGAGTTGTAGTTCACCTGCCTCCATCAATCACTGTGGACTCAATTATAGATCTGGACCAAACTTGGCACTGATATTCAATATGCCCAAATGGGAACACTTGTGGAGTATGGGGGAAATAGAATCTTGACGTTTGGGAGTTGTAGTTGCTGGGATTTGTAGTTCACCTACAATCAAAGAGCATTCTGAACCTCATCAACAATAGAATTGGGCCAAACCTTTCCAGAGCAGCGCGGGAGGGAGAAGCCTGTGGAGGAAGAAGCGCTCTCTGCTCTCCCGCGGAGAACAGAGAGCGCAGCAGAGCGGACGCCATTCCTCTGTAAGAGACGATCCCTGGTGGCAAGGAAGGCGTCCGCAAATGGTGGAGGCGGCGCCGGGTGGGCGTGGCCACGCCCACCCACCCGGCGCCACCTCCACCATTTGCGGACGCCTTCCTTGCCACCAGGGATCGTCTCTTACAGAGGAATGGCGTCCGCTCTGCTGCGCTTCTCCCTTCACAGGCTTCTCCTTCCACGGGATGGAGAAGCCTGTGGAGGGAGAAGCGCTCTCTGCTCTCCCACGGAGAACAGAGAGCGCAGCAGAGCGGGCGCCATTCCTCTGTAACAGAAAATCCCTGGTGGCGAGAATGGTGGAGGCGGCGCCGGGTGGGCGTGGTCAAGCGATGCTGGCTTCCCTGGCCCGGAAGCCTGCCACGCCCACCCGGCGCCGCCGCCACCATTTTCGGACGCCTTCCTCGCCACCAGGGATTTTCTGTTTCAGAGGAATGGCGTCCGCTCTGCTTCTCTCTCTGTTCTCCGCGGGAGAGCAGAGAGCGCTTTTCCCTCCACAGGCTTCTCCATCCTGTGTGGAGGGAGAAGCGCAGCAGAGCAGACGCCATTGACGGCGGCGAGGGGCTTTGGACGGGCCGCGCGGCGAGGGGCTTTGGATAGGCCAGGACAGGCCGCGCGGGCCGGATAAAGGCCCTTGGCGGGCCGCATGCGGCCCGCGGGCCGTAGTTTGGGGACCCCTGGTTTAGGATATACTTGCTGTATAAGACCACTCCTCTTTTTTGTAGTAGCTTGAGAGAGCTTTCTTCTCTTTGGGCTTGAGGGTTGTCTTCTGTCGGAGGCTCATGGTGAGAGAAAGCCAGCATAGGCCTGCGGTGGCAGCGGATACATGAAACTGTAATTGCAGATCAGATTCATCATGATCACGTCACTGCAATAATTAACTGGATCTTTTTCTTCCAAAACTTGATCCTTCATCCACATGTGACAATGAAACTATTGAAGTGTATGATGGTCCTTCAACAGCTGCACCTCTCCTGGGGCGAGTGTGCAATAGCCACGAATCTGTTCCAGTATTTCATTCAACTTCCGGAACCCTAACATTTCGCCTATTAACGGACTCCACAGATTTCACAAGGAACGTGTTTGCATTTTATTACTACATTACACCTGATTTATGTAAGTTATCATCAAACCGACTTCTTTTTGAGAACCATTCACAAGTCATAGTTCTGAAACCGAATGAAACTTATATGAACATTAATCAGATTATAGGCTTGGGCGATTAAAAAAATGGTTTTAAACCATGTCCAAAGGTAGGGGGCGCTAGTGGTTTAATTCTAAAGTCACTTACAATTTTTTCCCAAAAAAGGTTGAAACTTCTGAAACTTCCGAATTGATTCATTAATGGCAGACGCACGTGCACCATAGGAGAAAAACAACAGTGGCACTAGGAGCACTTCAGAGGTATCTCCCAGCCTAATTTGTACACCAATTCTGATGGGACTTGCTATAGTGGTAAAACACATCCTCCTCTGTTAGCATAACAAATTTCAAAATGTTCAGATGATCTGTCGATTTTAAAGAATTTTTTAAAAAACTGCAGAAATTATTTTTTTAAGAAAAAAATAAAAGAGCGACCTCCTTGAATTTTCTCAGGAATGACATAAGGTAATAGGCAATCATTCCCCCGAACTTTCAGATGTATTAATACATCTACTGTTTTTTTGGTAATTTTTAAAAGTTTTGACTAACTTCTTTATTACAAAATTGAATAAATTTTTCATGCCAGAAAGCCCATACAAAAATGCATAAAAAGAACTGTTCCCCTTTGGAAATGTAGCATCAAGTCCCCAAAACACCACCCAGAAAGCAGAGAGAGAGAGGAAACGCACAACGAAATGGCTTGGGTATCTGAAGTCCTCGGGCAGCTGAAGTCCAGCAACACTGGGAAATGTAGCGTCAAGTCCCCAAAACATACTCCAGAAAGAAAAGAGACACCGCAATAAAAAATAGCTAAGTGACCAAAAAAGAAGTTTCCAAAAATCACTTTATTAATTTCTCACTCTCCCACCCTCCCAAACAAACTTTCCTTCTTCTTTTTCTTTTTCTCTTCTCTGTCTCTCCCTTCCTCTCTCAAAAACTTCCCTTCCTTTTCCCATCTGCCTTTCTCCCTTCTCCAAACCTCCTTTGGCTCCTCCAATCCCTTTCCACCCATGCACCCACCCAACAGAACAGCAGCAGCAGCAGCAAAACTGAAGCCAACCTCCCTCATCCCTTTCCTGGGTTGGAATGAGCCTTCCAGACATGTGCTTGAACAGCAATGGCTGCCAGACACTGGCAACCCCTCCCCAAAATGTAAACCCTGATTGGTTGGGAGGCGAGCAGCTTAGACTTCTCCTCTTAGCAGGCTTACTTTCATTAAAAACTCTTCATCATAGTTCTGACTAGACTTCCGAGCCACTGAAATCAATGGCCCAAGGTGAGTCGAAACTATAGAGGACTTCCGACTTACAGAAATGTGGCGTAAGTCCCTTCGGAAGTCAAAACCTTCCAAGTTTTTTTCCAAATTCTGCCACATCTAAGCGAACCTACCCATGTCTACCAGATTATAGTTTGCTTGGGGTTTTAAAAGACTGATTTAAAAATAACTACCATCAGTACTGTGAATTGGGGGAAAAATCTTTACAGCTGTTACACTGACACCAAACTTTTGTGGGGCCCTTTTTTATGAGCTTCAAATACAAAAGCCTCCCAGATCAATCACAGAGGTTGACCCAATCAGGCATAATTTAGTGAGACACTTGCCCATCATTCTTGGCCAGGACTAGTAAAGTCAATGCTTAAGATGCCACGTTACTTATTAATATTAGTGTGCTACAAGTCAAGAATGTCATAGATGCCGTAACAGACAAACATACAACCACCCCTTTGTAATGTGTATGTCTTAAATCATTGTTTTATGTTAGTTTCCTCAATGCATATACAAAAGCATTCAATTTTGGGAAGGATTCTCAAAGCTCTGCCTCAGCAGCAATATAAGAATTCCAGCTAGGAGAGCTAAATTTGAGATATATTTTATCTAAACTGTGCTTCTTCTAGGTCTACTGATTCTCATGACTACCCAATCATGAACATCCAGGATAGGAAACCCAATCAGAGGGTATATATTAAAAATACAGTACTTTCCTAGTGCTGATTATAGACCGCCTTCCATGTTTAATAGAATTAGGGGCAAAGGATCCCCAGAAAGTGAAAAACCTTTAATAAAAAATCACTACTTTTTTTTACCTGAAAGATCATCTCACTAGGAATTCCTTTGATGTCCAGCACAACTCTGTGGTTAATGATAGAATTACACTGAAGTACTTCAAGAGTCCTAGAGAGAACATTAGAATCAAATCTGTGAATAATTAACAAAAGCCAAACCCACAAATAACAGTATTATCGACTAGACTTATCTGCATAGCTTTGGGTTAGAACGAATCAGAAAATTCAGAGGATAGTTCTGAATTGTTTTGGCTTGTCACTACACATTTTGTCTTACTAAAATGTAAGTATCTACATTAGGGAAAGGGAAATGTGGTAGACTCTAGATATTGGTGGACTCCCCCCCCCCCAAATGATTTCCCATTTTGTCTAAAATGATAGAAGTTACATTCCTGTATTGGGAAGACTGAATGGCATTGTTATTTTCAATGCCAATACTCCTCCTTCGTGGTTCCTATCGATTCCTATGCATAAAGGAAATGCTTTCAAAACAGTTCCCATGTAACAAAAGTTGTACTGGATGGTGATCTTAATCCATTTTGAATGGCAAAGGCCGCATTTAGAAGAAGATAAGCATGGAAGCCTTGCCCTGAATGTACTTACCAACATTACTTGAGAGTGCTGCTTCTTCTGTTGATGCTTTGGGGTTGTTCTTTTGCTTTGCTGCCATTGTCATTGGTTGTGTCATCCCCGGCCATTTCTCTACTTCAGTGATTGGAGCCTATGCTCTTGAGTTTCAAAATGCCACTGCAAATAGCATGGTGTTTAGAAGTTCTTAAGCTCCTACACCACCAATGGAAGTAGGAATGCGTAAGAAAGAAACTTGGCTATTCTTAAAAACCTTTGCTAATTAATGTATATCTTTTGAAAATGTCTTCTTTTTAAAGCTACCATTAAAGACTGTGGAGGCTACCTTACTGGCCCAGATGGATCATTCACGAGCCCCAACTACCCCAAGCCACATCCTGAATTTGCATACTGTGTCTGGCATATAGAAACAGAACCAAATACCAGGATAAATTTAACTTTCAGTGAAATTTTGTGAGTAGATGTTAACGTTTTACTAAATGTGATTTAATATAAATAATAATTTTTGGCACTGGATTCCAAATTTCTTTAAAGGGGTTGTGAAAACAAGCAGGACAGAGGTTGGAGCTGTCCCATCTAATTTACTTATTTACTTGACTTATTCTATAACCTGGTTTCTTTAAGGACTAGGAGCAAAAGCCATTGATGACGTGATTAAGCTGGTATTGGTGAAGGAAGATTTTAAAAGCCATGAATAAAAACATACAGAATATTCTACAAAGAATATTTGGCCAAGAGAATTAGGTTGGCCTTTGATGGGAATGCTAATTGTCCTTCAAAGGAAAGGCAAATACCTCTTCTGGGAGGCTTAAAATTAATTGTTTGTGTGCCATCAAGTCACCTGTGAATTTCATAGGATTTTCTTAGGCAAGGAATACTCACAGGTGGTTTTCCAATTCTTTCCTCTGGAAATACAGCCTTTTTATATTGTGTTGTGTATCTGTTTGTTTTAAATTCTTTATGATGCTGTTTTATGATTTTTAATGTGCCATATTTTAACTATGTTGATCAGGCTTGTCCCCATGTAAGCCGCCCCAAGTCCCTTCAGGGAGATGGAGGCAGGATACAAAAAATAAAGCTATTATTATTATTATATTATGGAACCTGGTCTTCACTGGCAGTCTCCTATCCAAGTACATTTCAAAATGTTAGAGGAGGCTAGAAGGACTCACTTTCTTGGCTTGATTAGAAAAGGATTTGGTTTGTGGTATTCATAAGAAATTATCCTATTTTGTGTTCATATTTTTGGTTTCTTGTATGTAACATTACTTTATAACTTGGGAAAGAAAGAAAAGAAAAAAAGATGGATTTAAACAGGGCTCTTCTGAAAACCTAATTAACTTATTGGGAACCCAGTTTATGAACTGCAGTATTAATCGTTCTGCATGATTACAAAAAATAAAAATAAACCTGTGGTGGGAGAATGACAGGCTGTATCATTTATTGCCCCGTACCGTAGGAATGGTATGAATACTAAAAAGAGGTTTGGAACAGCATAGACTCCAGGGGAAAAGGATAATGATGGTAGAATTGTATTTTCTGCTTTTTGGAGTACAGCTTCCAGGTTCTCCATCAGCAGAGCCCCTGGCCTTGCTAACTGAGGGATTCTAGTTCAAAAAGTAGTTTTTCCAACTCTTGGGGGAAGAACTTGTACATATATTATTCTTACTACAATAGGTATGTTTACGCACACCTCATAATTGGAGGAGAGGCAAAGGGTATTGTCACAAGCAAGGTTGTTTTTTAATGATTCAATGCAATTCTACTCTTTTCTGATTGCAGTTTAGAAATAGATCCTGAATGCAGGTTTGATTTTCTTGCGATTTACGATGATGCAACCACGGACTCGGGTTTAATCAAACAAGTATGTGGTCGTACAACTCCAACATTTCAGTCTTCTTCCAATGTCATGACTGTCGTACTATCAACAGACTATGCCAATTCATACAGGGGCTTTTCTGCTCATTATACAAGTATTGCAACAGCAGAACCCAACAGTAAGTCTCATTTCTTTCAGATGACTTTTGACATTTTTTTTGTTTCTAGGCAAAGAGGTAGAAGTTTAGTTGCAGTTTTTCCAATGCAGTAATGGTCTGTACTACATTTGTGCAAATCATACTCCTGAAGTATGTAAGTATTCAGCTTTGAGATAGCCAGGTGTTTGTACACATAGCTTTAGTGTGTGTGTGTGTGAGCATGAAAGTGACAGAAAAAAGAGACCTACTTTTTCACTTTTCTTATGTAACAGATGATAATGAAAAATATCTACTTACTGGGTTGTTGTAGGTTTTACGAGCTGTCTGGCCATGTTCTAGAAGCATATGCCATACAGCCCGAAAAACCTACAACAACCCATTTATTCCAGCCATGAAAGCCTTCGACAATACAATATCTACTTATCTTTTGTCAATAAAAATCTATGTGGTTGAATTGACATCCTAATAATGTCCTTTAATACTGCTGAAAATTAAGGCAGCACTGGGATAAAGGGGACATTAATGAAGAAAAGATGGTACTATAGATATACATAGTTATTTCTCGATTCCCTCCCCCCCTTTTTTTTCATTGCCAGTATCCCTCAACTGTTCTTCTGACATGATGACAGTGATTCTCAGCAAATCTTATTTGGATTCACTTGGCTACAATGGAGATGATTTGACTCTGAATGACGCGGCTTGCAGGCCTATTACATTAAACCCAGTGACATTTTCTTTTTCACTCAACAGCTGTGGAACAAGAAAAATGGTAAAAGGGGAAAAAAAGAATGATTTGAATCTATTTACTGTGAACTTTCCCCCCAAACACTTAAAAGTCCAAGTTCATAGTTTGCTCCAAATCCATTTTTTAATTTGTCAGTGTCCTTGAAGTTTATTATGTGAAGCTAACCCTATTGTTTGAATCCTTAATCTGGTCCATTCAAGACTTCTCTACTCAATTAAATGTCTCAATGACATCCAAGATTGAATGAACAGAAGTTTTTCATCTTCTGCTCAGCTCCATAATGTGTCTCAAGAAAACAGACACAAGTGTAGTTAATAATAAGCATAACATTATGAAGGTATTTTGGAAATGTGAATGTCACAGAAGACAGAGCCAAAAACTACTCAATTCCTTAGTTTAGAAAAGATAATAATTAATGAAGCATGAAATGTATTCATAACAACACTTAAGATCTGGTGATATTGGTGGGAATTAAGATTTAAAGCCATAGGCTCATGGATTCTGATATAAGCCAGTAAGATTGCAGGCCTTTGACCAGTTATCATTGCATAACTGGTTCACTGTTAGCAAAAATCAGCTTCATTAAATGAATAAGTTGTGCATTTTTCACTATTTGATTGTTTACCTTCAAATACATTTTCTATATTTAATTTTAAAATGCTGTTATTGTTGTGGTTGTTGCCTTCAAGGCTGGATCCATACAGGCCTTTATCCCAGACCCAACCTTGTTAAAAAAATGTGAATGTTTCTGGGGGCCTGTCCTCACCCACCCCAGCAAGCATGTACTTTCTGGGGTGGGTGTCCAGACGTTCTCTCAGGACTAGCATGAGAGAATGTGTAGAGGCCCTACCCCCTCCCACCAAGCCCCCAGACTCCTTAGAAAAGTCATAAAAACTTACCCATCCTCCATTAGAAGCCTTGGCCGACTCTCCCAGCAAGAAGAAATGATGCGCCAGGAGAGCAGGGGGAGGGAAGTGCTTTTTCTCCCTGCTTTTCTGTTTTCCTGGTTTGTAGCAAATTAATTTGGGGCTGTTCAGAATGTTGTCTGTATAGCCCCTCCTTTATTGCAGGAGTTCCCACAATACAGGTCCTGTCTGGATGGGCACCAAGTCATTTCCAACCTTTGGTATTTTTAAGGTGAACCTATCAAAGGGATGTCTTGGCAAGATTTGTTTTGAAAAGGTTTAGCATTGTCTTCCTCTGAGGCTGAGACACTGTGACTTGGTGAAGGTTTCCATGGTCAAGTGGAGATTTGAATCCTGCTTTCTAGTCATAGTCCAGTGCCCAAACCACTTCATAATGCTGGCTATTTATTAAATGTTGAAAAAGCTGAGCTGAAAAGATACAGCTATTCTTTAAAAATTTGAAACAAAACATGTCTATATAATGCTAGCACATGGTAGCTGTGATGCTGCTTTTTGTTCAATGATCAAATAAATGATAATGTTTTAAAATGTGAGCTAAAATACATTGTTACGATATAATTTCATATTTTATTCCTGTCTTGCGTAGAATGAAGACCATGGCATCTCCTATAGCAACACTATCACTGCCTCCCCCACTGGTGAAGTGATCACCCGCCAAAACTATCTTGAAATCACTGTGAAGTGTATCATGGAAAATAATTCCACAGTAGAAGTCATGTATAATACAAAGCATGTAGGTGGCATTAATGAAAGTGCCCAGGGCAGATATGACCTCAACATGTCCTTCTATACATCTGAGTTTTTCACCACACCAGTACTTGAGTCTCCATACCAGGTAGACTTGAATCAAACTCTCTACATCCAAGTAAACCTACATTCCTCTGATGCCAATCTGTTAGTGTTTGTGGATACTTGTACAGCATCACCGAACCCTGATTTGGAATCACCAAAATATGATTTGGTCAGAAGTGGGTAAGTAACACAACTTTTCAATGAATATAATTTTGAGTAGTCAGTGGAATTACATAGTTCCTCCCCACAGAAAAAGAAAATCAATATCGACAAAATAATACCTGCAATCATAAGTTCTAGATCATGTATTAAAAGCAGGGTAATCCCCAAACAAACACTGTATCAAGAATAATTCTACAAGGGCTAGTGTGTAGTGGTTTGAGCACGGGCCGGTGATTTTGGAGACCAGGGTTCAAATTCCTCCTCAATCATGGAAACTCACTGGACAACCATGGGATGTCACACTTTTTCAGTCTAAGAGGAAGACAAAGGCAAATTCCCTCTGAACAAGAAAACCCCATGAAATTTGACTTTCCTATTTAGGTAAGTCAATTTTTTTTCGTGTCAGGAGCGACTTAAGAAACTGCAAGTCACTTCTGATGTGAGAGAATTGGCTGTCTGCAGAGACATTGCCCAGGGGACACCCGGATGTTTTACCATCCTGTTGGAGACTTCTTTCATGTTCCTGCAAGAGAAGCTGGAGGTGACAGACAGGAGCTCACCCTGCTCCTCAGATTCAAACCGCTGACCTTTCAGTCAGCAGTGCTGCCGGCACAAGGGTTTAACCCACTGCACCATTGGGGGCTCCTAAACACAAATGACTTAAAGTTATACAACCACATGTTCAGATATATAAGCTTATGTTGGTGAATATTTCAACAATACATTATCATTCAAGAAAAAGTATTAGAAGTCAGTCTGCAAATTGCTTGGCAGAAATTACTGCTGGCAACAAATTGACTTCTAGAAAAGGCAAATGTCAAATGCAGTATGCCTATATTAGAGGTTAGCAAAATGTAACCTGTGTGCCACATGAATCTTTCAGAAGCATATTTTAGAGCCTCTGTTCATTAGACTATCAGTTGTATTGTTTGCAACACTAGGACTTGTTTTTGCTCCATGCTGTTTGGAGAAAACAATAAGAACAAGCACACATTGCAGACTCCTGCTGAAAAGATATGGAAATTACTTTGTGATTATTGAATAGGGGTATTTAGAAATTGACTATGTTAATGCAATTTGGGAAATCTATTGCAGCTGTGCTAAAGACAGCACCTATGCAGCCTATCCACTTCTTGAACATTACGGAAGGTTCAGGTTCAACGCCTTCAAATTCCTGAGGAGCGATTCATCTGTTTACCTGCGCTGTCAAGTTCTAATTTGTGACAGCAAAGATTATAATTCGCGCTGCATGCAAGGCTGTGCCTTTCGCCATAAGAGAGACATTTCTTCCTACAAATGGAAAGGAGAAGTTATGGCGGGACCTTTCCGCCTGAAGCAAGAGCATGGTCCTATGGGCCGCTCAGGTAGGGATACCATAAAATGAGTCTTACTTTGTTTTAGATGCACTCATATATGCAGATGTAACTAGTTTGACTAACACTGATTTAGAAACTTTTTCTGTAATTTTATGGTTAATATTCTGCAAGAGGGTATGCTCTGAACATGCCAAAACACTTCATTTTTTCCTCATTGCTCCTTCAAAGTAAGGTCACAGCACTTTCTCTTATCATTTTGAAGAAAAATAGAGCCAAAAGAAGGTATTTGCAAGGTGATAGGGATTCTGAAGTTATTTTGGAGTATGTTGGGATGTGATTTTCGGCTGATTTTTTCCTGAAATTATATTTTTTTATACTGCTTGAGATCTTGCCAGACACACATTCCTGCTGAACACAATATTCTAAGAGGTAAAAAAGAAAAGCCATTGTCGGCAGCCTTCACGAGTAGCAATTCTCTCTTCAGACAAAGCACTCTTCGTGTCCCACATTATTTTGCCCTGCCTCCTCCAAAAGTTTACAAAAACATGAAGTATCACATCACTTTCTTTCAAATATGGGGGGATTCAGGGGACTTTGAAACCCATAGGTGCTGTACATTACCTGCTCTTCTTGAATCAGATTAAGAATTGACAATAGGCAGTTTCTCCTCCTCTATTCAGTTGACTGAATAGGCATACTGTTGAGTTCATACAGGATTTATGTGTATGCGCAATGTATGACAAAGAAAATGGAAGTCTGTAAGTCACAAGTAAATTGTCCTTTTTTGTGACTCTGGGACTCTACCAGACATCCAACCCAGCAGAACACAGTATTTCAGATAGAGAGCTGCCACCCTCTGGAGTCTTCAGGAATGACGAGTCTTCTTTTTGACTAGATACACTTTCTTTTGTGAAACCTCTCTAAAAGTGTTTTTAGAAAATCCAGGTCCTCACCTCAGGATGAAAATATGGCCCCCAGACAACCTTCCAGGCTTTGCCCTTTGTGTACCACATTTTAACTCTCCATTTGTCTTTTGCTTTCTATATGCAGATGTGTCCATTCCAGTTTATCCTGAAGAAAGCCAAAACGCACAATCCAATGGCATGTACATCCTTACAGTTGCTGTGCTGGTTATGAATGCTGTTCTCCTGGTTGGTTTGGCAGTAAAACATCTCATCAGTCAAGAATCGGGATACCGATATCAGAAAGTGCAGGGCTATTAATATGGCTTTTCAGTTAGCTGTACTTTTCATCTCCGTCTTTATAAACATGCAATTAAAGACTGTATTCTCTGTGCCCTTCCCTTAAATACTAGTTACTAAAAATAGATAAATTGTAGTAGACAGGATTACTGCAAAAATGCTGGCTGTAAGTTTAAGGAATATATATATAGGGGGGGGGGGAAGCATCTGGCCAATAAGCAATAAAAGACTTGGACCTAAATTATCATGCTAGAAAGCCAAGAAAATATGCATGGATCTTAACATCCATTCAGACCTGATTTAATATTTTAATGAACTTTATAGAAGTAAATTTTCCCATCTACTCCTCTCTTTTCTCAACCCTATGTCATAATCTACTATTCTCAGAAGTGCTCCCCACAACTCTCCAGTGAAGTTTCTCAGGAAACACAAATGGGGAGCTAAAGACAGGACACTTTCCTTCCCCAAGTTCAATGTATTTCATCTTCTACTTTTATTGTTCATACATTCAGTCGCTTCCGGCTCTCTGTGAGTTCATGGACCAGCCCACGCCAGAGCTCCCTGTCGGCCGTCGCCACCCCCAGCTTCTTCAAGGTCAAGCCAGTCACTTCAAGGATAACATCCATCCATCTTGTCCTTATCAGCCCCTCTTCCTTTTTCCTTCCATTTTCCCCAGCATCATTATCTTCTTCAAGCTTTCCTGTCTTCTCATCAAGTGGCCAAAATACTTCATCTTTGCCTCTACTATCCTTCCCTACAATGAGCAGCCGGTTTTTAAATATGAGCGTATTAATAGCAGCTTGCTGCTATATAGTGTTTTAAGCCTATGAATTCAGAAGTAAGCAGCCCTTCTCCAACAGAAACTCTGCCAGTTCCTGTAGCAATACTATGGAAATTCCCATCACCTTATGAATAATACTGATTCTGGTACAATATGTTTGAATATGCAGGGAATATTTAGAAAAGAGATGAGTGGAAACTGATCAAGTAGTTTGTTGTCATCTGCAGATATATCTTTGGAAAATTCTACAGTAAATAAACCATGCTACATCAAGAGGTCTTGGAATAATAGACTAATAATAAATAAATCAAATTTGATTCTTAATGGGTTTTAACACAATCCTATACAAAAAAGTGAAAGAAAATAGGTGGGTATTAACAAAGCTGCAAATTGCTTTATTTAGAGTGTTTCTCAAGGATTCAATACAGTATTGACAAATATCCCAGAAAAGTAACCTTTTCAATGTTTATGAATAAATAAGTCATAAGCAGATGTTAAAAAATTCCCTCAACTGTAAAAAAATATTGGTGTCTTTTGTAAGTTACCGATACTCAAACACTAACATTAGTGTACAACACTGACAAAGTTACAGTAAACAAACAAATATGAATCCCAAGGTTTTCAAATATTTACAAGCTCCAAAGCCTGAAGCTTTGAAAAGCTTGCAAAATAAATACTTGATTTACAGAACACTGAGGTTAAGGTCTTCCTTTTAAAAAAAAAATACCTACCTCTTCCCATCTGTGTGTTCTTCCCTGAAAAGTTCGGGTTCTTGTGCAACAATACTTTGAACCGGAACCAAATCCATTATTGCAGCAATTTTATTATCAACATGTTCTTGTAGTTTCTGCATATGCAGATCAATATAGTCCATCAATCTCTTCTCCATCAGTTCCATCTTTTTCGAGATGATCTTTTCTAAGTGCAGGCAAACAGGCTGTTGATCTATACTGCAGGAAACAAACACAGAAGAAATAAGTTGGACAGACCAACAGGCTCAACAAGCATGGCACTTACGTGATAGGACGGCCTCACTGGAATCCCAAGGTTTTTAAATATTTACAAGCTCCAAAGCCTGAAGTATGCAACATTGTACTTTCTCTGATACTGGAAGTAATAAATAGCTAACATGAATCACAGCCATGATTATCTTCTTACATGACAGTCATTGTGGCAGCAATCCAAATGACTGCTTTTCATCTTCTTCAAGTCCTAAACTGTTTGGTCACCTTTTCATTTTGTAGTCATTGACAATTATATCCTCTGTGATTTTGTGCCACTGTCACATAAAATTTGACAACACAAATACAGGCAGACCCCAGTTACAAACATCTGACTTACAGATGACTCCTAGTTACAAACATGTGTCTCCCCTTCCTGTCACAAAATCTTGGTCTAAGCCAAAACATGTCTGTATCGCACCCTTCTCTTTCCTTTTCTTCATGTCTGTATCTCCCCTGCATCCCTTTCCCTTTCCTTCGTGTCTGTATCTCCCCTCTTACTTTGTGTCTGTACTTCTCCTCTCCTCCCCTTTCCTTTCCTTCGTGTCTGTATCTCTCACTCCTCTTTCCTTTTCTTTATGTCCGTAGCTCCACCCCCCCCCCCCCCCCGATTTTCCCTGTCCTTCATTTCTGTATCTCTAACTCCGCCTCTCCTTTCCTTCCTTTCTGACAGGAATTGCCATGGCTCGATGCCATTTTTGTGTGTGAGTATGTCAGGAGTAACTTGAGAAACTGCAAGTTGCTTCTGGTGTGAGAGAATTGCCATCCACAAAGACATTGCCCAGGGGACGCCTGGGTGTTTGATGCTTTGCCATCCTTTTGGGAGGCTTCTCTCATGTCCCCGCATGGGGATGAGAGAGGGAACTCAACCCACTCTCCCTGGATTCAAACAGCTGACCTGCTATGCAATCCTGGGATTCATAGTTTGGTGAACAAAAAATAGCAGCATTTTTTTGGCAGGGAAGGTAAAAGACCTTGTAAACCTAGAGTCCCCAGGATTCCATAGCATTGAGCCAGGATAATTAAAGCGATGCCAAGTTGTATTCAATCTCCAGCATAGATGCCCCCCCCCCCACCACCACCACCACCACCACCACCAAATTTCTGAAGCAGGATAAACAGGAGAGGCTCCTTCAGAGCAGGGTTGCCTATTTCTCTGATTTTCTTTTCAACTGTGGGAAGTTTTAGTGTTCTACAGTAAAATGTTTGATTTTAAAGAAGGAATTCTAAGCATGCAGCAACTGTAAGTCGCACCTTCTTTGACCAAATCACAAAGAGTGCGCTTTTTGCTGTTGCACATTACACCCTAAAGGGTGGCAACATGCCCCTCATTCACCAGCCAGCAGCGTGCACCAGGCCTTTTCCCACTTACACACAAATGTACCTGTTCTGACTTATATAAAAATTCAGCTTTGTAACTTGGTGACTGCCTGTAATCAGAAGTAGGGTACAAATTTAAATACTGTACTTCATCACATAATAGTCATACTTTTTCCAAAAAAAGGGGGTGCAGCTATTATGCAATTGCCACTATTATGTGGTGGAAGGCTTCCTCTGAGGGGCTCTTTTCACTGTGTAATAGTCCCTTTAAGGGCACAATTTCACAGGCAAGTCAAAAGGGCAGACACACCCTTAATTCACTCACCTGGGCAAGTGAACTAAGGGTGCGACTATTGTGCAATGACGACTATAATGCAATGAAACATGGTTAGTAAAAGTAGTACTTAGCATATACAAATAGATGCCTGATTGTTAAAACAGAATTTCAGAAAGTTGCCACAGTGATATGCCTCCTTCTTCAGTCGATATGAGAAGCATTTGTCAAAAGAAGCATTTGTCATCGTAAATGCTTCAAGGATTAGATTTCCCTACAGCTCTCGTCACCAAAGAGGGATGAATTTAGCAGAACGACTTATATGTCTTTATTCTCTGGGCAGATCACCACTCTAACCCTTGAATGCCTTTAGTTCCCAAACATCCAAGTGTCCAACCATATTAATAAGGATAAACTTTATGAATTATCTACTTCAGTTATCTGGTTGTTGCCAGAATAAAAAAATGTATGACATTAACATATCAAAACCTACCTAAAAGTTTGTATCCCATCATCTTCAGATAGAGTGCTGTTCTCGCAGTGCTTGTTCTTTTCATCTATTCGTAGACGATTCACCTGACCACAAATAGTTTGAAGAAATGGAAGCAGCTGTGTGGAACTGGCAATGCTTGTGTTTTTATTTCCTTGCTCTTCTAAAAACGATGACACTAAATCTTTAAAGTCATTTTGCAAAACTACCGCACTTGGCTCAGGAGCCTGATGTCCTGAAGGAACCACCATATTAGAATGGTGTTTGTTCTTATCAATGTTTAAATCTTCTGTAAGCATTCCAGCTGCCGAGTTATCATTTAGAAGAGAAAGATTATTGGGCAGGTCATCCAATCTTCCAAGATTGGCTGCCTTTTTCCATCCATCAACAGTATGGTTGTTTCCAAGTGCAAGTCCATTTCTCCCCAAAATATTTTGTAACTTGCCTCCAAAAGGAAGTCCATTCTAAAGGAAATAAAATGTACAAACGTATTCAAAATTCAAAAACAAACCAAATAATAAAATTTATGAAACTTCAACAGTCATCTCACCAATTTGGACTTTGCTACCTGAGGTTTATAATCATTTCCCTGGCATTCATGTAGTCTAGTGGTTCCTAACCTTTTTTTGACCAGAGACCATTTGAACAGGGACCACTTTGACCAGGAGCTACTTGACCAACATTAGTACCAAAAAGGTTACAAATCAGTTTTTGGTCAAGTTTAGATTAAGTTTGGTTATTTGGGGTACTGATTCAGAAAACTGCACTGGATAGACCACATCAGCTCTAGTTTTTTATACAGAACATATACCATCCAGTAGTTACCATCTGCTCACCCAAAGAAAACCTTATTTAATAATATTGAACTGATGTGGTAATAGTAATCTTTTGTGGGTAGTCAGCCTCTCCCCGCCCCCTCCCCGACATCCCCCATTGCCTCAGCACTATAAGAGGGTTTTGTGAGACCAATCACTTTTGTTGCTGTGTGGTTTTGAGGCAATGGTGTAGTAATGGTGAGGTCACAGACCATTTTTTTGTTCTTGTAGACCACTGGTGGTCCATGGACCATAGGTTGGGAACCACTGATCTAGGCAGTTCTATTACCTTTTATTTATTAATTCTGGCTACCTCATCATAATATTTACAGAAATATATACTTTCTATGATATGATTTTATTTTCAATATAATATCAGAAACAGAGAGACAATCATTTTTTCAAAAACTTCCGGGATAGTACAGTAAATGGGCTCATTGAAGATAAACTGGCTTGAGTGAAGAATGAGGATAAAGGAAAGGGTTGTTAGCTTGAGAAGGAGACAGTGTACTGTTATTACTCTTATTTTCCCCACCGTCTATCTGCTTTGCATCTCAAAGGGATTTCAGAGCACGAATATCTCTAATTTGTGTCACTGCCACACGCTTTATTTATTTAGGAAGACAGTCTGGAAGTTGCAGTTTAAAACTACATTGGAGGAATGAAACTGATGTTGGGAGACATCAGATACACAGTGTAACTTCCACTGCTGAACAAAATCGCACTCTGTGTGCAGTATTTTGAACAGGTGCACTAAGCATATGCCACCAGGATTCAAAAAATTAAAATCCCCCCGTCTATTCCTTCACCTTTCATAAGACATTTAATACTCAGTATTTCATAAAACATAGCTTACCTGCTGTTGAACGCGAACCATATCCAGGAGCTGTTGAGCCCCAGGTGATAATTTGGAACCCATAGATTCCACAATAGTTTGTACTTTGCCCAGGTCTATTCCTGTTCCAAGGGAAGCCAAGTCTGGCACAGCTTTTTTAGAAACTGATTTGACTAGTACTATGATTTTACTGAGGAAAACTCTTTGTTTTTCACTGATGGAAAGTAACTGGTTAAAAAAGAAAAGAAAATACATACACAAATGAATGCACGAAACCAATAGGTTAACTTGTTAATTACTTTGATATAATGTAATGGACTATAGGGGACTTTTTGAAATATTATCATGGAATCAATGTCTAGGACTGTATTTACAAGTCATACCAAATCACAGTGTAGTGTGACACATGTGTGCAAGAATAAAGGTAAAGGTAATTGTTTCCCCTTGACATTAAATATAGTCATGTCCAACTCTGGGGGGTTGTGCTCATCTCCATTTTTAAGCTGAAGAGTTAGCGTTGTCTGTAGACTCCTCCAAGGTCATGTGGCCAGTATGACTGCATGGAGGGTCATTACCTTCCCGCCGGAGCAGTACCTATTGATCTACTCAAATTTGCATGTTTTCAAACTGCTAGGTTGGCAGAAGCTGGGGCTAACAGCAGGAGCTCACCCCGCTCCTCAGATTTGTACCACCAACCTTTTGGTCAGCATGTTCAATAGCTCATTGGTTTAACCCACTGTGCCAATTGCGGGGGGGGCAGGGTCAAGAATAAGACATAACTAACATTGTACCCCACTTTCTTCTTTCTGTGTAGCTGTGTGAATTGGGAAGCATGCAATTCTGAATGACAATAGCTTGCATTCCACTCTAGATCTGGCAAATTTTAACCATCCTCTACTGTATGCCTTCCAGATGATTGAGACTATAGCTTCTGTCATTCACATCTAGCAAGGCAAAGTTGATGGAACTTAATAGTCCAAAATGAAGGACATCAAGTTGGGGAAGACTTATATTATAAAACTATGGTTAGGTTAAACAAGTTTAACTCAATAACCAAGTTGCGTATTCAAAACAAACTTCAGGAACATAGAAAGCTTACAATAAGTCAGACCACTGGCCCATTCAGACCAGTATTGCCAGCCCTGACTGCTGTGCTCCAGGCAGACATTTTCCTTCTTAGAAATTTTATTTCCATTCATGTACTAACCAGGATGCTTAGTTTCTGGAATCAAATGAAACCATGTCTGCTCAGGATGGCACAGTAACTCAATAATCGAGGATGGATTATGAGGCAAAGCTGGCAGAGGTGTAAAGACTTTCCAAGTTCTGCATTTCACTAGGTTATTAAATGCTCAGTAATTCTAAAGATTATCTACTCTTCTTGCTTTGCCATTTTATATTGTTGGTTGCATTTAACTTTTGCCTTACCTAAAACTTTTCTAATTTATAAAATATATTCATTTTAATATTGCAGATAACAAAACAACAACCGTATATATAGAAATATGATATTCAATGCTAAAGAAATCTTCTTATAAAATTCCCTCTTTTTATATATTCCAGCATTCAAAACTGGAATTTTTAATTTTATGTACTACTATCTTCCTTTAAAAAAGTAAATCAATACTAATATTTCAGAAAGTAACTTCCTACCTTAATCTTACAAGAGGCTGTGGAGCACTCCAGTTTAAGATATTTTTTGTATAATGTAACGTGGTCATTTTTGCTAGAAAATAAAATAAGTGAGCTGTGAAAAAGACTATACTAATACTATAACAATTTAACAGCATTTCACACCAAAATCCCCCCCAAAAACAGCAGAGTGTGCTCAGCTATTTTTAAAAGATATTGATTATATTAATATCTTAATAAAATGTTACTCAGTGAAAAGCAACATTTTTACAAATGCTTGAAGAATTCAATAATTCAATAGTTCAACAGTTCAATAATTCTGACAGCTTCCATGTGGCTTATCTAAGGTCAGAATTGATGTAAACGTACCAAAAACAATTACAGGCTGAACACTCTTTATCTGGAAATTCAAAATACTCCCAGATCCAAAATTGTTCACATTCTTATATAGTAACACTTTGGTTTACTTCATGCACAGCATTATAATAAATATTGAATAAAACTGCCTCCACACTAAGTGCAATATATCTATAGTTATATCATAAATTAATTTTGTGTTAACACCTGAGTAAAGGTAAAGGTTTCCCCTGACATTAAGGGGACTCTGGGAGGTCATGCTCATCTCCTTTTCTAAGCTGAAGAGAGCCAGTGTTGTCCGTAGACAACTCCAAGGCCATGTGGCTAGCAGAAGCCATACATATTGACCTACTCACATTTGCATGTTTTCAAACTGCTAGATTGGCAGAAGCTAGGGCTACCAGTGGGAGCTCTCGCCACGCCTTAGATTCAAACCGCAAACCTTTCTGTCAGCAAGTTCAGCAGCTCAGTGGTTTAACCCTTTGTGCCATCAAGGGGTCCCATATGCAAATATAAACATTCCATAATCTGAAAAAACTGAAACCCAAAACTGTTTCTAAACTTATACATCAGTATATACAGTTAATATCTTGGCACGGCAGACTAGTTAAAATGTTTGAGAGTTAGTAATATTTGTATACTTATCACGTCACTAACATACAGATTGTTTCCATAAACAAACTGACAAAACTGACCTCTCGTGTTCCATAGTGCAGATTTTTTCTCCCCTTGCTGTTCCACAGTATTCTTCCCCAATGTAGACTTCCATGTTTCGTGCCTCACTCACAATGCCAAGACCAACAATTTCTTCCGATCCATAGGCGTCACAGTGCAAGTATAGTGAACACGGAGTATTGTTGTCAGGGTTTAAGCGTCTTTCAAGAACAACAATGTTTTCACTAGAAGGTAGGAAAGAAGTCAACTTAAATCTTAAGAATTCCATGCAAATAAACATTATTACAGTGGAACACAATTTGTTGCTATAAGTCAGAAATGACCTGAAGGCACACAACAATAAAAGTGTTGAAGGGCCGTAATATGTTTAGAAGTGCAAACTATCCATTTTGAGGGAATTTAATCATAGAATAATAGTAGAATACCTATAAAATAGTCATAGAATCATAGAGTTGGAAGAGATCACATGGGTCATCTAGTCCACCCCCCCGCCATGCATGAAAAGCACAATCAAAGTACCCCTAACAGATGGCCATCCAGCCTGTTTAAAAGCTTCCAAGGAAGGAGCTTCCACCACAGTCTGAGGCAGAGAGTTCCCCTGCTAAATAGCTCTTACAGTCAGGAAGTTCTTCCTAATGTTCAGGTGGACTCTCCTTTCATATAATTTGAACCCATTGATTCGAGTCCTAGTTTACAGGGCCGCAGGAAACAAGCCTGCTCCCTCTTCCTTATGATATCCTTTCACATATTTATACATGGCTTTTATGTCTCCTCCCAACCTTCTCTTCTGCAGTCCTTTCGGTTTGGCCAGGGTTGTTTTTGCTGGGCTCTTTTGATTTCTTCCTTTACCATCTCTCCATTGCTGGCCAGGTCCACCCATCCCATCAAGGTGTCTGGGTTGCCTTGTGCCAGTACCCATTCCAAGAGATCTTGTCGCAAACCAACCTTAAACACTTGAATCCTGAAAGCCTCATTCAATTTAGGAAGTTGGGAGGCCAGTCTTTTGAATTCTAAGGCATGCTCTTGAATCAAGAGAGAGCCTTGCTTTGGGTTCATCAATTTTGCCCTGGCTCTGTCCTTGCGGAGAGGATCCTCAAAACGTGACCTCAGGGCCATCATGAACACATCCAAATTGTTCTGTTCTTTGGCATTTATGTTACACAATGCTAGCAGACATTCCACTGCAACCACCTCTAATTTTCCTGCCACATGTTGGACTTTGACCATTTAGTCTGCGAAAGAGTCTGTCCACTTGGTCATGAATGTTGCCAACTCTCATCAAGAAAAAGGGCAATTTTTCCAGATCCCCATCAAAGGAGGCTCTGGACTTCATCTCTCCTCTGGACTTCATCTCTCGTCCCAGAGCTCCTTCCATCAGCTCTTTGCCGATGAGGGTAAGGGACTGTTGCTGACAGGCCAGGAATATTTTCCTCTCTCCTGGGGTTGCTGTAATCCCTCGGTATCAACAACTGGAGTACCTCTTTCATTTGCACAAATTCTTGCCTTAGCTCCTGCATCTCTTGGCTGCATTTTGAGTGGGGAGGAGGGAGGGGCTCATGTTCCCAGCATGTTGCTAACCTAGCTCTGTGCGTCCATCTAAATCGGTGTGACCTGCCAGCAGCTGGTCATTGCTGGAGTGATGGCTCTGTCCTTAAGAGTGTAAGATCCTGCTGTCTCTCCCCTTCTGTCTCCAGAGTTCTCCCAGAGCTCTTCCCCCCACCCCCTGCAATTTGAATCTATTGCCCATCTCCACTGCCATATATAACCCATATGATCTGCTTTGAACTGGATTATATGGCAGTGGTTTCCAGAGCAGTAGACAACAACCTTGCACTTTCCTCAATGTGACATCCTTTCAATTATGTGAGCGTGGCTATCACTATCAACTGGCTACCAGCCTCCTCCCAGTAGACTCAAATCAAGGAAAACTTTATGAGAACTACTACTCCTCTTGGCATCCCCCCAGCAACAGCAAGGTATCCCTCTAGGCAGCTAAACCAGGGAATCCCAACTGGATGCCCTCTCCCTCACGAGGGCCTTCCTCCAGGGGCAAACCAAGAATGGGCAAGTTGGAAGTCCCTGAATAGACTCAGAAGCGGAGTGGGCAGATCAAAAGACAACCTGGCAAAATGGCACTACCTAAAAGAATCCCACACCTTGTGTGACTGTGGAGCAGAACAGACAACTCTGCATCTGTATGCTTGTCCACTGTGCCCTGTCTCATGTACAGAGGAAGAATTGTTGGAGGCTACAGACAATGCCATTGCTGTTGCCCGTTTTTGGTCAAAAGATATTTAGCCGCCTGCGCACTTTCTATTTTTATCAGTTTTATACTAATTTATGCAAAGCTTTTGACACGAAATAAGTATCAAATCCCCTCTCTGGGCACTTCCACACAGCCATATTACCCAGAATATCAAGGCAGAAAATCCCACAATATCTGCTTGAACTGGAATATCTGAGTCCACACTGCCATATATTCAAGTTCAAAGTAGATAATATGGGATTTTATTCAGCTACACACGTTGCTGTGGCCCAGTCTGTGTATATGTGTTTTGTATATATATGCGTATATAATTGTGTATTTGTGTGTTTATATGTGTATATTCATATTGTGTATATGTGTATATGTTTATATGTGTACATGTGTATATGTATATGTGTGTATATACATATACACACTCGCCATGGACAACGGGTAGAAGCGGGTCCTCCACAGGGAGGAGGGAGCAAGCTTGTTTTCTGCTTCCCTGGAGACGAGGACGCAATAAAACAATGGCTTCAAACTACAAGAAAGGAGATTCCATCTGAACATGAGGAAGAACTTCTTGACTGTGAGAGCCGTTCAGCAGTGGAACTCTCTGCCCCGGAGTGTGGTGGAGGCTCTTCTTTGGTAGCTTTTAAACAGAGGCTGGATGGCCATCTGTCAGGGATGCTTTGAATGCAATATTCCTGCTTCTTGGCAGGGGGTTGGACTGGATGGCCCATGAGGCCTCTTCTGACTATGATTCTGTGGGTTTGTGCATATATATATATACGTGTGTGTGTGAGTATGAATGTGTGCATGTGTATATGTGTATTTTTGGGGTTTTTAAGTCTGTTCCTCTGAGGTTTTGTGTGTGTGTGTGTGTGATGGGGTGATGGACACTCGTTGGATTGTTAGGTGTATTGTGCCCAAATTTCGTGTCATTTCATTCAGTGGTTTTTGAGTTCTGCTAATCCCACAAACTAACATTACATTTTCATTTATATAGAAGATGTGAAAGGGGCCTAGGGTTCCTTCTACACTGCCATGTGATGCTTGCTGATGATCAAAGCAGATTATCCAGATAGCCTGCTTTGAACCAGATTATATGAGTCTACACTGCCATACAATCCAGTTCAAAGCAGATAATGTGGGATTTTATGCAGCTGTGTGGAAGGGGCATAAGGTTCCTTCTACATTGTCATACAATGCTTGCTGATTGTCAAAGCAGATTATCCAGATGGCCTGCTTCGAACCGGATTATATGAGTCTACACTGCCATACAATCCAGTTCAAAGCAGATAGTATGGATTGTATATGGCTGTATAGAAGAGGCCTCGGCCTTCTTTCTCCCAGTTCCCTTAACTGCTCTTCGTAGATCTTGAAATGCAGGCTTATGATCAATGTGTTCGCCCTTCCAGCGTGCCAATAACCTTCTTGAAGGGCCCAAGGTAGGCCCCATCCCGCCTTCCCGCCTTCCTCACCCTTCCTTCTCCCAGGAGCCGAGCTCTCCTTCCGGGACGAGGCGCACCACGCTGGTCAGCTCAGCCAAGCACTCCCAGGAGCAGGCCAAAGAGAGGCGCGGGCTGCCGGCGAGCATGTCCCCTCCGCCGCCGGGAATGCCTTCTCTTTCCTGGGCCTTCAAGCTGCTCCTGCTCGCCATGGACAACGGGTAGAAGCGGGCCCGCCGGCCTGGAAGAAGAGAAGGGTTTGCGGCCGGAACTAAACATCGAAGCGCCGCGTTGCTCGCCGGACGTCATTACAGATTGGACTGTTCCGCCGTTTCAGCCGTAGACTTCAACTCCCAGGAGCCTTTGCTGAGCTAAACAATACGCGGGAATTCTGGGAAGTGAAGTCTCGAAGGACTGGAGGCCCAAAGCTTGAGAATGATTGGACGACAGCTTGGATTTCCTGGTTGTCGAGGTTTAGAGGAGGGAGCTAAAGGGAGCCAGTGGTTCAGAAGGGATCCTGCAGCTGGAGCATCACCTTCCCATTCCTCCCTTTCAAAATAGTAGAGACAGGAGTGCATGCTGTGTTATACTCAGGTCTTCTTGTGCGTTTGGTGTGTGATTATTACAAGGTTGAATATCCCTTATCGGAAGTCTTTTGGATTTAGGATTATTATTATTATGGATTAATTTTGGAATGCTTTATTTGCATATATGTATATATATAGGTAAAGGTTTTCCCCTGACGTAAAGTCCAGTCGTATCTGACTCTGGAAGTTGGGGCTCATCTCCATTTCTAAGCCAAAGAGCTGGCGTTGTCCGTAGACACCTCCAAGGTCATGCAGCCAGCATGACTGCATGGAGTGCTGTTAACTTCCCGCCTTGATTTACTCAGTTTTTAACCAGTTTTTTAAACCATTTTCTCGCACATGTAGCCGCCCATTGTCACAGACTGTGTTTATTATAGTCTTATATCGTTAATGTATTTATATGTTTTATGTAATTATGATGCTGTTGTTTATTGCATGTGTTTTTGGTTTTATTTTGTTGTAATCTGTTGATTGGGCTTGGCCTCATGTAAGCCGCCCCAAGTCCCCATTGGGGAGATGGTGGCAGGTATAAATAAAGATTATTATTATTATTATTATTATTATTATTATTATTATTATTTGCATGTTTTCGAACTGCTAGGTTGGCAGAAGCTGGGGCTAACAGCGGAAGCTCACGCTGCTCCTCGGATTCGAACCTGCGACCTTTCAGTCAACAAGCTCAGCACTTTAACCCCCTGTGCCACCGGGGCTCTCTGCATATATATATATATATATATATATATATATATATATGGCCCCCTAGTGGCGCAGCAGGTTAAACCACTAAGATGCTGAACTTGCTGACCAAAAGGTCGGTGGTTTGAATCCAGGGAGAGGGGTGAGCTCCTGCTGTTAGCTCCGGTTTCTGCCAACCTAGCAGTTTGAAAACATCCAAATGTGAGTAGATCAATAGGTACCGCTTCTGCGAGAAGGTAACGGCACTCCATGGAGTCATGGCAGGCACATGACCTTGGAGGTGTCTACGGAACACACCAGCTCTTTGGCTTAGAAATGGAGATGAGCACTAACACGCAGAGCCGGACACAATTGGACTTAATGTCAGGGGAATACCTTTACTTTATTTATGCGCAAATAATGCAGCATTATCGCATTTGCAACAACAGCAATACTTTATTACAGTCCATGTCCAGTATAATATATTTGCAAATGACTGACTACCATGGAGATGGGACCCAAGTCTATTTTTGAGGAGGGTAAAGGATAACACTATGAAACAAAATTTGAGAAATGTTCTGTTCCTGGTTTGAAAGTGTTATTTCCTGTTTAATTATGTGGGACTTACTTTGAAAGTGGCCAGAATAACTGGGTTGCAGTGAGTTTTTCAGGCTGTATGGCCATGTTCCAGAACCTCTGAGGATGCCTGCCACTTGCCTCCAACAGACAAGGGTTCTTTCTCCCACCCTGGACATTCCACAGATATATAAACCCAAATGTCCTAGTTTCCAACAGACCTCACATCTGAGGATGACTGCCATAGATGTGGGTGAAACGTCAAGAGAAAATGCTTCTGGAAAACTCACAGCAACTCTATATTGGATTGGTTGAGACTCTAGGACATAATCATTGAAGAACTATAGCAAAAGGTGCTGCAGGATGTCCCGCAAAAACAAAGTTTTTGCAGCTGAATCCATTTTTTCCATGTTTTTATGATAGAACCAAGTTGGAAATGACATTTATAACCCAGGAATAAAAATCATGTTGCATAGTGTAATTATTAAACCTGAAATTCATTTGTATTTCATATATACCTGATATCCATTGCCTGAATAATTTTATACACAATATTTCTTAATAATTTTGGACACAAACTTTGTGTACATTGAACTATCAGAAGGCAAAGATGTCACTATCTCAGCCACTCGTGTGGACATTTTGGAGTATTTTGAACTTCTGGGTAAGGGATGCTCAACCTGCTTTGGAGTGGAGTGCTGTTTTTAAATGGGGGGGGGGGGGAAGGGAGAGAAAAGCTGTCAAATGATTTTGTTCTGCTGCATCTGTTACTTATATCTTGTGGCAGATCTCTTTAGCCTGACAGAAATAACCATGTCAGACTACACAAAGAAGCCACTGATATACACAAGCATGTGGACGATTTCAACAGAAATGAGGAAACCATGAAAATGAACAAACTCTGGCTACCAGTATTTAAAAACTTTAAAATCAGGGCAGTAAATAAAGAGCAACACCCAAAACGCAGGGGAATTCCACACAATAATCAATCAGGGGCAGCTAACACCTCCCAACAAAGGATTCCCCCAGGCAGCAACCAGCCAAGCATTGAACTTGCAAGGCCATTAAATGCTAATCAAGGTGGCCATTTGCAACAGTCACACCTGCCTTCAACAGACAAGAGTTCTTTCTCCCACTCTGGACATTCCACAGATATATAAACCTCACTTTCCTAGTTTCCAACAGATCCCTCAATCTCTGAGGATTCCTGCCATAGATGTGGGTGAAACGTCAGGAGAGAATGCTTCTGGAACATGGCCATCCAGCCCGGAAAGCTCACAGCAACCCTGTGATTCCAGCCATGAAAGCCTCCGACAACGCATAGTTATTGAAATGGTTGCTACCTGACATAAGGTTTTCCTCTGACATTAAGTGTAGTCGTGTCTGACTCTAGGGGTTGGTAGTCATCTCCATTTCTAAGCCAAAGATCCCAAGTTGTCCTCAGACACCTCCAAATTCATGTGGCCAGCATGACTGCATGGAGCGCCATTACCTTCCCACGGGAGCGGTACCTATTGATTTACTCACATTTGCATGTTTTTGAACTGCTAAGTTGGCAGGAGCTGGGCTAACAGCGGGAGCAGGTTAAACCGTTGAGCTGCGGAATTTGCTGACCGAAAGGTCGGCAGTTCGAATCTGGGGAGCAGGGTGAGCTCCCACTACTTAAATAACAAATTGTTTGAAATTCTTATTGACATCAAAAACATTATAAAGTAATGATGATGAGAAAGATCATACAGACAAACCCACCAGTTTGGACTTTAGAATTTAAAACTAGCTAATGCCATCCTCTTTGCCCTTCTTTTAATACTTGTTATAAGCAGGGGTGAGGCCAGACTAATCACTCTTTAGAAATCCAAATGCTGATATCATTTCCAAAGCACATGCCATAGTTTTCTATTAACGTTTTGTCCTTTTGGTCATAGTATGCCAGTTGCTAAGTAACCTGTAAGTATGGAAGCAGGAAGCTTACTTATCGGCGAAGTCATCAGTTTCAGGATGGGAAAATCAACTACACCTTTTTCTCAAAATAATAAAAGTGGGACCAATTAGAACATATGTTTTCCTTGTGGTGGACGTTGGGAGTGTTGACAGTAAATACGCTTTAAGTTAAGCACACTTTAACTACACAGTTATTTTTAGTGGGACTGTAAACTGGTTAAATATCTTCCCACTGACGTTAAGAGAATCAGATAAATGTAAAACCAGGTATGCTAGCATTGGTAGGTTGAGTACTGCATCCAAGCAATTAGACCACAACACAAATCAAAGCTCTTTTCCTAGTCCTTCATACTAGATATTTATACTGGATGCGCACAACATTGCTGCTTTCAGGTACATAGCAAGATTGGCTTGTCTGTGACTGTACTTGCAAGATAATTGTTTATTTTAAGGCTTGTAAAATTTACAGCTCCAGCCAATATGTCCATAGGGATGCTAGTCCAAAATAAAATAAAATAACTTCCCCAATTTCTGGATGTCAGCATATGAAAAGTGTTACATATGAAATAAATCATTGTTTTGGGTCACCAGTACTGTCTTCTACAATGGCACCAATGTTGGTGATTTCAGAACCTCATCTGTTGTTTGAATTTAAAATTGAAAATCACACAATCTATATTTTTGTACTTCAGTTGGATCACAGAACACATAAATTACATATCTTTTTTTGGTGGTAAGGTTGACAAGACATCATAGCAAGTGAAACTTTTGTAACCTGAAATGTAAAGAGGTTTTACAGAATCTGAAATACTTCAAATGTGAAAACTCCTAGCCTTGTTTTCTCAAAATTTGTACATTGACACAATTTTTTTATCCCACTTGGATATGAAAATTAGAGGTGCCACTGTTTCCTAGATATAGGTCAAATCAATTGTCCTAGTCTGAAATACCACGTGTCTGTCAGCAAATTGCATGATTTACCATTGATCACTCCCACCTTGTTATCTCTATATAATATAGTTGTTAAATGTTAAAATGATATTTATTGATCTCTTACATTTGGAATGTTAACTATAGGGAAAAATCACAAACTTGTTAAGTCTGCAATCTTGTGTCTTATTTACCAGTGAGCAATTCCTGTTGCACTTTAGAGGACTTACTTCTGAACAGACATGCATGTGACAGTACTATATGCACGGGTTTCACAAATAAAAAGGATAGATAGCAAACTATCCCTGATGTTTTGCTTTGTTGGTAAATTTCAGCTGTCAAAGCCTGAAAACTCAATGGCTTTCTGTTGATTTTAATTGATTCTTTCCAGCAAAATATTGCTGAGATACGACTAAATGTGCCAGCAGTAGTATAGGATGACACCAGTGGAGAATCTCAGAAACAACTATGGTGGCATCACAGTTAACATTTATTAGTATGGCACAGAAGAAGGCCATAGTAAATGGCCATTTTGTCCATTAGCAGTCTGGGCGGGAGGCGGGTAAGGAAGCGTGGGTAAGAAAATAATATATAAAATAATGTATAAATACTAAAATTAATATATGTCCCTACTTTGCAGATTTTCACTTATTGCGGGTGGTCCTGGAACGGAACTCCCATTATAAGTGAGGGAACACTGTAATTGGATTTAATTGGAGAGTTAAATTTTCCTCTATTGCTTAAATGTATGCCATTCAGTTTGTGTGATAGCACTATGATTCTACTTTAACTGCAATGGCTGCATCCTATGGAATCCTGGGATTATTATTTGATGAGAGACTAGTGCTCTATGATGAAGAATTTTTAAGCATCTTCATGCACATGAGAATCTAAATGCACAGAATGTAATAGCACAGTTTGTTCTCCAACTCCTCTTCAGATCCACCCTCCAGGGATTGTATATTACTGATTGCATTTGGAATTCTAAGGGTTGGATAAACAAACATACTTTTAGATAAAAATAGATTGCAGGTTTTTAAATGTAGTTTTGATCAGTTTTATCATGCAAGGCAAGAAGGGAGAAGATGTATAATGATGGAAGATTCACAATTTTGAAATTTGTAGTTTAGTGAGGAGTCCCTAGAATTTTCTTCTGAAGACCTCTATTATAAATCTCAGGTTTTCATAGACTGCAATAGTAACAGCTATATTGGTATAAAACTTGTGACATTGTATTATACATATACAACAAGCTCCACTGAATACAGTTTCTTCTTCCCCCTGCCTTTCTGAGAGAAATGCATAGGAATGCAGTCGTTTTGGAAAGTATTCCAGCTGTCTGGCACTTTTGTTCCTTTGCTTCACAATCTCTCCCGGCAGTTTAAGAAGCATGTTAGATAAAAACAATCCTGAAACAGAATGACTTAAAAACCCTTGTATCAGATGTAGATATACATTATTCATTCATGATACTCGAGACATAATTAGTTTGTTCCAGGTGTAATTCTCTTGTGCCAAAGGGTGGCTGGTGGACTATAGAGCTCAGATAAAAACAACAAAATCCTAAATCCAATGTAACACCGCCGACTCCAATACAGACAGCCTATCCAGAAGGATACCATGATCAGCAATACTGAAGGCTTTGGAAGCTTCTCCTATATCAAAATGATTTGTGAAGTTATTGAGGACTACCGAACCTAACACTCCTGTAGCAGAGAACAACGCTGATGCTCCATTTCTCTCCAAAAATAATTAGATTATATTGTCAATTGTACAATTGCAAAAGTACAATTAACTGTCAACCAGTTTCAGATTTCCTACCTGCAGGGAAACCATTTGACATCAGCTTCTTTGGCAAGGAATCTGTGCATGTCAGAAGATCTGGCCCATCCAGGTTGATAAGTTAGCAGTACATGTGGCTTCTGCAAGGTTGTTAGGCCAGTCATTGGTTCATGTGATGTGGCAATACACATTACAATGCATTTAATGCTTCCCTCTGTGTGTGCATTATTGGTGAACATTGGCAATGATGGGAAACCATTTCCTTGGACCACACTTTGTCCATTAGCAGTGTGCTTATGAAGCAGTCACCTTGAATCCTGGCTTTAGGCAAAGGTGGGGTATAAATAAAGTAAAAAAAATTATAAATCACTTCTAAGTTATGAATGCCAGAACTCAGAAGCCTGGCTGAAGTTGTAGGAAACTGTTATACTTCCCTAGGCCTCTGAAAAGGGAAGCAGTTCTTAATATGAGTCATGCTGGATATGGAGAAAGGTTCATTTTTGTAAGTGAGAGAGCTGCAAAACTTGGACAATTGTCTCTAAGCATTCTCAACTGGCATCAGTACTCACTGGCTCAGCAACAAGGAGTCAACATGTATGTTGTGCACCAAAACACCATGAATGAAGAGGGAAGACATTACGGGTATCTGACATACTGAAGTGTATCATATTATTTGGAGAAAGACAGAGAGTGGAATCCCTGGATCACAAGGCATAAGTCTTATTTTTTGCACAAGCTCTGACTGCCCTACAGGCTGTTGTCATTATGTGCCCTTGAGTTGACTCAAACTTGTGGAGACCCCAAGATGAGCCTTTCACGGAATTTTCCTGGTAATGTTCATTCAGAGGAATTTTGCCATTACTCTCCCCTTTAGCTGAGAATGTGTGACCTGCCCAAAATCATTTAGTAGGTTTCCATGCTCAAGTGGGAATTCAAACCCTAGTCTTCCAGAGTCCTAGTCTTCCTGTGGACAGGGACCAAGCATTCCCTAAACCCCAAGAAGTAGTACAGTAGTAAACTCCTTAATTACATCAAATGGGAGGGAGGGAGCATTTTATGAAATGTGAGCCTCATCAGGAAGGAATGATGATAACTGCTGTATCTACTGGGTACATTTTATCATTTGCCCAGCCATAAAATTGCCCCTTCTGGATTGCTAGAATAATTGCATACGTTAATTCAGAATTTTCTTCACATGTTATAATTGACATTTCAGTCCAAGAAAAAAATTGGGAATTCTATTCTTTCTGTCTCTATAGCTACAATCTACCTATTAGGCACGTGCAATCAATAAAAAAGTTTCAAAGGTCATTACGAAATTAGGGGACGCTGGCGTTTTGTTTCTAAAGTGTTTCTAAATTATAGTTAGTGACAATTTCGTTACTATAACAAGAGAGTAGTGAAATTTCTTTATTTTTTTTATAGTAATTGCGCAAGTGAGGAAATTCAGGAGCTCCTTTCTCATTTTTACAGCTATTGGGGTGAAAGTTGCTACAATGGTAGAACATGTTTACCACTGTTGGCTCATAAAGTTTCTGAACCTTTCACTAATCCCCAGATTTTTGAAGAATTTTCAAAGTTTTTATAAACAACATTTTAAAAAGTTATAATTCTTGAATTTTCTCTATAATGACACAAGATAACAAGGGATCTCCGCCCTCCCCCAACTTTCAGAAATATTCATACATCTACTAATTTTAGGGATTTTTTTTTTTTGCATTTTGACAAATATATATCCACAACAGATATCTCATTGAATGTCTCTCATATTAACCAATAGAACTTCCATTTAGGGATTTCTTTCCACCCCAGAAGATTTACTTATCAGAGGTATCAGTCAGTCCTCCTCTTTCCAGATTCAACAAGTTATTGGAACTCTGGCTGGCTGCTGCTACGGAGGGACAAAGCTCTCCCCTATCCTGATTTGGGCTTTCTAATGCTGAGCAGAATTCTGGGAAATGTAGTTGTTTAGGGCAGAGCCTTTTGAATTCTCTGGCATAGGGCTCCTAAACTTTCCAAACTACATTTCCCAGAATTCTGTGCTTTTTTTCCCAACGAACTGTGCTTTCTCCCTGTTGCTTCCCTCTCCTAATGGCAAGAGGCCATTAATTTTAAGAGGAAAGGCACCTTTTTGGCTTTGCTTCCTTGTACTGAAAATGAAACTGATTTTGGGAGGCTTCCGAGATTAACAAAAAGCAAATGAAAAAGTATTGGGTAATTTTAGATTCTTAAGATTTTGGTGCGGTCCACACTCACATGTCAGATATTGCATTGTAAGCACAAATTTAATTAATTTGATCTGACTTACGAGAATTAATGAAAAATTACATAGCCTGCTATCTATTTATCCTCCCCCAAAGAAATAGACAGACTGATAGGTAGCATAGAGATCTTAGGTCATCCATGGCCACCTATTTAATGTAGTTACATAGCTTCCAAACCCAAACTTGCCTTTAAAAACCAAACAACCATCCTTTAAAAAGAATTCTTTAAAAATATATGTATAATGAAAGGGAGTCCACAACGCGCTTGATCTATAAATACTTTATTGTGACTTCAGTAACATGATTGTTAAAATACTATATTTTCTTACCTCATATTGAAATACATGTTTCAACTTTTGAAATTTTTAGCAGCTCCCTTATCCCTTTTTTAAGGGTTTTTAGGAGTGCAAGAATGAAAACTGTGTTGGGCTGCTTTATGGGAGTGTAGAAGAAGGAATATAAGCAGATGTGTTTGTAACCTGGTTGTATGACAAGCAACAGATATTAAAATTCCCTTTTCTGCACAACCATTAAAGACACTGGAATTCTCTCCAGTTTTCACCCTGGCATCTATTGTGATTCAATTTTAAAATATGGATTAGATGGGGACATTTCTTCATCCAGATGGCTTCTTTCAAGTGCAAGTATTTACAACACTTGCACATGACACACACATACATACACACACATTCCAGACAGGTATTTTGAACTTTGTCATGAAGATCCGCTGAGGCTCGGAGGGATCTGGTTTAATGCTGTCATTTTGTCAGCGAAGTCAATGAGCGGTCTTCCTCTAATCACTCCGTCTCTATTTGGTAATTTTCAGAGGGACAGCCACGAGTGAGTCTGCAAGTTGTCTAACCAGTTTTTGTAGGGGTGGCACAAAAATCACTTCCTCTTTTCTTGGGAGTGTTATCTGAATTCCTTTGCTGTTATGTCTGCTTTCCTCAGAACCCATTTGTTGTCAGGCCATTTAGATGAGCCGGTTGTGTGATTTCCAGTTGGAGTGCTTTTATTGGAGAAGTTGGAGGAGTTGACCATGTTTGAAGATTACCTGTATTTACTCCTGCTGGTACTTAGCAGCATTGGGAAACAACTTCTAACACTGGGTGAGTTACTTAGTTTAAGTTTGATTTGCTTTTTTGTTTGTTTAGAAAGCAATCACGAGTTACAGCAAAAGCCAGAGAGTGCTCAAAGTAGCCGGAGAGGAATTTAAGTGCTCTTGTATGGAAGAGAGTTCAGTAAGTTCAGATGACATCATTAAGAGTTTGCATCCAAATACTTTATCTCCCCCAGTCCCAGATAGAAATGTTATGCATGTCTAGCTGAGAAGTATTTCATTAAGTTCAAGGAAATTTACTATCAGTCACATGGTTATAAGAGTTCAGCTTTAGGATTTACAAATCCTATTTTGAAAATGAAATTATCATAGTTGGCCATTCATTGATCCATGCATTTGTCTGTGAAAAGACATTTTGGCACATGTGTGTTCTCTGTGTGATTTTTTCCTTTTCCTGTGTTTTTGTAAAGTAACCACGACAATGATTTCTGCAATGACATCAATATGCTATGTGTAGAGCTGCCTTTGGAAATGATTTGGAAAATACTGCCAAAGCAGAATGCAATAGCTGACTACATGGAACCAGAAGTTCAACATACATTCTGTTCTGGCTGTTCAATTGACTTCTCAATTCAAAGTGCTAGTTTCAACCTGAAAAGCCTTATAAGACCTGGAAGCCCTAATATTCAATGGAATGTCTATTTTATGATAGAGCTGCCCAAAATAAGGATGAGGGTGATGATGAGGGAGAGGGCATTTGGATTTGTGGCTCCTTATCTGTGGAATGATCTCTTGGTTCTAACCTAACTGATGCTAACATTATTACCTTTTCAATACCAAGTGAAGGCTTACCTCTACTGCAGTAGAACAGTGGCTCCCAACTTCTTGTCCTTCAAGTGTTTTGAACTTCAACTCCCAGAAATTTCAGCCATCTCACCAGTTGTTAGGAATTGTGGGAGTTGAAGTCCAAAACACCTGGAGGACCAAAGGTTGGGAACCACTACTCTAATTCAAAACATTTAAAGGAATGTGATTGTCCACTTTCTAAATATTGGCTCCAGATCTATTGATCACACTACAACCCACATATCCTCAGAACCGAATATGTGACTAGCCCCCTTTCCCCAATGGTGCAAGTGGGTGGTTGGCAGCAAAAGTATTCAGTTTTTGTAGGATTTCAGATTTCTAGACAAAGAAAGGCTCAACTCGTATTCTATATGTTTAGATAATAACAGTATTATTTATTTATTTCTATCCTGTTTTTCTCCCAGAGCAGGACTCAAAGCGGCGTACAGCACATAAAATCGGAAAACAGTTACATAACATAAAAGTACAATCATATACCACAAAATGGATAAAATTAGCAACTTATAACATTATAAAATAGTAAAAACAACAATTCTCTTTATTTATACTCTGCCTTTCCCACAAAATCAGAACTCAAATCAAATAAACATCAATGATTTTGTGCAAAGGGGGGTGACATGGAAAGCTAGTGCATAATTAGTTTGCAAGAAAGAGTAGGCCTTCAGCTCTGTATCCATGGGCACAACAAATAAGGAGAATTGGAAAGAATATATTTAATACTAGCATCACCATAAAGCAGAGTAGGTGGCAACCAGAAGAAGCAGAATTTGGATGTATTTAATGGATACAAACTGTTATTTACAGTTTCATCTTCCATTTGCACTGCTAGTGATGGGGAAATGACCTCATGGGATTTTCTGTCTCATATGCATCAAAATAGTTTGGCTAGTTTGTAGTACTATGTACCTTGAGTTAAGTGTGGCAGAGGCAGCAAAATGTTTTGGACCCATTCTTCTTTTGTGATGATCTACATCGGACAATTCAAAGTGTGCAACATTGTTCACTCCATGAATATTGGTCAGATGACAGTTATCTACAGAGGAGGAATAGGCAAATTGTAGTTTCTCAGCTGCTTTTGGATTGCAAATTCCAACATCACTCTTCACTGGCTCTGTTTTGACTCTCAGTATGCACCCAGATCTGAGCCAGTAAGATTTGCCATTTGCTGCTCTGGTCTAAGTAGTTAAATATCTTGCTCTAGTCCAGTGGTTCTCAACCTGTGGGTCCCCAGGTGTTTTGGCCTACAACTCCCAGAAATCCAAGCCAGTTTAGGATTTCTGGGAGTTGAAGGCCAAAACATCTGGGGACCCACAGGTTGAGAACCAGTGCTGTAGTCCTGGCAGCTTTCATATTGAATTTATCTTTAGGAGAGAATGTTGCTCTCATACTTTGGAGGTCAGTTCAAAACAAAAATGTGGGATGTTTGGTTCATTCTTAACAGTTATTTATTCAATGGGAGTCTTTTGTTTAAACAAGCGATGAGCAGGCTTTATACAGCACCATAAAACTGAAAGAATTTTTCTGTGAAATGCCACATATTTTTGTAAGAACAGAGGTCACTAAGTCATACCTATCACTAATGTTGAGTATTCTCTCTCAATTCATGATGTTCAGGTTTATGAGAGATGTAGTTAAACCTGCACCAACATGAAAAGGGGAAGCCATTAGCACATTAGTCATCTTGGAGAAGTAGATATCAGTAGGCACCATTTGCAGAATTGCAAAAAAAAAGGGGGGGGGTGAAAGCACAGAATGGGAGATAATTCCACCTAAACACTGCAAGGGTGATAGAGGAGGAGTAGGGTATATTGAAACTGGGTACTGGGATAAAGTGGCTAGAAACCTAAACATTAGCACTGCATACTGCAATCTGTTTGGTTGCCTTTATGAATTCCATAGTTTCAATAAAGTCGAATGAGTTTATACTGAGTCGGAAGGAGTAGTAGCTAGTATTCCAGAGGGCAGGATCAAAATCGAAAATGATCTTCAACAGGAAGAAGCGTAATGTGCTACTTCTTAAGCACAAGAAATGAAATGCAGAGATTTAGGTTGGGTGACAGCAATACGTGTGAAAGGGATTTAGGAGCCGTAGTAGACCACAAACTGAACATCAATGGTGTGGTGTGACACTCAGTTAATCCAGCTGGGCCTGGAGTCGATTTGCAATCGAAGAGTACTCTAGCATGCTGAATTTTGGTTACACAGACCTTTTATAGGAATTTGAACAAAAGCAAATACGCCACAGAAATCACAGGAAATTACTGACAGGTGCTAAGCATATTAGTTGTAGAAGCAGTCACAATCAAACCAACTAAATTTCTGCTCTTTCTGGGCCCCCTCCCCTTTGAACCACAAACAATTTCTGCACCTGTTATTTTTCCCAGAAATTCTACTATTGGAAATGTTAAACTGCAAAGCTTCTTTGAAGCTTAATGGCAAACCGCTTCCTATAGAAAAAAGTACATGCAGGCATAAGTAGAAGTAATATAAGCCTGGACAGATACAGATTAAGAACATGACACAATAAAATAAAATAAAAATAAGATAAAGACATCATAAAACATAATGCAACATCATAAAACAATCAGTAGCCTGAACTGTAATAAATACTGAGCTCGAATGGCTAGGAGCTAATACAATAGTTTTAGGTCAGGGACTGGAAGAAAAGGTCAAGAGCCAATAATAATTAGGGCTAGAAGGGTAATATCATTTGTCATTTGAACGCCAGGTCTATAGGGCAGTGGACAGTGATAAAGTGCAGGAGCTGACAGAAAATTGCAATTGGGGGGCCTGTTTAACTGGTGAACTGTTTAATCATAGGCACAATGGAACATCCACGTTTTTAGGTTCTTATGAAAAGTGGACAGGGTGGGTGTCAGTCTAATCTCCCTGGGGAGAGAGTTCCAGAGCAGGGGGACCACCACAGGGAAGGCCTTCTCCTTCATCTCCACCAACTGCATTTGACATGGAGGTGGGGGTGAGAGAAAGGCCTCCCCAGAAGATCTTAGAGCCCATGTGGGTTCATAGCGGAAGATGCGATCACAAAGATAGGCAGGTCCTGAAATGTTTAGGGCTTTGTAGGTGATAACCTACACCTTGAATTGGGACAGGAAGCTTATCAGCAGGCAGTGGAGCTGATTAAATAGGAGGGTTGACCGCTCCCTGTAGCTCGCTCCAGTTATTAATCTGGCCACCAACCTTTGCACCAACTGCAATTTCTGGGCCATCTTCAAAGGCAGCCCCAGGTAGAGCATGTTGCAGTAGTCCAATCTGACACCGCTGACACCTAAGCATCAAGCATCAGCACTTAGTCCAGAAGAACCCCCAGATTGCGGACTTGCGTCCTTAGGGGGAGTGTAACCCCGTTGAGCACAGGTTGCCACCCTATACCCCGATCGGCCATTGGCTACTAGGGAAAGTGTGACTATCCTCTTAGTTTATGGGGCCCCTGGGGCCCCGAATGAGAGCATCCCCAAGTTATTAGACCTTGTGGCGGACTGGGCCCTGAAGTTCCCAAATCTCATCATATTGGGAGACTTCAGTGTACATGCAGATAGGTTGTTGTCTTCTTCGATAGCAAGGGACCTAGTACAATCTATGGAAACAATAGGTTTCTCATTAATGGTGACTTGTCCTACTCATCGGGCTGGGCACACCTTGGACTTGATTTTTAGCATCGGAATACAAGTGACTCTATCCTCAGTCTTAGAGATTCCTTGGTCTGATCACTATATCCTGAACACCCAAATAGAGATTCTACCACCACAGCGTCCGGAGACTGAACAAATTTTCATGCGGCCAAGGAAGCTGATAGATCCTACTAGACTTTTGAGTGTCCTTAAAGAACTGGATTACACTGCTGATTCTCTAAGTGAACAAGTGGAAAACTGGAACAAAAATCTATCAACTGCCTTAGACATAGTTGCCCCTAAACGGGCACTTCGCCCCCGCCGGAATAGATCTCCATGGTTCATGGATACATTACGTCAGATGAAACTTGAGCGGAAGAGATTAGAATGTAATTGGCGCAAGAAACCCGATGAAACATCGAAGTCAGCTTTCGAAATATATCGAAAAATCTACGAAGCAACCACCATAGAGGCCAAAAAAAGAATACAATTCCTCATTGATAGCTTCCACCAGATCTCGGCCTGCTCAAATATTTAAAATTGTTTGTAACATCACAAATCCAACCCATCCGGCCAAAGATGTGGCTAGTCAAGATATTACAGCAGAGACTTTCCAGAGCCACTTCATAAATAAGATCAATCTGCTTCGCGAAGGGCTACCTCCCACAGAGGACACATTGAGGGAACTAGAAGCCTCCTGGCCAATTAGTGGCCAATTTCTCGAACATTTTGTGTCATTAGAAATGGAAGACCTGGAAAAGACTCTAGCTGCAGCAAGACCAACCACCTGCTCCCTCGATCCTTGCCCCTCCCGGTTGGTTAAGGAGTGCTGGGAGGGACTACAAAATCCCTTAAGAAGCATCAACAGCTCCTTGGAGCAAGGAATTTTTTCAGATTGCCTTAAAGAAGCAGTGGTCCACCCTCTCCTGAAAAAACCAAGTCTTGATGCTGCCATACCTAGTAACTATTGCCCAGTTTCAAACCTTCCATTCCTGGGCAAGGTTATTGAACGGACAGTGGCGGGGCAGCTACAGCAATTCTTAGATGAGACTGCGGGTTTGGACCCCTTTCAATCAGGCTTTCGTTCAGGTCATGGGACAGAGACTGTCTTGGTAGCTATTACTGACGAAATTCGTTGTCAGTTAGACCGAGGCGGATCAGCGCTATTGGTACTCTTGGACCTCACAGCTGCATTTGACACCGTGGACCATGACTTGCTGATTCATCGATTGGCTATGTCTGGTGTACGAGGTTTAGCCCTCAAATGGTTCAATTCATTCCTCCGGGACCGGAGACAGAGGGTGGAGTGGTCAGGCCAAAGCTCTGAAAGCTCCTGCCTTTGCTGTGGAGTTCCCCAGGGTGCTATCCTCTCGCCCCTGTTATTTAACATCTACGTCCGACCACTTGCTGGACTGGTGTGGAGCTTTGGCCTAAAGTGCTACCAGTATGCAGATGATACCCAGCTACTCTTGCGTCTTCGAACCTGGAACAACTGTGATTCCTGAGAACTTTAAGCTGTGTTTGGAAGCAGTGATGAGTTGGCTACGAGCAAGCAGACTAAAAGTCAATCCTGCAAAAACTGAGATACTCTGGCCCGGCCAGCCACCAGAATTAATCCAGTCTCTGCCTGATTTCGATGGGGAAGCTCTGTTCCGTCTGCCACTATTAAAAGCCTTGGGGTTGTGTTGGACTCACCGCTGACGATGGAGACCCAGATCACTGCCATAAGTAAGCAGGCCTTTTTTCATCTTCGCCAAGCAAGGAAATTGGCATCCTACCTTTCGGTAGAAGCATTGGCAACGGTAATCCACGCAACAGTCACCACTAGGTTGGACTATTGCAACGCCTTATATGCTGGCCTTCCGAAGTCAACGACCCAGAAGATTCGGATGGTCCAAAATGCGGCAGCCAGGCTGCTAGCGGGATCATCTATAAGATCCCATATTACACCGATTCTGCAACAACTACATTGGCTACCAATAGAACATCGGATCTCTTACAAGATACTAATCCTGACATTTAGAGCTCAAAATGGCCAAGGACCTTTATATCTTAGGGACCGCCTCATTCCTTTTCCCCATCAGTGGTCACCTCGATCCACCCTGGAAAATCTCCTATACATTCCAGGTCCTAGGGAGGCACATTTGGAAGCTACAAGGTGTAGAGCTTTTTCGATCTATGCTCCAATTCTGTGGAACTCATTGCCTCCAAATATTAGAGCAATGTTGGAGTTGCGACCTTTTGCAAAGGCGCTCAAGACTTGGCTGTTTGGTTTTGCATTTAAGTAGCCAGATCAAATTTGCCATAGTCACTGCTGAATGTTTTTATGTTGAATGTTTTTATGTTGAATGTTTTTATATTGAATGTTTTATATTGTGTATAAACTGTTTTAAATTGTAAGTCGCTCGGAGCACCTTGGTGGAGAGCGACTAATTAAGAAATAAAGTGATGATGATGATGATGATGATGATGATGACAACTGACCTGGAGTACCTCTGTCTTGTCAGGATTAAGCTTCAGCTTGTTAGCCCTCATCCAGTCCATCACAGCAGCCAGGCAATGGTCAAGTTATCTGACTTCATACTTTCTGCTGTTTATGATTTCTCCTGACTAGAACAAGCATTTATTAACTGTGATTAAATAAACATATTTTGCTTTTCACTAATAATCTTATATAATGCCTTGCCTCCTCACCACATTATTCTGCTTTGATCAGACTTGGAATATTGTGCCCAGTTCTCAGCACAATTCAAGATGGATGCTGACAAGCTGGAATGGTAAAGGGTCTAGAAATCATGCCTTATTAGGAAAGGCTTAGAGAGCCAGGTATGTTTAGCCTAAATTGAAGGTTAAGGGGCAACATGATAGCCATGTTTAAATATTTGTAAGGATGTCATATGGAGTTGGAGTCAGCTTTTTTTTTTTTTGCTGAACCAGAGACTAGGACATGGGCAGTGGATCCAAACTACTGGAAAAGAGATTTCACTTAAACATTAGGAAGAACTCCCTGATGTTAAGAGCTATCTGCCAGTGAAATATGCAGCCCCGGAGTGTGATGGAGTCTCCTTCTTTGGAAGTGTTTAAACAGAGGCCGGATGGCCATGCGTTGGGGGTACTTTGTCTGTGCATTCCTGAATGGTAGTAAGATCGGGTGACCATTATTGTCTCTTTGAGTTCAATGGCTCTGTGAGGTTCTCCAAAGGGACTATCCCTGCCAAATCAGGTTTATAATCTGAAGCTATCTAATGCCTTGATGGCCTTTGTGATATCACCAGGGTCATCAAGGCATTAGAATTATATAAAATGAATGTAAGCATGTCATAGGAAAAATCTCTCTATGGAAAATTAATAGTAAACTTCATTTTTAGGCAAGGATACTAACCCGATCTCCAAGTATTCCACATATGAGATTGTAATTCCTCAAAGACTGACAAACAAGGAAAAACACTGGACGTATTTTCATGAGGTTTGTTAATCTCTCTGATAACTTCTCCTCTTTCCTGCTCTTTATATGATATCCTACTGCATATAGTAAGAGAGGCTACCCCATGGCATCCTGCTGAGTGAATTAAGTGCAAACCACAAGGCTGAGGACAGAGGAGAGGTTGGGAGAAAGAGGGAAAAACTGGTAAATTTTAAAAGTAGCTGAAACTGTAGAGAAACAGAAGATTAATCAGAACAATCCCTGTCAAATCTGGACAGTTGTAGAATATACTTTAGATAGGTTCTTGTGACCTGAATCCTAAGGTTCTCTGTTGGGAGTTGGAGTCCAACAGCATTTGCGGGGCTGCAGGGATTGCCACCCTTGCTATTAGTAGTCCTAACAAGAGCAGACCCATTGAATCAATGCCTGCATATGTGTGGTTTAAAGAGTCTAACTCTGGCTGGAATAAATTATAGAAGTCAGTCTTCTGTACTCTTAATCAGCCACTTCTCCTGCAATCGCATTTGAACTGAACTGAACTGCATAACGTTCCCCAATGCTACATCTGCACAATTCACATTGTGGGTGCAACAGTCACAGCTATACAGATCTACAGGGCTGGAATGTGAAATCCCTTTTTTCTCTACCCATTTTTAATACAGGCAATCAATTATAATACTTTCAACTCATTAACTGATCAACTATTTGGTAGTAAAGCACCCAATGCCAACCTTATTATTACACTGTGTATTTGAGTCTCTGTTTAACAGTGGAAACAGCATGTTGTTGATATCACAAATTCAAGAAAACTTCAAGTTACATAGTGTCGATTATTTCTTTTACAGGAATACCCAGACAACCAACTATCTTACTTGATTCAAACTGGAAATGGCACACACATTCTGAAACTGAAGAAAAATGTGTATGTTAAACTTTTAAAAGTATATCTAAGAACATCTGAGTTTTTTATTTTAATTTTATAGAATTATATATTAAAAACTCATTTGAGCAAGCACTCTAAATAGAAGAATACATTAAAATGGCATTAATTAAAATCGTAGCAGCGGGGGAAGAGGCAGATGCCCAAATATCTCATTCTGAATTATAGACAAAGAGTAAGGAGTTGGGGAAATGTTACCAATAAATGTTATCTGACAATTATTATCTGGTGTGTCAGACAAGATGATGTATTTTTAACTGCCCACAATATGTAATGAAAATGTATTCTTATATGGATAATTGATGTATCTGGTTTCCCTGAAGAACATTTTAGTTCCAACACAATGAACTATGCTGCATTATAAATGTTATTTTAATTTTGACTTCCAGAAACCTTATTGGTGAACGGTTCATAATGCATACCTACAGCAAAGATGGTAATTTGGAAAGCACCCCCTTTAAAAATGAGGTATGCTTCTCATGAAAGACCTGTATCTGAAAGACTGACATCTTTTGCCTAGAAGTTATTTTTTATTTACTTCACTTGTATACCACTTTTCTCACCCTGGGGTGGGGGGGACAGGACTCAAAGTGGTTTCCAACATATTTATGGCAAAATTTAATGCCTCACATACATATGAAACATAACATAAAACAACAATAACATATATAAATTAGATCATTAAAAACATAACAACATTTTGACATTAAAATGTGGAGTTAAAAACATATTAATATAAACATTAAAATCATGTAATCCAAAAATCATAGTTCAGAACTTGATAGCTATAGGTCCAACACTCCAGTTCCATCAATAGGCTTTCCCAAGTGAATGCATTCCACATGTTTTAGATTACAATACCCATAACAGTATGTAAAAATTTGAAAAACATGTCTACTCCTGGATTGAAAGTGTTATTTCTTGTTTAAGTGTATGGTAGGTACTTTGAAAAAAGTAGTTAAACTTCAGAAACTTCGTTTTTTGTGGCTGCCACAAACTATCTTGAATTGGTTGAGACTCCATGAGATACTCATTTAAAATCTATACCAAAATGTGCTGCAGGATGTCCCACAAAAAAGCAAAGTTTTTGCAACTTAAACTTTTCCCATGTTTTTATGATAGAATAAATTAGGAAATGACATTTGTGATCCAGAAACAAAAATCATGTTCCATAGTGTAATCAATAACCAACAAACCAGTGGGCATTGTATTTGGGAACTATGAGTGTTGAAATCCAAGATATCTACAGAGTCCTGGGTTAGGAAAGCTTGAGAAAGCGCAGGTATGATACTGTTCTAGGAGGCCATAGTGCTTGCTGCAGGGCATTGCTGTCCTGAAATATACCACACTTCCTCCTAAGCCAGGATGATTAATAGCCAGTTGAGACACAATAGTTAAGAAACATTTCTGTCTTTCCAAATAGTTTTTTCTTTCATGTCTCTATAATTAGCACATGATTTACAAGGGCCAATGCCAAGGCTAAATTCCATTAGCTTATCCTAAATTGACCAATGGATCTATTCCCCTTGTGTCTGTCTAAATAGTGAAGAGCTTCCACTGCAGAATTGCTCTTTTAAAATTATACACTTTCCATATGTGGGAGATTTGACAATATCCACTTGCAGTCATGCCAAGAAGTGAATACGTTTTGTTACAACCACCCTTCCAAACTGTCATTTATAACAAGTGAGAGTACAACTGCAAAGCTAATTACTTATGACTATAGATCTAAAGCCCATTAACAGTTAATTATATTTTAGTTACATTTTTTAAAAAAAGAAAGAGCAGCCTACAAAGAGGAAAAGAGAGGAGAAAGAGTCTCTAGCAGCTTCTTTAAGAATAATTCAATTCTAGCCTGACCCTTAATGAATATCAATCCACTTCTTCAGATACACTGATGGTTTCAGCATAAGTAAACAATTGTGGGAATAGAATAAAATACAATAGGATACAGGAAGATGCAAGTTGTGACCCTTGCTGTAGATTTTCAAAGAGCTTTATGAAGTGAAACATATGAAATGTAAGTTATTTTATCACTCGGACTTGTTCCAATTTGCAAGATAACTCATTATACATATGCAAATATTCTAAAATTAAAAAAATGCAAAACATTTTGGGTCCAATCATTTTGGATTAGGGATACTCAACCTGCTGTGCAAACAGCTTGCCAGTGTGAGTTTGGGAAGCATTTTTAACACAAGGGTTAAAAGTTTTGCAAGTTTTGGTTGTGAATGTTTCCTCTCAGAGAAGGAAAGTGTTAAATGTGAGTCAGACACTTCTTGCATAGTTGTGCTCCGAACCATAGAAATGAATTAAATGCATTCACATTTTATACAATTTAGAACAACTTCGTACATAAAGTAGGTTTGTTTACAATTAGGTTTCAGCTTATCTAAATAACCTAAAGCCACCAGATCCCATCTGGACTTAGAAACTACATAGGGTCAGACTCAGTTAGTACTTGGATGGGGGACCACCAATAAAAACCAGGTGGTGTAAGATATATTTCGGAGCAAGGAACTGGCAAAAGCACCTCTGATTATTATTTGTCTAAGAAAACTCTATGAAATTCTCCAGGCTATCATAAACCAACAGGTGACTTGAAGGCATACATACACACTCACACACACACACACACAATGTTTCATAACATGTCATGGTGACAGATTATGTAAAACATGCTCAACAATAGAAAACAGAGGAAAAATAGAGACTACAAAGGGAAGGGAAAACAAACCTTGTCTAACTGATGGAAAAGACAGAGGATATGGCTTACAACAACAACAAAATAAATACAGGTATGTACAAACAAGCTTCCGTTCAACTGTTACAGAGATATGCAGACTATTGATTATATAGGTGTGCTAGGGTTGATACCTCTGCACTTCAGAATCATCCATAGAAATCAATAGCATTTAAAAATAAGGGACAATATAAATAAATATGTCCTAATTGTTTCTATCAGAGGTTTTATTTGCTGTTTGCATTTGAATCCACTCTTATTTCTTTGATTTCAGGACCATTGTTATTATCGTGGGGAAGTTGAAGAGGTTAAGGATTCCTGGATTGCTCTAAGTACTTGTGATGGTCTTAGGTATGTATTAACTTTTATCTTATCCCAGTTAAGTTGAGTTAGTTGAGGCAAATGGGCTGATGTTGGGGAGAGAGGATGAAGACAGTAGTGCAATCCTAATTCAGTATGCAGGAGATAAACTTAGGGACCTTCCAGACAGGCCCTATATCCCAGGATCTGATCCCAGGTTTTCTGCTCTAAACTGGATTATATGAGTCCACACTGCCAAATAATCTGGAATAAACAAAAAACCTGGGATCAGATCCTGGGATATGGGGCTTGTCTGGAAGGTCCTTAGACTATGAAAACATATGCTACCTACTCCATTTTCTCGAGTAGACTTGAAGGTACTACAAAATCCCTTTGCCTACTGATATTCCAGAAAAACATAGATATGTTTTTGTATCCTTGTTGCATCAGCTATACAGGGATTGGAATAAACTAACTTGCAATGTGTCCTTTAGTGTAAGGGATACCTCATACTTATAAGACAAAGAAACTTATGAGCACCAAAATCCTGTAAATTTGAGTATCAGTGAAACAACCCTCAAATTATACCTTACATGTTGGGGAGCGACCACGTCTGCTGCTTGCTCACCACCCTTAGCTGTCATCACAAGTTTTTTCTAGGGTTTGATGCTCTTATGAGATTTGAGGTCTCAGTGGCAACAGGAATGTTTCACAAGAAATGTATCCCTCATGTCATTTTAAGTGGGTCTTTTACAGGCCTGTCTCAAATGTCCCAGCCAGATCTCACTGTCTTATTGCTCTTTTGAAAATATGGCAGAATCCACTTGTGAGGCTGAACTGCCTTCTTGTTATCAAAACCCCTTCTGCCTACTAAACTCAGAGCCTGGATCTGGCCATGACTCTCCAGTCTTCATGAATCATCTCTAAGCAAGAGATGAAAGTGCAAGTTCTCCAGTTTTGGTCGGCTCAACTTCAAGCATGAGGAAAAGGCTGTGTGAAAATGTCCAGCACTAGCATGCTATAGTTTTCAAGTCTTTATTGATTTATTACTGAAAAGGCTCTCATTGTGGCTATGCATTTATTTAGCTTCCTCAGTTCCTTTCAGTCATTCTAGCAGCAGAGCTCACCCTCCATTCTGTTGTGAATTCACCTACTGAATAGAAGCAAATACTGCCAACCAGCCATATCCACAAATATGCACCCATGGATTCCACCATCCATATCTTGAAAAAGAAACTCTAAAAAGGAAATCTTGATTTTGACTTTTTATATAAAGGTCACCATCTTACAATGCCATTGTATATACTAGGGCTTGAGCATCAACAGATTTTGGTATCTACAGTGGGTACTGGAACCAAGCCCAAATGGATAGAAAGGGTTGGGTTCAACGTAAGCTAAATTAAATATTCCTTATTCTATACCCCTAGATCAGTAGGAAGGGACAATACACTCATTTTAGGTGCAGCCTCTAAAGCTAAAATCTCTAATTTTTTAAAACAGGAAAATGTCTCTTTTTCTCTTTGAGTGACAAACTAAGCAACCATGTTTGGTACTTAAGACATAGTGCTTAATGACCTCATCAGGGACTGTCCCTAGGTTTTGGGCATGATTCAGGATTATCCTGAATGGGCAACCCTAGATGACAGATGAATTTTCTAGCCAAAAAAAAAAAAAAGGGGGGGGGGTGCAGAGTATAATGAGGCAGCCTCTTTGCTGGTCCAAAATTAAGCCAGAACCAGGGTGATCCTAAGTAATGTCCAACATTCCTTGTTTAAGTGGCATTTGGATTCAACACATCAGGCACAGTGGTCCTCAGCCATCTTTGCTGACTTATACAGCAGTGAGACATTATGATATGGCAAACCATGGTCACAAGTCAAAGTTTTATGTTCTCTTACTATTTTGAGTGTATTTGGGAGTTTGAACAGTGTACTGTTTTGCAAAAATAAGAGAATGCGGGATGACAGTTCCTATCAGATCTAACAAGTATAACTAGTGGTGAAAAATTATGGGAATTATAGTTTAGCAACACCTGGCTAGCTGCGTGTTCTCCACTAGTGCCGATATTTATATCACACCTGAATCTAATTTTAATTTATGTTTAGACATTGATTTTTTATTTTATGTGCAATCTTTCTCCCTGAGTGGGATCCATGTTGGCTTCCCAAACAATAAGTTACTCAATATATTTAATGCATATACTTTCAAAAACGTTAAGTCCTTTATCACCTCTTGAGAAACAAATAGTTTTAAAATTGAGTTTTAGTTAATCCTATAAATTGTTTATTTGTAATTATTTATCTGGGTGGATCTTAATTTCTCCTTTTGTGGTTTTAGGGGAATCCTCCATGTCGGTGGTAGACGGTATGGTATGGAACCAGTTACTGGATCCGATCGATTTGAACACTTCTTCTTTATATTAGATGATTCTCACCAGCAGCCCTTTTCATGTGGTGTGTCAAATGATGGTCAATACCATGATCAGAGTTTAGAGAGCTTTTTCAAATACACAAATGTGTCACATAGCTCTTCTAGTGTGGAAACATTTCTTAGGGTAAATGCATTTCTGTCTACCTAAAATTTGATATTGTATACCTAAACCCTACTAATTCTAGTGTTCAATAGTGATTGTTATTGTTTTTTGTTTTAAAAAAAGATTATTGATTTCTTTCAGATCTGGGTGGATTTCTCTCTCTCCCTCCTCCTCCTCCTCTCATATTTTATTTCTGTAGTTAAAATAATGCAAAGGAAAATAGAACACTGATAAAATAAAAACAAGTTGCTCATATGAGATATCTGCTTGAATTCAACTTGTGTTAATCTATTACTTTTTATGTATTTGGTTATTTTTACCTCTTCAACAACAACAACAACATTATTTGTATACCATTCGTATCTCCCCAAAAGGACTCAGGGCAGTTTCCAACATATAATGCAAACATTCAATTGCCAGAAAGAAAACCATACAGACAATTACATCAAAATAAACACATTTGACAATATAACACACCCTAATTTAACTTAACAAACAAAAAACAACAAAAAGGATCATGAAATACCAAAATCCTGTTAAAAAACACTAAAAATAAAAATAAATAAAAGTACTTAAACTCCAATTTCATTGTAGCTCTCTTAGTAGAGGTTCAACAAACCAACGGCCAGGATTACAAAATGAACGTGGCCAATTATAAGAGGGCTGGACAAGGGATAGTGCAAAAGAAAGTGGCTTAAAAGTGCTTAAAAGTGTTAATTGTACAGTTCCCTACATTTAGGTTTACTGTCTAAATAAAGCATGAACTTACAGAAAAGGGAATGATAGTCAAGGAGGGAATACTGCTGGTCCTTCAAGGCCAGGGCAGTGGCAGTTGGAATGAAAGAAGGCTGCTTCAGCTTACTGTGGACCTATGCATGATGTAGCTATGCATCTCTGCTTCTCTCTCTTTGAGTACAGGGCAGTAGCAGTTAGGAGGGTAGTTATCTACTTCTGGGCTTCGGCATGATGGGGCTGTGTCTGCTTTTTCTTCCTTTCCTACAAGGCCAAGGCAGTGACAACTGGGATGGAGGAAGGACCTTTTATCTACTTCTAGGCTTAGGCATTATTGAGCTGTGCCTGTCTTTTCTTATCTCCTTGCAAGGCTATGGTAGGAATAGTTGGGATGGAGGGAGAACCTTTCATTTACTTCTATAACTAGGCAGGATGGAATTGTGTCTTCTTCTTCTCTCCCTTTGGGTTTAGGGCAGTGGTAGTTGAGGCAGAGGGAGGTCCTTTCATTTGCTTCTGGGCCTAGGTAGTTGAATGGACAGAGGGCCCTTTATCTGCTTCTGATGCTATGCAAGATGAAAGCATGCCTGCTCCTTCTTTGCTCCCTCTGAGTCAAAGACAGTGACAGCTGGGATGGAAGGACTTTTCATCTGCTTCTGGGTCTAAGCCATTTCTCTGCCTGCTTGAGGAATGTACATTAGAACCTCACACGTTAATCCATACTTGGATTGAGCTGATCTTAAATATAGTTTTAAAAATAAATATATATAAGGAAGCCAGTATTTTGCTTAACCTAATGGGATTTAGGTGTTTCCAGAAACTAACATTTCTGAGGTATACAATCATGTATTAGAAGCTGAGCGGGTAAATTGGCCTCTTCCTGTGATTCCTCATATATCTTAACAAAACCTTTAAAAATTGGAAAGAGTTCATGCACCTACAGAAACTCAAAATGAAACAACTGTAGTTTATGCAGTCTTCTTTCCACTTTACAGAGAAGAAGAGCTGTGCTACCAGAGAAAAGATATGTAGAACTGTATATAGTTGTTGATCATAACAAGGTAATTTTTATTAGCCTAATATATTTTTTGGCCATATTTGAATGTATTCTCCTAAAACATGTTGTATTTTGAATTATTTTAGTATTTGTTGAAAAAATCGGATGCTGGAGCAGTACAAAAGGATGTGGTTGAACTGACAAATTACGTGGATGCGGTAAGTCATCATAGAACCATTTTTAGGCAATGTGGCACCAACTTGTAGAAAAAGGAAGAGGTTAGGGTTAGGGTTAAGCATGTTAGCATTCGAAAATGTCATATATGTTTTAATGTGCAGACAACAGGGATCCAGGACAACCCAAATACAGAACTTGACATAGAATGGATTTTGGAAATATTTTCTTTTTTTAATACAGCTCTAAAAACACCCAGACCAAGGGAATACTGTGAGTTATAGTCAAGAACATTAGAATTTTCATTGGCCCAATTGTCCAAAATCCTGGGTTCCCCAGTGTGCTAGTACCCCAATCAGATCCAATGAACATGCACAAATTAGAGGCAGGAACAGAAATCTTTATTCAGCAACGGGCAGAGTGGTTACCAGTGGATGCAACGAAAATCCCAAATCTGGTATATTTTCCTGTTACAAGCATGGATATTATATAGATAGTTTACAGTAATTACAAAGAGTGGACTTGTGCTGTGATTTGTGCAAATTATGATCCACAATATCATTGGTTCAAAGGTACATTCATTTACAGTTTGGAATTGGTGCATAGTGTGGAATAAACCATCATTGGTTGCATTTGAAGCTGTCTGGTTTCTGGGATCAGGATAAAAGGGTGAGAAGGTGGCTTGATGGGCTTATTGCTTGTGTCAAGCCTGGGTCTTTGTGAGACAGGAGAACTGGCTGATTGCTGATCTCTTGTTTATAGTGAAGGTATGAGGTCAAGGGATGTGTAGTAATTATGCACACTTAGTGGGTGAATTGGCAAGGTTTGGAAAAGAGGATTTGGATTGGTTCTTCAGGAAATTCCAGAGTTGTGCCCGGGGGACCTCATAAGATTACCCCTCTGAGCCCCGGATTGTAGCTTCGATTTGAGGAGGTGGAGGTGGAGGTGGAGGTGGAGGTGGGGGGGAGGGGTCAAGAACACTATCAACAGCTTTTGCTTTATTGTTGTTTATTCGTTCAGTCGCTTCCAACTCTTCGTGACCTCATGGACCAGCCCACGCCAGAGCTCCCTGMCGGCTGTCACCACCTTCAGCTCCTTCAAGGTCAAACCAGWCACTTCAAGGATAATATCCATCCATCTTGCCCTTGGTCATCCCTCTTTYTTTTTCCTTCCATTTTCCCCAGCATCATTATCTTTTCCAAGCTTTCCAGTCTTCTCATTATGTGGCCAAAGTACTTCATCTTTGCCTCTAATATCCTTCTCTCCAGTGAGCAGTTGGGCATTATTTCCTGGAGTTTAGACTGGTTTGATCATTTTGCTTATACATCATAATTGTTGAGGTATCCTTTCCAAACAACAAAAAGCATAGAATTCAAACAGCTTAAAGTAGCATCTTATCAGATGGAGAATTCTGCCCCATTTATCTCTTGGTATGTTATCAGCTTCTTTTACCATACCTTTCCCACATAATAACAGACTTTAGGATCACATCCTAGAAGGCCTACTTTGCGAATCTTCACCAAATTCTCCATTTCTTGGTCATTGTAGAGTTCTATATACTCACTGCTTCAGTGTCAATTGTTAGTGCTAACCCATTGCATCTCTTCTGTTTATTCAATAGGCTGAATAAGGGTCGTGCTATATGCTGTTTTGGAGGATTCCCCCCCCCCTTTTTTTTTTTTTTTGCTTTTAATGGATTTGTTTTCAAGAAAGAAAATGCAGGATGTTAATGAACTGTTATAAGGTTATGGAGGAGTTTGCTTATGTCTACATAACTGTATTTGCAGATGTTCAGCCCCTTAAACATACAAGTTGTCCTAATTGGGGTGGAAATATGGACAAGTGAAAACCCAATAGATGTGACTGGGCCAGCTGGAGATGTACTGAGCAAATTTGTAGCATGGAGACACAATGTTCTCACAAAAAGACCAAGAAATGATGTCAGCCACCTCCTCATGTAAGGATTGTTCCTCTATATAAGTGATTATAGATGGGAATGGAAACCTGACTTTTAAAAAAAAGGCATTAAAGAGTCTGCAGCTGGAAGAATCATGCAGGTCAGAGCCATCTGATGAAATGCTTTCTTATGCAATCATTCATATAGGACTGTTGATAACTAGCTCTTGAGAGTCTTCTCATTAACAGAACTACCATAAGTTGAAGCCGATTACTCTTCTTAATACTAGAGTTCTTTCACAAAGGATTCAAATTCCCCAAAATACAAATCCTAGGATTCCATAGGAAAGAGACAATACAGTTCGGAGATACACTCCTGATATTTTTTTCATATAAAAGTTGCAAATCTTCCCAGTTGGCAAAATTCCCTGCATTAGATGCTATAGACTGCATTTGCAGAGCAGTATCCAACATGAACATATTTCTAGTTTCCACGGTGCATGTTTTTCCCTCTTGTATCACAGAGGCAGAAAAGCTTTTGGTACTGCAGTTGGAATGGCTTTTGTTGGCACTGTCTGCAGTCCAGCTCATGGAGGCTCAATCAGTACTGTAAGTACATTACATTTTTTTTCTGGTCTTATTGTGTCTGTCTTTTATCTAGTTCAATAAGATCTTGGAAATATGCCTGAGGGTTTCTTTAATGGTAGAGCACGCTATTATATCTTTGTGCATACATATTCTAGTTTGATAATATAGCTATAGATTTTGCTTGAGGTGTCTTAGCAAATAAACATCTGTATTTGCACGTTTATGTTTTTGGCCTGGTTGGTTATTGCGATAAATTATTCATTTGATGTATTCCAGGGAGAGGAGAAACATTATCTTGATCGGAAGTGTTGTCAATCAGGATAGTATTGGATAGTGGTTAGGTATTGATAGCAAAATAGAAATCTTTATTGGTCTGTGATACTCACTGGATAACCCCAAGCAGTCACTTAGTAAATCCCTGAGCAACTGCTATAGGAAGTCACTCTTCCCTTGCCCCAGTCTCAAAATATAAGGAGGAGTAATCACTTGTTTTCTTTTTTTGGAAAATGCCATTTATAAATATTTGGAGATCATAACCTTTTGGGAAAGCATAACCTTTCAGAGAAGAGCCAAAAACCTGTTTGAGTAGAATCTTCTCAAATGGTACAAAACCAATTTGCTTCAGTTGTTAGACTGAAGCTATTGTCTCTGATCTGTTAGGAAAACAGAAATCATGCCAGGGCATAAAAATAGCAGTGCTTCAGATGTGTTTTTCAGTGCTCAGAAATATACTTACTCTCCCATAAAACAACTGGTTTTATATCATGCACTCAAGAGACAAAATGAACTAGACTTTGGTAAAAAAAATTGGTTTACTCACAACTTCATGTGTTTATCATACATAGATACACAAATTATCAGTCCAAACACAAATATATTTGAGATAATCTCTGTGTGCAGATGGCACAGGGCATCTTTCTTACAAACACCAAGAAAGTGTTTGCTCTTAGCAGTCCCAAAGTCTAATGCGGTCTGTGATCTGAGCAGTCTCAGATCAAATCATGTGGTCTTCAGCTCCTCCCACAACTTCTAAAGAAAAAACATAGAACAAGGAAAGCTGCATACCAGAACATACATGCAATAATTAAGCAACGGAATCATAAATTAACAAATTAGTAGAGGAGGCTTGAAGAAGATTGCAATTTCCAACAGTTTTCTCCATACGAGTAAATGACGTGAAAGGATGGGAGACTTGCTTAACAGTTTTATGTGATGACAAAAATGGGCTGCAGTTAGTAGAACCTTGATTGAAAGAAAACACAGTTTTTCCTGTATCATAAATCATAATCTCTCAGGATCCAGGGAATGTGAGGTGGTTGAGGGAAGATATTGTCTGTGATTCTGTAAGTCTCTTGGTTGTTGTAAACTAGGTTTCAACAGCAGAGAAGGTGACAAGAGTTTTTAAAAGACTACCTGGTTGCTGCAAAGTTTTTATGTATTCACAACATTATTAAACTATGTCCTTCTCTTTGCCAGTTTGATCACGATACAGTGATAAGTCATGCTACTATTGTTGCGCACGAACTGGGACATAACCTGGGAATGAATCATGATGATAAAAGTTGTCCAGGTGCCTACATTATGCACAGTATAGACAAGTAAGAGCTCTTAATTATTTTCTCTTTTAAAAACCGAATGCATTTTCTATCTGTATATCAGGGTCTGCTCTGCTCTGTTGGTCCTCAAGTTTCCAAACTTTTACTATCAGGCATGACAATCTAGCAATGGTGTAGTGCTATAGCATTGATGTAGTTGCATTATTGAAGTGGATTCCATTTCTTAAATTAGTACTGCTCTAGATTGCCCAGAACACATTTGCCTTACTCCAAATGACCAGGCTCACATATCTTTTTGTAAAAGTTCCATCACATTTCTAGGTGCATCATCCACACAACTTTCTTACTTGGGCTGTTTGTTGCTTTGGAAGGGTTACTGGCAAATTTTGACATTGGAGTCCCCTAGTATTGGATGGTGTCCCACAGAATTGGACAAGGCATTGTTTTAGACCATGGGTTATATATTGCATACCCCAGCCAAGCAGCAAAATAGATGAAGTTTACCAGCCAAATTCCCTGGCTGAGTAGAAGCAAGGTGGGGAACACTTTAGAGAGAAAAAGGGAGTCATGTGGTTTATGTGAATGCTTTGTAACCATTGTGATATTTGTTTTGTAGGCAAGATGAATGAATATGCCAAATGAAAGCTTGAAAGGGTTATTTTTTTGGACTACAACTTTTAGCATCCTCTAGCCCATCTGTCTGAAGAATTTAGAAATTGTTAGCCCAGAAAAACAATGTATTACCTAATAGATCCAAGAACTTCTTTATGTGTTTCTTAGTGGGTCCAGGAACTTCAGTAGCTGCAGTGAGAATGATTTTGAGCAACTCATCTTGAGAGGTGGAGGAACCTGTCTTAGAAATGCTCCCAAACCAAGTGACATTTTCACAGAACCTGTGTGTGGCAATAACATTGTGGACAGAAATGAAGAATGTGACTGTGGCACTCCTAAAGTAGGTAATTTTTTGAAACATTGTTTATTCAGATTTAGCATTCTGTGTTTTAATGTCTAAAAAAAATTACAGACAAATACTCCGAATAACTTTGTCTTAGGCTGAATCTTATAATTTGCTCTTGATGATTTGGCACAGAATGCCCAAATGATTTCCCCCCTCTTAACAGGAGTGTTCAAACCCTTGCTGTGATGCTGCCACTTGCAAACTGAAACCTGGATCAGAGTGTGCAGAAGGATTGTGCTGTGAAAAGTGTCAGGTGAGCTCTTTTCTGTTTAGCACAATCCTAGGGACCTTTATTTAGAAATAAAGCTCTTTTTGTTAATTAGTGACTTGCCCCATAGGACTGCAAACTTAATGCTAGTACGTTTTGCTTAAATTCTCCAGTACATTAAGGACAATATTAAGCTCAGCAATAAATACTAGCATGTTTGATCCAGGCAGACAACCACAGAATTATTATATTTCTTCAATTCTAAGATGCTATCGATTGTAAGAAACATTAATTTCAGTACCACCCCACCAGCAAAAGAATACATAAGATACACCTGCGATTCTAAGATATGTTTATATTGTTGGGGGGGGGGGTGTCTTAGAATCAAATAAATACAGTATATGGTAGATTGGATGCCCATCTTTCAGAAGTGCTGTAGTTATGTATTTCTACATAGCACAAGGTTGATTAGATAGCTCTTACATGTCCTTCCATACATCCTTCCAGAAGTATTATTATTCAATTAAAAACACAGTCACCACAGGAGCATTTTTCCTGTTTTTTTCCATGCCAACCCATGTTTTAACATCACAATATTTTATGGTCTTTGAGCACAAAAAAGCAACAAACATCTTATTTTCTAGTTCAAAGTAGCCGGAATCGAGTGCAGGAAAAAAGGGAATACCTGTGATCTCCCCGAATATTGCAATGGAACGTATCATGACTGCCCAGATGATGTGTATATCATGGATGGCTATCCCTGTAACAATATGAAAGATTATTGCTATAGTGGAGTTTGTCAGAATTATGATTCTCAATGTGAATCCCTCTTTGGAAAAGGTATGTTTCAAATGATTCATGCAAAAACACCATGCAAATGAAGTTGGCAGATATGTCAGCTTAGAAAATACTAAGGCACTGAGGAAAAATACTGCTTTTTTTTTTTTACAAAGAAATATTTATTGTTTTAATAGGAGCCAAAAAAGGACCAAATATTTGTTTTGAAATTGCAAATAGCAATGGAGACAGATTTGGGAATTGTGGGATGTCTGAAGGAAAATTTGTAAAATGCACCCAAGCGTAAGTAACCTGCAAGTTGTATTTGTATTCTATTATCAAATTAATATTTCAGTTCTGGGCACTCTTAGACCCCTTCTACATTGCCATATAAATTCCAGATTATCTTCTTTGGACTGGATTATATGTGGATTATCTGCTTTGATAATTTGGATTACATGGCAGTGTAGAAGGGGCTTTAATTGGGTTTATAAATTAATGAATGCAATAGCCACATCTGTGGCATAATCAAACTGTGACTGATATAATTGTGATTGACTAACATGTTATTCCTTCTCTTGCCATTTCCCACCTTCTCCTACACATTAATTCTTTGTTTCCATCAAACTGGAATCCTCAAACCTTGGCTGAATGCTGGTTGAAACCCTAGAATATTAGGACAATGGATAGTTCACGAAAACTGAGTCTGAATTTCCCAATTTGAATATAAGAGAAAATTCTAGCTTTACATAAACCAGGGCCCCCTGGTAGTGCAGTGAGTTAAACTGCTGAGCTGCTGAACTTGCTGACCAAAAGGTCAGCAGTTCAAATCCGAGGAGCAGGGTAAGCTCCTGCTGTTAGCCCCAGCTTCTGCCAACCTAGCAATTTGAAAACATGCAAATGTGAGTAGATCAATAGATCAATAGGTAGCTCAATAGGTAGCTCTGGCGGAAAGGCAAGAGCGCTCCATGCAGTCATGCTCACATGTTGCCCATAGGAGGTGTCTACGGACAACGCCGGCTCTTCGGCTTAGAGATGGGGATGAGCATCACCCTTCCAGAGTCAGACACGACTGGACTTTAATGTCAAGGGAAAGCTTTACCTTTTAACATAAACCAGGAATTCAGGATTGATGAATTTAAAAAGCTTCTGATGATTATCAAAATGGAGTCAATGTCACTTACTTCTGAAAAGGACACAGAGGATCAGGATATGAATGCAAAACTGTAGTATTCAGAAGCCTTCTTGGCCATGATAGTCCACGCTCTGGTTACATCCCGAATAGATTACTGCAATGCACTCTACGTACGGTTACCTCTGAAGACTGTTCGGAAGTTTCAGTTAGTCCAACGCTCGGCGGCCAGGTTGCTCATGGGAGCGGGAGCGTACAACGCTCCACTGGCTGCCTATTAGCTTCTGAGTACAATTCAAAGTGCTGGCTTTGGTCTATAAAGCCCTTAACGATTCTGGCCCAGTTTACCTGTCCGAATGTATCTCCCGCTATGAACCTTAAGGCTCGTAGCAGGACCTTAAGATCGTCCAGGGAGGCCCTGCTCACTGTCCCTCCACCATTGCAATGGCAGTTGGTGAGGACAAAAAGACAGGGCCTTCTCCATGGTGGCCCCTCCCAAGTGAAATCAGATTCGCTCCATCCCTCTTGACATTCCATAAAAAAAGTGAAATCCTGGCTGTGGGATCAGGCCTTTGTGTACTAGACTGACTTGCTGGCAAAGCTATGGTTTTAATGGACTCTGATGGACTGCTTTTAGGATGACAACGACTTAAACTGACGATTTTAAAATGTTTTTATAATGTTTTATGCTGTTTTTACTTGATATGTATACCTATGTTTTTGGTTTCTTTTGTTGTTGTTGTTAGCCATCCTGAGTCCCTCTGTGGAGGTTGAGATAGGACGGGAAATAAATGCTCTAAATAAATAAATAAATATTTGCTTGGGAGACTAGATTTAGTTTATCACATGTTGTTCTTTTTAAAAGCCAATGGATTTTGCTTGTAGTTGTTGAGAATGTTTTTCTAGTAGGCCACAAAGTGAACAATGAGGAGGCTGAAGGAGGGCTGATCCACTAGCTTTTCTTATATGGAGGATGAAAATGGGCATACATTTTGCAGACCTGAAGAGGTTCCCCACTATCTCACCAGTAAATTTGCGATGGGAGTGGAAATGGCAGTATATTAAAAACTGGTGTAAACAAAATTGTGCATTTTCATAAATATATAGAAGCTGTTTTTACATTTGCCCAGGGCTTCCCATATTCTTTATTACATTCATATTCATATTTGATTTCTCCCTCCAGCAATAGTCTCTGTGGAAAGGTTCACTGTACATCTGTCAGTCAACAGACTCAACTTTCTCAAGTGTACATCCAAAATCAGGGTGGTGTTTCCTGTGTGACTACAGCCTTTGATCTTGGTTCAGATGTTCCTGATCCAGCTCTAGTTAACAGAGGCACTGCCTGCTCAGAAGGAAAGGTGAGGAAGTACTTGCTGATACTTAAGCAATGGCAAAACTGAACACATTATCTCAGCGTTTCCAAATTTTTCTTAATGGTTCCTATTTTCTCCAACCTCTTTCTCCCAACCGTAGTTCAGCAGTGGCAGGTGTTCATGTTCTACTAGCCATACGTCTCCATTGTCGCATTAATGCAGTTTGACACCACTTTAACTGCTATGGTTTAGTGCTATGGAATCAGGGAATTTGTAGTTGTATAAGGTCTTTAGACTTCCCAGCTAAAGAATTCAGATGCCTCAGCAAATTACAAATCCTATAATTCCATAGCATTGAGCCAGAGTAGTTAAAGTGATGTCAAACTGCATTAATTCTGTAGTGTAGACCGAATACAGAAAAACCCCTGCCAGAAAAAAATGGCAGACCTTATATCAGAGCTGGTGAACATTTGACCTCACAGATGTGTGAGACTATGGTCTCTTCCACACAGCTGAATAAAATCCCACATTATTTGCTTTGAATTGGGATATTTGGTAGTGTAGACTCAGATAACACAATTCAAAGCATAAATTGTGGGATTTTCTGCCTTGATATTCTGGGTTGTATGGCTGTGTGGAAGGGCCCCTACAACACCCTTAACTCTTCGCCATTAGCTATACTAACAGGGACTTCTAGCAATTGAAATCTAAGGCTCCTTCTACACTGCCTTATAATTCAGATTATCAAAGCAGAGAATCCACATTATCTGCTTTGAACTGGATTACACTTCCATATAATCTAGTTCAAATCAGATAATCTGGATTTTATATGGCAGTGTAGAAGAGTTAACCAACTCAAAGCGGTTAACAATAGCAAAATTCAATGCTCAGAACAACATAAAACAGTTAAAAACAATTAAAACAGTAGCATATTAAACAATCAATTATTATAAATTATAAACAAAACAATTATAAACAAATATTAGGAGGGGCTAAGATTGTTGCAAATATGTTGCGTATCCCTGCCTAGCCAAGTATGGAGTGCATACTCTATTAGGAAATTACGATTTGATTTATGCATTATTTCATTATTTCATCATCACCATTATTATCATCTGTTTACATATTACTATCACCAGACATAACACTTTACAAGTAATAGAACAATAAAACGGTTCCTTGCCCTCAGGCTCACAATCTATCCTCATTTGAAGGAAACTAGTTCGAATATAATCCTGAACCATGGTTTAGTGCTGGGCTGGGGAAAATATTTTGTACAGCGTATGTTTTTCCGGTTCTAAAAGGTGGAAATGCTTTGTTACAGGTAACAAGAGCTCTAAATTGAAGGATGTTGATAGTTTGAGCTCACCTTTATGTCTTGAACGTGGTCCCCAAAAAATTCCCTGCAACTGAATCCAGCCTTTTGATAGGGTTGATTGAAGAAAAATGTTTGGGTTTTTTTCCTGGCCATTATACGCTCATGAAAAGGTTTAGTGTTCAGTATTACGCACATGAAGTGTGGCATGTCTCTGAGCTGCTTGCTCTTTTCCCTCTTATCTCTTCCTTTGGCACACTCCAAAGGATGAGATTAAAATATCAGTTCCCAGTTTCTGACTAATCAGTGTTCCCCTTTGTCCTTTGTCATTTTTTGAATAGTTAATAGGTAAATCATAAGCAAATCTCCAATCCCGTCCTGCTTGAATTATCTAGTTGATTTATATTAATAAATTAGCTTTAAGAGGGAAGGTCTTATAGTTTAAAACTGAAAAGGGGAAGCTTTTGGTCTATTCCTGATTTTTTTTAAAAAAAAAAATGCTGCAGCCATGAAACACCAGTAAATCTTCTCTTACAACAGTGGTTTTGTTTCTTTCTGATTATCTTCGAATCCATTTTGGGTTAATGACCCAGGCCCTTTCTACACTGCCATAAAATCCAGATTATCTGCTTTGAACTGGATTATATGGCAATGTAGACTCATATAATCTAGTTCAAATCAGATAATCTGGATTATCTGCTTTCATAATCTGGATTATATGGCAGTGTAGAAGGGCCCCCAGAGTCAGATCGGTATAGTCAGGGTCATATTGATGTTCAAGTACAGGCTACATATGAATATGTCCATTTTCTCTTCAGTGCATAGTTTCATTTCTAAAGATATGGTACACTTTCTAATTTGATTTCAAAAGTTTTTTCAATTTTTTCCAGGCTTGTGTTGATTCCAAATGTGTGAATGCAAGCCTGCTTGGTTACGATTGTGATGTAAAGAAAAAATGTCATGACCATGCAGTAAGTAAGAAAGTGATGATACTGTTCCATTGGTAGAGCAAAAGAAAAAAGAATGATGTAATATCCTAGTACCTTGTCATACCACAGTTCATCTGAAACTATTTTCATGTGATCTGTATGGCCATGATTGCTACAAGAGGAGATGGCAGCATATGCAGTTATCCTTTCACATCAATAATCCAGACTTTTTTTCCCACAGTYGTGATGTCTGGTGTATTGTGTTCCAAAACTTTGTCAGTCTGGATTTGAAAGTCCCACAGTATTTTTGCATGTTCATTTTCCATGACCTTTGCGGGTTTATGATCCCACCAATTCTTTACTGCTGGCAGGTGGTACTTGTGACATAAGTTCCAGTGAATCATYTGGGCCACAGAGTTGTGTCTTTGTTTGTAGTCCGTCTGTGCGATTTTCTTGCAACAGCTGAGGATATGATCCATGGTTTCATCAGCTTCCTTGCACAGTCTGCATTTGGGTCTTTTTTTATTATTATTATTATTATTATTATTATTATTATTATTATTATTATTATTATTATTATTATTATTATTCCCCTCTTTATCTCTCCTGAAGGAGACTCAAAGTGAGTTAACATAAAAGCATTAACATTAAAGTATTAGCATACAATTTAAAATATACAAATATGCAAACATTAAATATAAACAGCCTTAACATTCAGTTTTTTAAATAATGTAAAACTTTTAACATTTGAGAACAGGTCTCTATGAATTTCAATGTCCTCCAGCGTGAGTCAATAGCCATTTTCCAGTATGTAGGTTTACTGTCAATTCATACTAGAGGATTTACTGTATGGTTCCTAAAGAGACCATATTAACCAAATCTCCAAAAGACTGACTTTAGTATGATTAGTTCCTTCTTGCAACTTGCCTTCTGTTTCTACTTCCATTATTTTCTCTGTTTCCATAAAGTACATGCTGTACTTTGTTTCAAATATCAAAAAAACAATTGACGCCTAATTTTGTGAATTGTATTTTGAAAAACATGTGTATCTTGTCCCTAAAGAACTGCATCTCCAAGACTGATCATGTTCCATCTTTTTTATCTTTCCTTACGTATCAGGAGCCAATAATAATATTATTTTATTTCTAATAGTTATATGTAGTATTTATTCACTAAGTTATAACTTTGACATTTGTCTCTGTAAAAAAAATCTACTTGTATCAGATTATTTACTTTGTTAGCAGGACAGAGACAAGATCAAACTTTATTTGAAGCATTCATACATTGGTTTCTGTATGATTTATTTTGAGAAGGATCTACTTGCATCAGATTATTTTGCTTAGGTCCAATCTATACTACCATATAAAATCTGCTTTAAACTGGATTATTTGGCAGTGTAGACTCATATAATCCAGTTCAAAGCAGATAATGTGGATTATTTGCTTTGGTAATTTGGATTATATGCCGATGTAAAAGGGGCCTTAGAAGTCCTTCTACGTAACTTTTTGAGATAGACATTGAATTGGTAGCTTTGCAAAGTTTGGGGGGAAATGTAACATTTTGGTACTACATCTCCCAGAATCCCCCAATGAGCATAAACCCTACTCATTGACCATGCTTGCTCGGAGATTCTGTGTGTTGCAGTCAAAGTAACGGTTCTGAACTTATCACAGTAAAATACCTTCCTCAATGGAGCAGACTAACTCAAGAAAAATGAGGAAAAGTGGGGTCTGATTAATCTCTAGCTTTTTTCCAAATTTTGTAATTGTATTTTTTATTATTCTTCCCCTTTCTACAATTTTCATAGGTATGTAACAATAAAGGCAATTGCCACTGTAATCCTGGATGGGCGCCTCCTTTCTGTGACAGATCTGGTTATGGTGGCAGCATAGACAGTGGCCCAACACATATAGGTAAGACTGGTTCTGACTTATGCAATAATTTACTTATTAGGGTAGCCACTTATATTTTAGAGTGAGCAGTGCATTGCTTGCCTTTTCTGTTTGAAAGGCCGTCCAGTCCAAGTCCGGTTTTAAGGTAAGGAACCATAAGAAAAGATATCAGAGGTTTTAAAGTCATCCAGGCATTAACACTTGTCACCTGGACAGAAGACTCATAGAACACATAGCTCATAGTCTTTCCCACTGGTGAAATATACTGTATTGAAACTTTCCTCTTCTTTCCTCCCTTAGATACATCACTTCGAGATGGCCTCCTCATTTTTTTCCTACTTGTGCTACCTTTGCTAAGTCTACTTGTGGCTGGATTTATTAAAAGGGATGCAATCAAGAGACGGCTTTGCAGAGAACGTCGAAGACGTCAGAGGTATAAATAAAAATACTAATAAACAAAACAGGCCTGACCTGACAAAGTTGAGAGAGGCATGAATTAGACACATGGAAGACTGCAGCTTTAAGTGTACACACACACACACACACACACACATATATATATATATTTCCATGACACAAAATACTGTTTTTCGGTATATTCATATTTTAATGCATTTGCTCTGTTTTAACAATATTGTGACATGTCTGCTGTTAGCCACCAGGAGTTCTTATATTGGGAGAAAGATGGGATACAAATAACATAAATAATAAATACATAAAAAAACGTAGTAATTAAAATAGACATAGCATTGGTTATCCCACTGTTTTCAAAGGCTTCCATGGCTGGAATCACTGGGTTGCTGTGAGTTTTCTGGCTGTGTGGCCATATTCCAGAAGCATTTTCTCCCAATGTTTCACCCACATCTCTGACTGGCATCCTTAAAGGTTTTGTGGTCTGTTGGAAACTAGGCAAGTGGGGCTTATATATCTGTGGAATGTCCAGGGAGAAAGAACTCTTGTCTGCTTGAGGCAAGTGTGAATGTTGCAATTAGCATTTAATCGCCTAGCAGCTTCAAAGCTTGGCTGGTTCCTGCCTGGGGGAATCCTTTGTTGGGAGATGTTAGCTGGCCCTGGTTGATTCTTGTCTGGAATTCCCCCTGCTTTTTGAGTGTTGCTCTTTATTTGCTGTCCTGATTTTAGAGTTTTAAAATACTGGTAGCCAGATTTTGTTCATTTTCATTGTTTCTTCCTTTCTGTTGAAATTGTCCACATGCTTGTGGATTTCAGTGGCTTCTCTGTGTAGTCTGACATTGTGGTTGTTGGAGTGGTCCAGCATTTCTGTGTTCTTAAATAGTATGCTGTGTCCAGGTTGGTTCATCTGGTACTCTGCTATGGCTGACTTCCCAGGTTCAATTAGTCTGCAGTGCCACATCTATGGCAGGATGCCTGGCATAGATGTGAGCAAAATACCAGGAGAGAATGCTTCTGGAACATGGCTGTACGGCCCAGAAAACTCACAGCAACCTAGTCATCCCACTGTTTGGGGATACCCTTTCTCTGTGTGTACTTCATCCCTTTGTATTCAAAGCTCCCCCCCCCCCCCCGTGGAGTCATTGAACTGTTTTCTGTAGAAGCAGTAATTGTTTCAATTGTTCTTACATAGTAAACCTTTCAATCTGTGTACATAGCTTTAGAATAGGAGTAGGAGCTGTGCGCTTCCCTAGATATTTTTGAATAGCAATTCAAAGCATGCCTCACCATTGCTATTGCTGGGCATGGTGGCTGGTAGTTGGAAGTTCAATGGTATGTAATGTAAAATGTGACGAGCCAATGCAATTGCAGGCAGAACCCTGTGATTTGGGACATCCAACCTCCAGTACCAACTGAGTCACTGGGGCCCCATCTACACTGCCATATATTGCAGGTTGTAACTGTATTATATCACAGTGTAGATGGAACCCTAGTGTCAAAGGACTTGTCATTGTCGTTCAGTCTAACCTACCTTGGTGAGATTATGATGATGATAAAGTGAGGAGGAAGAGAGCCCTTTATGCCCCATTGAATTCAGTAACATTAAGATGGGTTAGAAGTGTGGTATATGAATAACTATTTTATTAATATATTTAGCTATGTGTCATGGCACATAAATGAATTGACTATCAAGCACACAAAAGCCTTTGTAAGTAGTAACCAATCACCAATAATGAATGTCAATTGGGATTAAAATTTGCAAATGATTTTGTCTACACCTGGCCTTTATCCCAAAGAGAACCAGAAGTTGAACTTGGATGTCCAAAAAAGTCCAGGAGTAAACTGGGTTAAACCAATTTAATTCTGCATTAAAAATAATTGGGGAATGCTCCACAGAAAGAAACACCAGTGCAGCCCCACACTTTAGGGAATGTGGACAGTGCATCTGACTCTAATCCAAACCTGTCTGCTGTCTACACAAGCCACTTTTTTTTTCATCCACTTGGAAGCAAAGGAAAAAGCGTCTAGATTGAGCCCATATCACCTGGATTTGGAGAGCTCCTGGCCATTGCTGGGCACTTTTGTTGGCATGAGTAAAGGTGCCCATGCAACCAGAGAGGAGGAGGAATCACATCCTGATTGAGGCTTTACTTGTACCATCATTAGTTTTATTAAATCATTTTAATTATATTTCCAGAGCAAAGGAGGCAGCACAAGCAAGACAGAATCAAACTCAAAATGAACCCAGGGAGCCTAATGCAGCAAATCCAAGGCGGGTAAGAATGCTTCTATACTTGATAAAATGTATCTATGAAGGAGATGATAGCTCTCCATTGTACCAGGGTATTCCTTTCTTCCTCATTTTATAAAGTTATCTCTCACTTAGTAATGCTGGCTTACTTTTATTGAACATCAAATCAACTGTCTTAAAATAATACATAGTATTTTCTAGAACGTAAAAAAAAAGAGTGGTTTCAGAATTATTTCAAGAAATCCATTTTTTCTTACTATATGCTTTATTTTCCCTCTTCAGCCTGCAACATCCAATTCTGGAGTCTTTACAATATCCCACTTTCCTGTACCAAGGTTTGCACTTTTCCATATACTTTTATGTGTGTAGCTGGCTACCACTGGGGCAGCTCCTTACACCAAGTATAAGAAAATCCCTTTTCTGTTGCGGGCCACATTCTTGCAGGGGTAATTTATAGTTGATGTTTGGGGGTGCATGCTGGTTGTGATTTAGATTCCACAAGAATTCTCTCATTAGGATATGGGTGGGGAAAGTGGAACCTTCATCCAGAAGTATTTTTAATATTAAAATTGGGTGCAAAATTGCACTGTAATCCCCAAAACACCTGCAGAATTACCGAACAAAAGCAGTGATCTGGGGTTGTTTACTTCCAGGTCCCCAAAAAGATGGGGAAAATTACTGCTTTTGGGCTAAAAAGCAAAACAGGAATGGATTATTATTTAATTATTAAATTTAATTACTATTTAATTATTATTTAAACAGGGAACTGCTTTTGTTTTTTTAACTTGTAAAGCATCATGTACAGTGATGCTGCTATATAAATAGAAAGTAACATTCACATTGTGATCTGTGAGGGGGCTTAATAAATGGTTCCTATCCACAACTTAGTTGTACACCTTAATTTACAGTAGAACAACATAAATCCTTCATTTCTTTCCCTTTTTAGTTGTTGGGGTTGAAAGGACTTTTCTTTAAATTAGTGGTAACGTGCTAGCTATACAGTGGTGAAACCATGTAGACATTTTGAATTCTAAACAAGGGAGAAAAAGTTATGCTAGTAATTGTGACACTCTTACATTTAGAGTATAATACAGTATTTACTCAAAAGGTGCCTGGTGACTGCATAAGTTTTATAGACAGACAAAACTTGGGTGTTGTTTTGTCGATTCTTTTTTCTGAAATATAGTTTGCACAGTACCTGATATTCATTGTTAGCCTCTAATTCAAGTACTAACCAGAGCTGAATCTGCTTAGCGTCCAAGATAAGAAAGGATTTTCTGCCATTAAGCCTTCTTTTTTCACAACTAATAGTCAATGTTATTTAGAAACAGGTTTAAATCCCAGATTAAAGCATCTTAAATTTATATCCCTTTGTCTTGAGAGGATTCATCTGGATTAATCAGTAAGTACAACTATTTGCATCAAACAGATAGACAATTGTAATATATATCTCTCTTCCATCTCTTTTAGGCCACCACTTCGAGGTCAGCCAGGACCTCCCCCACAAAGGCCTCCTTTGCGACCCCCAGTCCCACCCAGACCTGTTTTCACCAATGCTTCCTGAGGAAATATCAGTGACTTAGATTGACACCTCAAGTGTACTAGGAAAGATGTGCCAATGCTAAATCTGTGAAATGTTTCCAAAAGTATTATTTTTATTAACCTGCATGTAAAGACCTCGTTTTGATAGGGCAGCACTGCAATGATTTTGAATAATTTAACTTAAAAATAACTCTAGTTTTTATTTTATTTTTCTTTCTTATTAGGTAGGCAGTTAAGAGATGTCAACATGATAAGATTTGTATTTGCTATATGGTCCTCAACTGTGCTCTTCCAGGTGTTTTGCACCTCAGATTTTCTGTGAATATTGTGGCCTTTGAATTCAGCTGTCCAAAACATAAACCAAACTATGAAAGAAATCTAATGAAGAAAAGGTCCTGAGACTAAAAAATAGTTGAGGAGACTGTGATGTATTAGCATTTTCTCAATACACACACTCTCAATCTCTCTCTATATATATATATTCTCTCCTATTCAGCAAAGGGGGATCACTGCCCTGAAATACGTATATGTGGACAGATTTGTTTTTCTGGATTTGGAGCATACAAACAGAGGTTCACTAATTTTAAACACGTGCATTTTACATGTTTAGAGTTAGTAAATCACTCTTAGGGAAATAAAGACTTCACTGCTCTTGCGCTACTAAATCAATACTTTTACATGTTTGCTCATAAGTCCTGCGGTGTCTTCTGGGCTTATATTCCTATGCAAGTTTGTACAGAACTGTAGGCCAAGGGCCCTTCCACACAGCCGTATAACCCAGAATATCAAGGCAGATAATCCACAATATCTGCTTTGAAATTAGTTATCTGAGTCCACACTGCCATATAACCCAGTTTAAGGCAGATAATGTGGGATTTTATACAGCTGTGTGGAAGGGGCTATATTACCATATAAAATCTAAATCATCTTTGAACTGGATTATATGACAGTGTAGACTCATATAATCCAGTTCAAAGCAGATGTGTATTATCTTATTTGATAATCTGAATCTAATGCCAGTGTAGAAGGGGCCTAACACATTACATAAAATGTGTCAGCACCTGCCAGTAATAATAAGATAATTCAGAAGACTTGAATAATTTGTATAATAATTTATCAAATCATTTGTATATAATGCATTAAATGTCTTTTCTGAAGTTAATTTGGTAGAACTGTAGTAGGACCCAAGTTTTATCTACCAATGAGGCAAAAAAAGGTTTGCACGCTTAGAATATTTTAGTCTCTTTAAATCAAGCATCAAAATTTTCACATTTTCATACTATAATTGCTGCTTGGTAAACGTATGCTATGAAGGAGATATAAGTATGATATGAAGGACATTTACATTTGGTGCGGAGGTTAAAGTGGTGTCAATGTTTACAGTCGTAGAAATTCAATATCCACATTTAACTTCTTTTTTTAAAGACGGAAAATGAATGCGAAACCTCACTAACAGATTTCAGTGGTACTATTTATCAATAAATGTTCTAATACACAACTGTTTTTTGCAGTTTTGCACAAATTACTAGGCAATGCTAACTGGAAAAAGGGTGGTACTCAATTTGATATTGAAGTGAACAATTTTCTAAGAAAAAGAAATAAAATATATAGATCTTGTCATTTCAATTGCACAGTGGTGTTTTTTTTTTTACAAGCTGAGCATAACTCAACAAAAATTCTTTTAAAAAATAAATGATAGAAGAGTGATTTGGGTTGCTGTGAGTTTTCTGGGCTGTATGGCCATGTTCCAGAAACATTTTCTCCTGATGTTTCACTAACATCTATGGCGGCATCCTCAGAGGTTGAAAGGTCTGTTGGAAACCAGGGCTTACATATCTGTGGAAAGTCCAGGGTGGGAGAAAGAACTCTTGTCTGCTTGAGGCAAGTGTGAATGTTGCAAATAGCCAGCCTGACTAGCATGTAATGGCCTTGCATGTAAACCCTGGTTAGCATGTAATGACTACTGTCTGGGTGAATCCTTTGTTAGGAGTTGTTAGCTGGCCCTGATTGATTCTTGTCTGGAATTCCCCCTGCTTTTTGGGTGTTGTTATTTATTTACTGTCCTGATTTTGGAGTTTTTAAAAATACTGGTAGCCAGATTTTGTTCATTTTTATGGTTTCCTCCTTTCTGTTGAAATTGTCCACATGCTTGCAGATTTCTTTTTATTATTCTTTTATTGTTTTATAGTGTATATAAGAAACAAAACAGATGAACAAAAGAAAAAAATGAAAAAAGAAAAAATATGCAAAAGATTTACAAAAGACTGTACATTCAGTGCTCGTTAAACATATGAACAATCAGACTTGGTTGTACAATTAATTATATCTTAACATTTCTTAACCCTCTATCCTCCCACCCATGAACCCCACCCCATGACCTCCAAAGCCCTTCAAAAAAGGATCACACAACTAACCAGCAACTACCCATATATCTTCTTTCACTGAATCCCCTTTATGGCAATCTTCAAGTTTACCTTTGTCTTCTTTTCCAAATACCCAAGTGCCAGCCTCCATTTGTTTGCAAATTCTTCATTATTTCCTCCTCTGCTGCTATTTGTCAGCTTGGCCATTTGGATATAATCTACTAATTTCTCTCTCCAATCTTTAATTGATAACTTTTTCCCCTTTCCAAGTTTTGGCTATTAGTCTTGTGGCAACAAAACAATATTGACAAATTTCTTATTCTCCTGCACTGATACACATTCTAAATAGTCCCAATAGGCACATTTCTGGGTTTTTCTTGACCTTTTTGGTTATAGAAGCACCCGAAAATGGAAGAGGAGATGGAAGTCACAAGCAACAATCTTTTTTATATATATATTCTTCTTTTTTCTCCTTTTTTACATATTTTACTCTATCTTCTCTCTTTCTGCTCTTTTTATATGGTTGTTCCCCCACTTTCAATGTACACTGGAAATATATTTTTTCTTTCTCTCTTTTTCTTTTTTTTTTCCCATTTCTTCCCCCCCCCCCCCCCCAAAAAAAAGTAACCAGATTTTGTTTCATTTTCATCTCTTTCTGTTGAAATTGTCCACATGCTTGTGGATTTCAATGGCTTTTCTGTGTCTGACATGTGGTTGTGAGAGTGGTCCAGCATTTCTGTGTTCTCAAATAATATGCTGTGTCCAGTTGGTTCATCAGGTGCTCTGCTATGGCTGACTTCCTCTGGACTTGAAGCTGCAAGACCATTATTTGAAGTTGCAAGGCCATTCAATGCAAAAACCCTAAAGGAGAGCCATCCTCACTCCAACCTGGCAATTCCTGAAAGATGCCCCAGTGTGGAACTGCGCCTGCGCAGACTAGCGCCTCGAAGGTCAATCTCACGTTGAGCCGGATTTCCCAAGCCATCGCGAGGTTTGGCTGGACCAGACGATTGTACTCGTGACTCCCAAACCTTAGGCTTCCAGGTGCTTTGAACTCCCAATTCCCAGAAGCCTCAGCTGCTTTGGTCAGTTGTCAAGGATCAAAACGTCCTGTAATGCATTCGTTTCCAACCTTGATGTTTTGGACTTCATCTCCCAGAAGCCCCGGCCGGTATGATCAAGGCTGTGGAATTCTGGGAGTTGAAGTCCAAAATTTGTAGTCGAAAGAGGAAGGAAAGGGACTTCTTTGGCTTCTTCGACCGCCCTTTGCGATTCGCTGCGTTCAGGTGAGTGACGTCAAAAGGGACCAATCAGCGGGTTGTTGTTATGCGAGTAGGCGGGGTTTTCAGTGAGTTTCGCGGGTTTAAAGGGGCGCAGAAGCGAGGTGAGTGAAACAGGAAAAGGGATTGTTGTTGTAGGTTTTCCGGCTGTATGGCCATGTTCCAGAAGCATTCTCTCCTGACGTTTCGCCTGCATCTATGGCAGGCATCCTCAGAGGTTGTGAGGTCTGTTGGAAACTAGGAAACAGTGGAACTCCAGACAAGAAACAATCAGGGACAGCTAATCACCTCTCAACAAAGGTTCTTGAGTTAAAAATGTCATTTCCTAATTGGTTCTATCATTAAAAAAATGTAAAAAGCTTATTAAACTGCAGCACATTTCACTATTATTTTTTCAATGAATATCTCATAAAGTCTCAACCAATTCAACATTGTTTGTGGTAAACACAAAACCACAAACACAAAGTTTCTGTGATATACCAACTACTTTCAAAGTAAGCAACGCACAATTGTAACAGGAAATAATACTTTCAAACCAGGAACCGAAGAGTTTTCAAATTTTGTTACATAGTGAAATGCTTAAATAAGATATCTTATTCTCTGTAAGTACAGCCGGTGGCGCAGTGGGTTAAAGCACTGAGCTGCTGAGCTTGTTGATCGAAAGGTCGCAGGTTCGATTCCGGGGAGCGGCGTGAGCTTCCGCTGTCAGCCCTAGCTTCTGCCAACCTAGCAGTTCGAAAACATGCAAATGTGAGTAGATCAATAGGTACCGCTCCGGCGGGAAGGTAACGGCGCTCCATGAAGTCATGCCGGCCACATGACCTTGGAGGTGTCTACGGAAAACGCTGGCTCTTCGGCTTAGAAATGGAGATGAGCCCACACCCCAGAGTCAGACATGACTGGACTTAATGTCAGGGGACTACCTTTACCTTTACAGCCAACGAAATTGGTGTAGTTAATAGTTAAACCTTGAAGTGGGTTGAATAGTTAATTTTTGTTCCTTTGCTTCTTCCTCCACGTTTTGACATTGTCCTTCTAAATATTTCCAGCCATACAGTCCTGGATTCCTCTGCTGCCTTTTCTGAGATGCTGACACTTTTGCAATGCTAAAGAGGAAAAAGAAATGTCAGAGGATACTGTGAAGAAACCTCAAAAAGAAGAGAGTGGCTGTATTTCTACATACACACACAGTGATAGTGGATAGCATGCATTGAGTGCATGCAGTATGTGATACTGGCATTTTCCTTGCTGCCTAGAAGTGCAATCCCATGGCACAAGAGCTGCAGAAGGGCAGAGTTCACCAGTTGGGGCTGTGTCTGCTTTGCGGTTTACCAGCAGCAGGTAAAACAACAACAGGACAGGTACTGAGCCAATCACTGAGGAAGCACAAAGGATGGCAGTGTGTTCTTCTCACTTACGATGATCTCATTCCTATGGAGGCGTTCACCCAAATGAAGGAACTAGAGGAACAGCCGTCTTTGGTTAGTAGCTTCTTTTTGCTTTTTATTGATCAGTATGTAATGCCATTCTCATTAGTAAATGAAAGGTCTCTACTAAGTACTGGTATTTTTAGTGTAAAGAGAGTAACTTGCCTAACAGAAAAGAGCAAGCAGAAAATGACAGCTGTATTGATCTCCCAGCTAGTAAGCTTTATATTGCAACCAGTGTGGTGTAGTGGTTTGGATCTTAGATTGCAGTTCTGGAGATTTGAATCCCCATTCGGTCATAGAAGCCCACTGGATGAGGAGCGGCTTAAAGAACTGCAGAAAATAAGTTTGAGAGGAGACATGATAGCCATGTATAATATGTGAAAGGATGTCATACGGAAGAGGGAGCAGGCTTGTTTTTTGGTAGCATGGAAACTAGGACTGGAGCAATGGGTTCAAACTGCAGGAAAGGAGATTCCACTTGAACATCAGGAAGAACTTCCTGATTGTGAGAACCTATTTTTTCTTTTCTTTTCTTTTTCTCTTTTTTTTCTCTTTTTTTCCTCCTTTTTTTCTTTTTTGCATTTTACTATTAATCTGTATTTTATGGTACTTATTTGAAACTTCAATAACATTAATTTTAAAAAAACAGTGGAACTCTCTGTCTCAGAGTGTGGTGGCAGCTCCTTCCTTGAAGCTTTTAAACAGAGGCTGGATGGCCATCTGTCAGGGTAATTGTACTGTTCTTGTCTGGGTTGGATTGGATGGCCCATGGGGTCTCTTCCAACTCTATAATTCTATGACCTTAGACAAGTCACATGTTCTCAACCTCTATGGAAAGCAAAGACAAATCCAAAAATCCCTATGATAAGTTTGTCTTAGGGCAGTGGTTCTCAACCTGTGGGTCCCCAGATTTTTTGGCCTTCAACTCCCAGAAATCCTAATAGCTGGTAAACTGGCTGGGTTTCTGGGAGGTGTAAGCCAAAACATCTGGGGACCCACAGGTTAAGAACCACTGTCTTAGGGATTCTATAGGTTGGAAACAACTTGAAGGCACATAACAACATTGTTGTTTTCTGTTTTGAATCTTTCCATATTGAGTCATGTTTATTCAGTTGTTGAATATCTGAAATCCTTTGCCTTTGGAATTAGCTATGACACAAAGTAGATTAAAAGGTTAAAATACTTATAAATCTAAATATGAAGGAAGCCTATTATGGGATCCATTAGTAATTTAAAATCTAAATGGTGCAATAATATTTTTATTTCAGTCTCCTACCTGTAAACCTCTTTAAACTCCTTTTTTCTCCTGGAAGATTATACAGACTGAATATTTTGTGAAATACCTGGGGTTCAATTGAAATAAAAACCATGGGAATTTTGATTTGAATTTTGGAAGAATATGTATTTTTTTAGCATGAAGGGAAATAATGATTTCTTGTATATTTAAAATGTTTGAATATCTTTATATTAGTGGTACTACTAGAGGAGCCCCTGTTGGCACAGTGGGTTAAACCGCCGAGCTGCTGAACTTGCTGACCAAAAAGTTGGCAGTTCAAATCCAGGGAGCGGGGTGAGCTCCCATTGTTAGCCCCAGCTTCTGCCAACCTAGCAGTTTGAAAACATGCAGATGTGAGTAGGTGAAGAGGTACTTCTCAGGTGGGAAGGTAATGGCGCTTCATGCAGTCATGCCGGCCACATGATCTTGAAGGCGTCTACGGACTTTTCATGGAAAACTTTTCAAACTAGAAACCTTTTAGTTTATAAAATCCAGTGAGTTAAATATATGTTAGCCTTCAGGGTTTCACAAAATTCTTGGTTTTTTGATTTCAGTAGTCTGACCTTATAATATTTACCCCTACAATTGCAAATTGTTGGTATATATTTGAGAAGGGTGTCTGTGTTTGTCTATTGCAACAGTAAAACTGGTATTTTTTTAGCATTCTGCAGAACAAGCTACATCATATTTCTGGTGAACTATGCATTCCCAACAAAGAAGTTCTGGATAGAGGAGGCTGTACATGGCCAAGTATATAGATGGATGGTGTTGATTTAAAAAATTGCAAAGATTTCAACACATGAAAAATGGTATCCAATTTATATTGAAGCGAAAAACAAAATCTTCACTGTTGATCCTGTTTTTAGACTGCAGCTAAAACCTTGTAATCTGATCATGAATTATTTTCCTTTTGCTTCATAGATGGGTAGCTGGAGATTATACCGTCATGAATTATTGCTGTGCCTTGAACACTTCTTCCAAACTCATATTAAAGGATGCCATTATTCTCCTCCTCAAAACATAACTGAAACAACATGGGAAAGATTTGTCTGCTGTTTGAAAGAGCAAGGATTAATAACAGTGGGAAGAGAAGACTCTGCATCTTGTCAATATTTAATAGATTTCACCTCTCCCAGTCCAATATATTTTGTTTTAGATGACAATTTTTATTATCGGAGTATGAGATATGAAGTATACCAGTTAGCTCGCCAGTGTAAGTTCTTTACATTTGGCAACTTAATCTTGTTGCTCAGAACAAACTGTGATTTGAGGAATTAGAAATTTTATAAAGGGATTTGTTTCTTTTGAGGAGTAGGCAGATCTCTGGTTTTATCCCATGGCTACCCTTATGCAGTTTTATTATAGAGTGCTGTTCTTGGAAAGAAATATTAATTACTGAGTAATATTTTTTTTTAGTTGGATGGTGGTATACAGATGCCATCTAGGGCTCCTTCTACAGTGCAATATAATCCAGATTATCAAAGCAGATAATCCACATTATCTGCTTTGAACTGGATTACTTGAGTCTACACTCCAGATAATCCAGTTCAAAGCAAATCTAGGTTTTATACAGCTGTGTAGAAGGGACTGGGTCTGTATATCTTTTACATTGGGTTCTTATGAACCCGTGGAAAAATTGAAGTTTTAAAGGACTACTTTTCTGAATTATCAAGTTCACCACTTTGTGAATTTCATTGATCCAGCTTTTTCACTTTAAGGTCAATCTTCAAGTTAGATTATTATGTGATATAGATACCTTTTGAATTAGATTTATAAGAGCTGCTAATTTGGACCAGACACTGGGCTCATGTTTCAACACTATTTATTTAGAGCATATATACCCTGCTCATTACCCACAAAAGCTCTCAGAAGAGCTTACTAATTATTAATTAGACCATTTCCTGCCTTCAGGCAATCTAAACAAGACAGACACACAAGGGAGAGGCTTAAATCCACCAGATACTCAGAAAACAGTGCAATGGCAGTTGGGACAGAGGAATGGTTTTTCATGTTTCTGAAAATTGATTGGCTGGAACTTCTCTCCTTTACCTGCACAGGCTCATGATCTATTTCCTGGGAAATTCCAAATATGTGGATGTTTATTAAAAGGCCTAAACCAGGGATGTGGGGTATGTGTAACTGAGGAGCAAACCTGATAGTGAGGAATGTGGTGGGCAACATCTGTCCTTATTCCTCTGTATCATTTCACCCAGCAATTGTCTTTTTATTTTTCCAGCCTGTTTTGAACAGTTTTGCTTCCTCTGGATATTGGGTACTTTACACTAGTACTGTTATGTATGTTTGGTATATTGTAAAGAGCAGTCCAAAGTCATTCCTTTTGAAGGGCAAGAGATTAGTTTTGTTTTTAAAATGTTGTCATAATAATGAGAATTCGGCTAAATGAAATTACTTCAGATTGACAACTAATAGGTAAGAAGGTGTTCCTCCATAACTCCATATAATTGGTACCAAATTTTGAGTTGTATAGCTTTTTCATGGTGCTATGAATGGCTTCAATTATGTGTGAAATTTATCTGTTAAGAAACTATGACATTTCAAATGTCTTAACACACCATCATCACCAACATCATAATCACAATTATTATTGTTCTTTCTAGATGCACTTGGCTTCTGCCAGGTATTTCTAGACTGCCAAGTTGAGGTTTGCTTGGAGAGGAACAGCCAGAGGAAACAACCATTACCTGAAGAAACCATACATGCAATGGCACAGAAAATAGAATGCCCAAATCCAGAGAAGTATGCATGGGAGCATAACAGTCTTATTCTGAAGAGTGTGGGATATGCATTAGAAGATAAGTATGTAATTTGCAGTCCATTATTATTATTATTATTATTACATAATTTGCAAGCATTTATTTAAATTTACAGATTGCAATCTGCCAGACACTTCCCTTTGTGCAGAATTGATATAGAATTTTGGATCTGTAAAGGGCTTTTTCTTTTTGTTGCTGTTTTCATCACAGGACATCTCAGCCTGACCACTCCTCTATCCCCTCAATTGTGGTAGCTTTCCCTGAAACTAGTTTGAGCATACAATGTCCCCTTTTTCCTATATGGAGGGGTTAAAACAAAGGAAATAAACCTGAGCAACTTCCCCCCCCCCCCCCCCCCCAAACGTAATGGTACAAACTATGTGAGAATTGTTTACCAGCTTTTAAGGATAGATGGGAGAAAAATAACTTGCCAAAAACAAAATAAAGGATGAATTATATTTTGAACTTTGATAAGTGACAACCACTCTATTTTCTGGAGCCTTGAGTCTAAGGCATGCTTTCCTGAAGGATTAACTCATCCTTTGACCAAGTGTGTGTTGTATACATGTACTTACAGCTTAATCCTGAAACCTTCTCTCTTTTTTTTTAAATTTAGTCTTCAAATGCTAGATTTGTTGTCTGCTGCTTTGGAAAATCCTATGAAACCCTTGGAAGAGAATACAGAACTGAAGGTAGTACTACATAATGAACAAGTTTGATAGAGCTGAATTTCATAGGAAGCCATAATATGCATCTTGAGAATTGACACTTGTCACCTGGCATTTGAGAGAGTAATTGCACTGTAATTGAGAAGGTTGCCTGTTTTGTGTTACATACGGAAGTGCGGAATGCTTTCTACATAGAAATCTTTAGCTCACTTGAAGTATTTATTTTCTGTTCTTAAATGAAAAAATGTAAATACCTGCATCTTAAATTCCCTGCATAATTTGATTCCATTGTCCAAAATGGTAAGGCAAAGAGTAGGTGCAGCCTCTCCATAGTCAACAGAGAAGCACCCCAAGTGGCCATATTCTGATCAAAGGACATTTAACATAATGCCAAGTTTTTAACTTTGCATTTTTAAATATATTATAAATGTATCCTCAATTTGCTTCTGACATGGTAAACAATCACTTTCTGTTTTTTGCAATATCTCTCGGAATAATATTTATGGAACAGCCTTCATTACTTTTTGCTCACCAGAAATGGGCACAGAACCCCTCTTCAATTTTTAGTGAGGGAGAGGGGTGCTATTTAAAATACATAAAAACATAATGGGAGTTCCTGCAAGGTAGGAAAAAATCTGCAGCTGGTTTCTCAATGGGAAATAGAAAATTCTGGGTCTTCTAATGGAGCTTTGTTTATAACATTGCTTTGTCTGCTCAATGTGAGTCTTCAATCTTTAAGCTCAAACCTATGGCAAGCTAACATTTTGCATTGTATTTGGGAAGAAATGGTTTTCTACTTACAATATTTAAAACCCCTATCCAGGATAGAAAACTTCAAATTGTTTTCTCTTGCTCAAAAGAGAAGAGGAAGCCCTTAAGTCCAAAATTCATATTCTCACAACAGAAATCTCGTTGTGGAGTCATGTCTGAAAACAATGCCTAAGTTTTATATTAAACCAATTACCTTTTGTGGATCTTACTTAGGAAATGGATCGAGCTATTTGTGCAACCAGTGCTCTTCATCAGGCTGACCAGGCTGTCAGGCGAATAGTGTCACAAACAATGAAGAATGCTAAAGGTATGCACAGCAAGGTTTAGTGATGGTACTGTTTACAGCAGTTGATATTTCTACTTTGGCTTGGTCTACATTTCAAAATTTTCCTTATTGCTGGAAGTGTCTTGATAATATATGATACAGGCCTAGTCCTGATTTGGATTATACAGTTTTCAAAATTATAAGATCTCGATAATCTAAACAGTGTATGTATCTATATAAATAAAAATGTAATGTTCGTTTGTGGGATTAACATAACTCAAAAACCACTGGACGAATTGACACCAAATTTGGACATAAGGCACCTATCAGGCCAGTGAGTGACCATCACTCATAAAAACACTGAAAAACACAGCAAAAGAGACTTAAAAAGCAAAAAACCCCAACAACATTACAACGCATGCGCAAAACCACATATATACACAAATATATATACACACATATATACACAGACAAAACACATATACACAGACTGGGCCACAGCAATGTGTGGCAGGGGACGGCTAACTAGTAATAATATTTAGGTTTGAATTTGGATCCTTGTGAGAGGCTAAATCAGGCATAGGCCAACTTTGGCCTTCCTCCAGGTGTTTTGGACTTCAACTCCCACAATTCCTAATAGCCTACTGTTAGGAATTATGGGAGTTGAAGTCCAAAACATTTAGAAGGCCGAAGTTTGCCCATGCCTGGGCTAAACTAGTAAGGAATAAAATATGAAGCAGAAAGCTCTGTATATTGAGGAATGTGTATGTGCATGAGATTATACTTCCAGGCGTAAAGCCAACCTAACTAACAGTAAGCTAATGAGAAAACAGAATTCATTTGTAGTAAAATGAACCCAAGGCAGGTGTCACAGTAACAGGTACTGGATGAGGTAATCAGATAGCTGATGTAATGTGAAGACAGCAAATAACCCAGTATTCATAGTGTGTTTAAACAGAGATGTCTGCTCTAATTGGAGAAAACTGATGCTTACATAAATGGGCTATAGTGGCCATCTCTTATTTATTTGTGTGAAATCTGTCAGCTGAGTGAACATGGAATGATATAAAACAGACTGAGAAGAAATAAAGCCAGGCAGACCAAGCATCAATCTCTTTTGGAAATAATGTTGTCTACAATCGCAAAAATTATGCTATTGCTACATGATAAAGACAAATAATGTAAATAAGAGAGAATCATTTTTTGTCTTCAAGTCATTTCCAATTTATGAGAATCCTAAGGTGAACCTATCACAAGCTTTGCTTGCGAAAGTTTGTTATGACTGTGACATGCCCAAGTTCATTTGTGGGCTTCCATGGCAGTTCCCAGTGTTCAAACCATGCTAGCTCTCTACTTGTTCTCAGCTAGGTTATGGTAGCTATTTTCCATTATTATTACACTATGTAATAAAATTTGAAAAAAATATGTTCCTGGTTTGAAAGCGTTGTCCTCTTTAATTGTGGGGTACATACTTTGAAAGTAGGTATGCTCCAGTAACTTCATTTTTGAGGCTGCCACAAACTATGTTGAATTGGTTGATTTTCCAGATACTCACTGAAAAATAGCAAAATGTGCTGCAGGAGGTTCCACAAAAACAAGTTTTTGCAGTTTAATAAACTTTTTCCATGTTTTTTTATGATAGAACCAATTAGGAAATGACCTTTATAACCCAGGAACAAAAATCTTTTACACAGTGTAATGGATGGAGTAATGTCCAGTGATATTAATCCCCTGGATGCCTATGTTCAAAAAATACATGGGTTTGTTTATCCTAGTTTAGATGGTAATATCCCTTTATATAAATGTAGAGATGTCTCCTAAGGAAATGCATTAGATATAAAGGTTACCTTACCTGCCATAAAGTATTAAATGTATGCCTTGCCTGTAATGAAAATAATGTCCTTAGACACAAAATTTTCTCTCTCTATAAAAAAAATGCATTGCTGTATATAATATGGTTAAGGTAAGGTTTCCCCTTGACATTAAGTCTAGTTGTATCCAACTCTGGGGGTGGGGGGGGGGGTGCTCATCTCCATTTCTAAGCCAAGGAGCCAGTATTGCCCATAGACGCCTCCAAGATCATGTGTGCTGTTATCTTCCCACCGGAGCGGGTAACTATTGATCTATTCACATTTGCATGTTTTTGAACTGCTAGGTTGGCAGAAGCTGTGGCTAACAGTGGGAGATCACCCCGCTCCCCAGATTCGAACCACTGACCTTTCAGTCAGCTAGGTCAGCAGCTCAGTGGTTTAACCTGCTGTGCCAGCAGGGGCTCCAATCATATGATAGCATGCAATAAATAATCAAAAACACTAAGAGAACCTGCTCCTTCTCCCATATAAATCTCCAAAACCAAAACTACAGAATGATGAAGTGTTGCTACTGCTAATTCTACATGTCTTCTGTCTAAAGCAGTGGTGCACAACCTGTGGCCCTCCAGGTATTTTGGGCTTCAGCTCCCAGAATTCCTGAACATTGGACAAGCTGGATAGGGCTTCTGGGAGTTGGAGGACCAAACACCTGGAGGGTCATAGGTCGTGTATCACTGGTCCAAAAAGACGGGAGTGCAGAACTGTACCTCTTTCAGTGTCTCTCCAACAGACGACCAGTTTAAAAAATCTTAGATTTTTGATCATTTTCTTTTATCATTTTAAATACAAAACTTAAAATAATAAAATTATTTTAAAAAACCATAATTTTGTTTTTTGTTTTTTCAGATTATAATGTTGCTTCGCATGAGCTGAAGAGCTTGGCAGAAGAGCTCAACAGGCTGAAGCTGGAGTTCTTGGAAGGCTTAAGACACAAATCTAACAAAAAAAATCAGTGTTGTCTACAAAATAATACATTTAATATAAATGTAACATCTTCATTCAGCCAAGAGGCAGATGACGTTGTTAAAAAGTATTTAAATAAAAAGTAGCAGCTTTCTGGCTTTGAAGAGATGATGATGTACAGATTAATAAGACTACTAAAAGTGAAATTTCATGCCATGGTTTTGTTGTACATATCCTATTGCTCTTCAGAAAGGAGTTTAAACAGGTGTTATTCTGGATAGCATTTAAATTTGATTCACTAAAGAATATATTGGAACTGGTGTTTTCCATGCTAGTTAAAGGAAACAGCATCACAGTCAAAATCATATTGAGTAAGAGAGGCAAGTTCCCAACCAACAAAGTACATTGGAACCATTTTGCTTCTTATCTGCTGTCTTAAATATATAGGAAGCAAAGAGGAAGTACTTTGGCCACATAATGAGAAGACACGAAAGCTTGGAGAAGATAATGATGCTGGGGGAAATGGAAGGAAAAAGGAAGAGGGGCCGACCAAGGGCAAGATGGATGGATGGTATCCTTGAAGTGACTGGTTTGACTTTAAAAGAGCTGGGGGTGGTCATGGCCAACAGGAAGTTCTGGTGTGGGCTGGTCCATGAGGTCACGAATAGTCGGAAGCAACTGAACAAATAAACAACAAAAAGCACTTTTAATTCATGCGAGTCCTTGTAATTAATCCGTAAGTTTCATCAGATAAGTTAGCCAAAATGCCACACTTTTTTTTAAACGGAAAAACAGGTAAATGTAATGAAATCACAGCGAGCAATACTTAAGCCATGACATTATGCTGGCTTTCAAGTGCTGAGTTCCAACCTTACTTTTGTTTGAGAAATCAGTAAACGATTTTTGTACTTACTAGATAGCATTTACATCTGATCATTCTTTGGCATTTTTGATTCTGATTACATTTTTTTGTCATTTTAGGCATTGGTTTAAATTAAACGTGTTCTTTGCTGTTCATTTGCTTGACCACACTTTGACAGGAAGTCCCTTAAATGAATAGAGTTACCATCACACCCCAAAAGAAACTTGAACTTCTAATACGTGTAATAACCTGAATATACCTGCTGGGAAAAGCTTTACATTTTATATATGATGCATCTGAGCCTTCCAAAACAAGTGTAACTTTTCTCTAATATAGTGGTCAGTTATTACTACTAATATACTAGCGATTGTAGAGCCCCCAGTGGTGTAATGGGTTAAACCCTTGTGCTGGCAGGACTGCTGACGAAAGGACCAGGGTGAGCTCCCATCTGTCAGCTCCAGCTTCCCATGCAGGGACATCAGAAGCCTCCCATCGGATGATAAAACATACGGGCATCCCCTGGGCAGCGTCCTTGCAGATGGCCAATTCTCTCACACCAGAAGCGACTTGCAATTTCTCAAGTCGCTCCTGACCACACACGCACAAAACCTAGCAGTCATTATAATCTGTATTTGTCCTACCACAGAGCAAGTATGCATCAACCAACAAAAAAACCTCCCAATATACAGTTCTCCTGCTTCAAGATGGTTTTGTGGGCATGCCTGCTTTTTTCAGTCAATCTTTATTTCCATTGCCTCTATTATCAACTTACTTATCTTTTCAATCTATTTGCCATTGCAAAGCCCACTGAGATCCACAAATCTCATTTACATTTCTGGCAATGGAGAAAAAAACAACCTGATGAAAGGTAGACCTGCTGCTGTCACTTGATCATTGCATTAGAACAGAGCATTGGAATTATGTGGCCTTCCAGAGGTTCCTGACCTACAACTCCTAGCTTGGTTTATAATTGTCTGGGCTGCAGTCCAATATCTGAAAAACCACATAATTCCACCCCAATGACTTACGGTATACTATTTAACAGAAATCAAATTGGTGTCCTGTTCACTGAAATTTCAAGAGGGCCAAATTAGAATATACAAAGCTTTTTATTTAGATGCTATTTAATTTATTATCTCCAGCACTGTAATTAAAACACACAGATTATCTTGTATTATGGCATGTTATCCCAAGTGGTTTTGTTACATTAGAGAGCTACAAGATTATAATTTGGTGGTCTATTTAGAATAGCAGAAGGTACTATCAAGAACATTGTTTAAAATACTTCTGCACCAAAATGCAAACAGTGCAGTTATATTGCACATTATGAGAAAGACACTAACGGTAATTCTAGAAAAAAGTTAAGACCTTAAAGCTGTTTCATGAAACCTTCTGCTCTAAAAAAAAACAAATCAAAACTTGAATAGGAAAGAAGTCTGACCTCATTTATCTAATTAGGCAGAGGTACCACCAAATTTATTTTTTCTCTGTGCTGCTTATCCATTTACATCCTGTAATTCCTAAGTGTACATTATGTTTTAAAGCAGAAATAGGCAAAGTTGGAGAATTGCAATGACTGCATCTTAATGTAAAAACCCCAAAAGCACATAAAGATCAGGAGGGAGTGGTTTCATCATGTTTCTGGCCTGTTAACAGGAAGTGAAACAAGCTGGAACATTTCCAGAGAAGGGTGACCAAAATTGTAAAAGGCCTAGAAACTATGCCTCATGAAGAGTGACTTGGGGAGCCGGAGAAGAGAAGGTTAAGAGGGGACATGACAGCCCTATTTAAATATTTGAAATGGCCTCGTATTGAGGCAGCAGGCGGCTTGTTTTCTGCTGTTCCAGAAACTAAGACACAAATTAATGGATTCCAACTACAGGAAAAGAAATTCCACTTAAACATTAGCATATCAAACATCTCTTCATGCAAAGTAGTTATTTTCCAATTCAAGAAATGTACTTAGCATAATCTGAAATAAAATCTGGATGTACATATTTACTTATTGTGCAAGAGCTTGGAGAAAAACTTCCCCTGAAGAAAATTATACAATAAAAGTGCATTGAAATGTATATGCTTTCCCCTGTATATTATTAAACTATACACTAGCACTAGTTTTGGCTAGCATGCTTTGGTTAAAGTGCCTATTCACCTTCCTAGACAGTTTTGCTAATACAGAAGACAGATTGGTACCATCACTTTCACAGTGAATATAATATCTGCTGCAATTAGTCGTCATGATTCGTCATTCATATTAACTTCTTGGTTTGCCGAATCCAGAACGATTAACAGACTTCCAAACAGTCTGGAATGTGACTCAATGACTGTTACACGATAATTTACAAATAAAATGCATTAAATAAATGGTCATAGTTAATATCTATTCATATTTACCATGGGCTATCATCTTATAATTTCCTTGCTATGCCATTTCCATATAAAATACATTGCTATTCAGAAGGCAAAACAGGAAACACATCAGTATTTCAAGGCAATGGAATTATTTGTAATGCACTGCAAGCTAGGCATGGAGAAGGTAGTACTTCTGAACACGTTACCCATTTTGTTCTAATGTTTTCTTTTTGTGCAGTTTTACATGTTACAGACATTTAATGCTAGGCACTGTTCCTTTGATTTCTTAAAACAGGTCAGTACTCTTGGAAAGAGGATCTCTGTAGTTTTTCACACTGTTACTCTTCTAGTCTTTTAAGTTGTTATGAGAGCTTTATTAAAGCTTCCATTTCAACTACATGTTTTGCTAATTGTAATTCAATACAAATTTTGTTTAAGCCTTACAAGAGATTTTGTATCACTGTAGGGGAAGAACCATTCATAGACACTCGCAGCTCCTACGCCAAGTTACAAAATTAATTAACTTACAAAGTTGCAGAATTAAGTTACTGGACTATGTTGTGGCACAGGCTAAAACGGAGCAGTTTAAGTTGTATTTGGGAAGTACAAGGCCACGGATCAATGTTATGTTAGGTCAGTCCTTATTTTGTTTCACCGCTGTTCCACACTTTTAAATAAGTGTAACTGCATGACAAGCCTCATCTTCATTTAAGAAACAGATAAGGAACGCCACCATGGTTAACAAGGACCTCTGCTGATCTCAACAGCACCTAAGAACGCTTGCCTACAATGGGAAACTGCTTAATTCAATTCCTCAGAAAGGACAAGCAAACTCCCCATGAGAAAGAAAATGACAGAAATGTGTTTAAACACACAGATAAATGGGACATAGTGTAACTTGTGTTCAATCAGTGCTGACTGTGCTGACCTCTGGCAAAGTGGCAAGCAAAGTCATATTTGTTTTTACATTTGCAACCGCATATGTTACATTGGAAAGGGTTCTCAAATCCATGGCATCCCATGTGAATAGTGTACAGGATATTGTCAGCGAAATACATATCACAGTGCTGGCAGTGGTGCAGAAGCTGCGGGTCCTGAACTGGAAGAGTGGGGGCTGGCGTACTGGGCTGGCTATTACTTATGCTTGGGGTGCTGGCATGAGCACTGTGGTCACTGCTGGGACCGGCCACCGGGCTGTAGTTCCTTTGAGAGTGCACAGGGCGTGGGTCCGGGCTTGTGGGAGAAGCACTCTGAGGAATACTGGCTGGGATGGCAGGGACCACAGCTGGCACAGCAGGCTGATGTAGCATAAAAGGCTTTTCGTCTTGACACGGCACAACATCGGGGGAAGGTGGGTTTTGGTTTTCAGGGGGCAAACTAGACAACTGTCCTGCTAAAGTAGATAGCTGGTTCAAAGGGTTATCGACCATAAGATCTTGTGGATCTCTCGGTAACCCACCAGTTTCTGTTGGTTTCGCCATACTTTCGTACGCTTCAGTTTGAATGTTTGGGATTTCATGGGTGAAGTCATTAAGATAGTCTGGCTTCTGAACCACCATAGAAGGCGGGCTCAAGTTAATTAGTGCTCTTCGGCTGAACCCCAAGTTGCTGGTCTTCTTCTGCAAAACACCCCAAATCTTCTTGCTACTAAGAGAAGGCCTCGTACCCTTTATAGGCACCATCTTATGCTTGCGTCTGCGATGATGAGATAGGTTGCTTCTGTCGCTGCAGCGGAAGGAACACAATTCACACTTATACGGTTTTTCACCAGTATGAGACCGCATATGAGCTTCCAGATGCCGTTCATAGGCTGACGCAAAGGGACACAAATGGCACCTGTGTGGCTTCTCACCTGAAAGAATACAAGATTTTTTTTAAAAAAAATAATTGAAAATCACTGTTGCAGAAAACATCCTAACAGACAAGAAGAAAATGGCTAAGTAGCAAGTATTTACTGTCTGGTTGTAACAGTGCAGGGGAAAAAAAATCAGTGTTACTTAAAATGCTTCTTAGATGAAAAATTACAATAAATTTTGAGGTTTATGCAACATGCAAAGAAAAATTCAGCAAAGTAAGATAAAGTTGGTAATTTAGAGGAGTAATATTCTAGATCAGTGGTTTTCAACATGTGAGTCCCCGGATGTTTTGGCTTTCAACTCCCAGAAATCCCAACAGCTGGTAAACTGGCTGGGATTTCTAGGCGTTGTAGGCCAAAACACCTGGGGACCCACAGGTTGAGAACCACTGATCTAGATCAAGGCTTCTTAAACTTTTTTCTATTCATGACCCCTTTTTGTTGGTATATAGATGGATATAAAATAGGTATACAAATCAAACATTTACTGATAATAAATCATAGAGAACTATTCTTTGGCACACATAGAATCTTAGCATTTATTAAAGATTACAGCAAATTTGCATACTAATTAGATGGATGTGCTTACTTAAAGAATTAAATCTTTGCTAAATATTGAAACTGCAGGACGCAAAGAATCTTCAACGTTTTTCATGTAACGCTAACATGCTTGGTTTGCAGTCTCAGTTGGTTTTTCCTGGGTTCATGTAAATGTCTAAAACAGCCACTAGGTGGCAAACCACACATTTTCTTGACCCTCAGTATCAGTTGCTGTTGTTCATTCGTTCAGTCGTCTCCGACTCTTCGTGACCTCATGGACCAGCCTACGCCAGAGCTCCCTGTCGGCCGTTACCACCCCCAGCTCCCTCAAGGCCAGTCCAGTCACTTCAAGGATGCCATACATCCATCTTGCCCTTGGTCGGCCCCTCTTCCTTTTGCCTTCCACTTTCCCCAGCATAATTGTCTTCTCTAGGCTTTCCTGTCTCCTCATGATGTGGCCAAAGTACTTCAACTTTGTCTCTAGTATCCTTCCCTCCAATGAGCAGTCGGGCTTTCGTTCCTGGAGGATGGACTGGTTGGATCTTCTCGCAGTCCAAGGCACTCTCAGAACTTTCCTCCAACACCACAGTTCAAAAGCATCGATCTTCCTTCGCTCAGCCTTCCCTAAGGTCCAGCTCTCACATCCGTAGGTTACTACAGGGAATACCATGGCTTTGACTAGGCGGATCTTGGTTGCCAGTCTGATGTCTCTACTCTTCACTATTTTATCGAGACTGGACATTGCTCTCCTCCCAAGAAGTAAGCGTCTTCTGATTTCCTGGCCACAGTCTGCATCTGCAGTAATCTTTGCACCTAGAAATACAAAGTCTGTCACGGCCTCCACGGTTTCTCCCCAGTATCAGTTAGGGGACCTCAAATAGGGTTGCAATCCACAGTTTAAGAAGCTTTTTTCCCTGACCAGTAGTTTGCAACCTTTGGTCCTCCCGTTGTTTTGGACTTCAACTCCCAGAAATCACAGCCAGCTTATCAGCTGTGAGGAATTTTGGGAGTTGTGAAGTCCAAAACACCCGGAGAACCAAAGGTTGGGAACCACGGCTCTATAAAAAGCAAAATAGGCTGTTTCGAGTGTTTTAGGTTTTTTTTTCCTAGATTTAATCTAAACTTGTTTTAATATTTAAATTTTAAGATCTTTGACATTTGTTTCCAGAAAAAGTAAGAGAGAAAAAGCACCCTAATACTGCAGTGTGCTTCCTTGATGGGAAATATCACATTTGTTGGATGCAATACATGGTACCTACAGAACAAATCAACATAATTAATTATACCTGTGTGGATTCTGATATGTTCTATGAGACGGGCTGTTCCTTTGCTGGCATAGTTACAATACCGACACTTTAACTTCCCATCAAAAGTTCTTTCAAACCCATCTACCAATACTCCTGCATTTTCATCCAGTGAAACCTCAACTGAAGAATGATCTAGTCCATTCTGATCACCATCTGTCCCTGCTGTAAAACAGAACATAGTGACATCAATATACAAAGTGACAAAGTTTACTCCTCTACCATATAATTATCTCTGACTATTGGGAGAGGCAAAAAGAACATTTCCTCGAGATTTCATAACCTTTCATTTAAACACCTTTAAGTGAAAATTAATTTGCAATGTGGTTAACTTACCACCTTGAAGAGTTTCTGCTTCTTTATCCCCACTAACAGAGCCTGAAATCATATTCACATGGTGAGTCTGCTGAGTCAGATATTCCTGAAAATCTTTTACAAAATCCAAAGGCTCTGGTTTCTTTTCACCCATATTCACACTACAACTTCACAATGTTGCAGGCCTGAAATATAAAATAAAATTAGCATTTACACAAAAACTATAGATATTTACTAATATTAGTAATTTCTTGCGAAGAATACAAAATTATAACCCTTCTGAAAGGTTTACCTTAATGATCCAAATCAGCTTCAAATAACTGAAATATCCATTTTTGAAATATAAGTTTCATCATACATGGAAATATGGGCTTCTGTTTAACTCCTTTCCAGACACTCTACAAAAAATAAGGCATACATTTGTATTAAAAGCTAAAATTGATTTACATGTTTTTGACAGCTTGATACCAAGTGATTATGCCAGTCAAATTTCAAAAGAAATCTGGTCCTGGTGAAAGAAAGATGTTGTTATTTATTGAACTGACATCTCATTGTGAAGATGCCAAGATTTTTCTTCACAAAATCCAGGCATCTGATTTTTTGATGTTGGTTGTTTATCTGCAATATCTGCCTACCTGCCTGCCTACCTACTAAGGTCTGTGTAGGACAGGCATGAAGATTTGATCCTCATACCAATGTAATTCGGTTTTTCTCCCCCTACTCCCCGTTCAGCATACTCACATAGCACCAAAAAGTTGTCATTGGTTTGGAATTATTAGGGACGTAATTTGACCCTTTTTTGCTGATGATGGAGATATCTAGTCCAAACAAGACAACCTCCTACACACAGAAAAGACAAATAGAAGTCCTTTAAATAGAAATTTTAACTTTTCACCTAAAGCTAAATGGAAAACTAAACCTCCATAATGGATTTATTACTTTATTTTCACTAAGTGATTTTCATCACTGAAAGAAAAGCAGGTACAGGCTTGTTATATTATCTCTGCAAAAGACCCAAATCTATAATCCAATTAAAAATCCAATCTGATTCCACTGATAGTTTAAAATGTGCAATATACAAAAAATAAGGAACATAAAACAAGGATATCAAATTACAGAGGCCCTGTAACTGCTTTGATGTATGACTGTTTGAAATGCACTGTGGAAGAAAAATAAATATTGTTCAGTATTATTTCTCTTGTCTTTGGCAGCAGCACGAGCCATTTTCTCATCTTTGCAAATCAAAGTGAGGGATGTGAATTGGATGAACCCTATGCAACCCCAGTCCTACAGTCATGAATCATGGAGCTGTAATAGGGCATAAACATGTTAGGCAATACTATCTCATCTCTTAATATGGGCTCAAGAACTTTTATTATATATTCTGAAACATAAGACACCACTTTTACATAATTATTTTAAATGAAAGCTGGACAGGAAGGGAGAACCCATAACAAACTGAACTTCTGTTCAGCAGGTAGCTACTAGAAAACATAGATTTAACACTGAGAAGAACTCCATGGGTACAATTATCCCAAAATCCACCTTTTCACCTTGAGTCACCTTTGGGTTTGAGAAAGGCAGGATAGAAATAGCATGCATAAATAAATAAATAAATTTAATGCCTAAGTTCAATAATTCCATTTTTCCTTACTTTCATGGCTCTTCTCCTATGCAGTTTGCCTTACTTTTGGTAAACCTATGTATCACGTGTTGCTGTGGCCCAGCCTGCGTATATGTGTTTTGTGTGTGTGTATATTTGTGTGTGTGTGTATATATATAGATAGATAGATAGATAATGTTTACATATATATATGTGATTTTGCGCGCACATTATAATGGTTTTTTTAAGTCTCTTCTGCTGTGTTTTTTAGTGTTTTATGAGGTTTTTTGTTGTATCAGGAGCGACTTGAGAAACTGAAAGTAGCTTCTGGTGTGAGAGAATTGGCTGTCTGCAACGACTTTGCCCAGGGGATGCCCTGATGTTTTTGATGTTTTATCATCCTTGTGGGAGGCTTCTCTTATGTCCCCGCATGAGGAGCTGGGGCTGATAGAGGGAGCTCATCTGCACTCTCCCGGATTCGAAACTGCGAACTGTCAGTCTTCAGTCCTGCCAGCACAGGGGTTTAACCCACTGCGCCACTGGGGGCTCCTCCAATGTTTTTATGAGTGATGGTCACTTGCTGGCCTGATAGGTTATTGTGTCCAAATTTGGTGTCAATTCGCCCAGTGGTTTTTGAGTTATGTTAAGTCCACAAACGAACTTTACATTTTTATTTATATAGATTATTCCTTGTGCTGAAAATGAATCTGACTTTGGGAGGCTTCCAAGGGCTACAAAATGTGAACAAAAAAGGATCGGGTAAGTACAAGTTTGATATGACTTACGACAACTAATGAAAAAATGGCACAGCCCTAATATATATATTCAGCTGGAATTACACATAAAAAATATACCTGTGCCAACTTCATACAAATTCAACTTATGAACAAACCTACAAAACCTATTTTGTTTGTACCTTGGGGACTGCCTGTGTGTGTGTATATATGTTGTTGTTGTTCATTCGTTCAGTTGTCTCCGACTCTTCATGACCTCATGGACCAGCCCGTGCCAGAGCTCCCTGTCGGCCGTCACTACCCCCAGCTCCTTCAAGGTCAGTCCAGTCACTTCAAGGATGCCATCCATCCATCTTGCCCTTGGTCGGCCCCTCTTCCCTTTACCTTCCACTTTCCCCAGCATAATTGTCTTCTCTAGGCTTTGCTGTCTCCTCATGATGTAGTCAAAGTACTTCAACTTTGTCTCTAGTATCCTTCCCTCCAATGAGCAGTCGGGCTTTATTTCCTGGAGGATGGACTGGTTGGATCTTCTCGCAGTCCAAGGCACTCTCAGAACTTTCCTCCAACACCACAGTTCAAAAGCATCTATCTTCCTTCGCTCAGCCTTCCCTAAGGTCCAGCTCTCACATCCGTAGGTTACTACAGGGAATACCATGGCTTTGACTATGCGGATCTTTGTTGCCAGTGTGATGTCTCTGCTCTTTACTATTTTATCGAGATTGGACATTGCTCTCCTCCCAAGAAGTAAGCGTCTTCTGATTTCCTGGCCACAGTCTGCATCTGCAGTAATCTTTGCACCTAGAAATACAAAGTCTGTCACGGCCTCCACATTTTCTCCCTCTATTTCCAAGTTGTCAATCATTCTTGTTGCCATAATCTTGGTTTTTTTGATGTTTAGCTGCAACCCAGCTTTTGCGCTTTCTTCTTTCACCTTGATTAGAAGGCTCCTCAGCTCCTCCTCGCTTTTGGCCATCAGAGTGGTGTCATCTGCATATCTGAGGTTGTTAATGTTTCTTCCAGCAATTTTCACCCCAGCCTTGCATTCATCAAGCCCCGCACATCGCATGATGTGTTCTGCATACAAGTTAAAAAGGTTGGGTGAGAGTATGCAGCCTTGCCGTACGCCTTTCCCAATCTTGAACCAGTCTGTTGTTCCGTGGTCAGTTCTTACTGTTGCTACTTGGTCCTTGTACAGATTCCTCAGGAGAGAGACAAGGTGGCTTGGTATGCCCATCCCACCAAGAACTTGCCACAATTTATTATGATCCACACAGTCAAAGGCTTTAGAATAGCCAATGAAGCAGAAATAGATATTTTTCTGAAACTCCCTGCCTTTCTCCATTATCCAGCGGATATCTCAGGCATGGGAAACTTGGGCCCTCCAGGTGTTTTGGACTTCAACTCCCACAATTCCTAACAGAATCAGGCCCTACCATTCCTAACAGTCTCAAGCCCTTTCCTTTTCGCTTAAGCGGCTGAGAGAAAAAGGAAGGGGCGTTTTAGGAACTGTGGGAGCTGAAATCCAAAACACCTGGAGGGCCCAAGTTTGCCCATGCCTGAGATATATCTATACACACTTATATATATTGTATGCCTTTGGCAGGAACCACTGCTTTTGGTTGTTCTGTGCTGTGGGACTATATAAACAAATGACAGTCACAGTGAGTGACCTGAGGGACTCACCTCCGCCGCATTTCCTCGCCTTCGCCTTCCCCGCCGCTCACCACTCCCGCCGCCGCCATGTTTGTTGTGTCTCCAGGCGCAACTCGCGTCCTCCCCTTCCCAAATCCCGCGAGACTTCCGCCAGCCTCTCGGCACCTCCGCTCGCATCACGCAGGAATGGCTAGGAGCACTTGGAAAGCCCCTCAAGAGGAATCTACTCAGCGTCAATTAACACTTCCGGTTCCCAAACGCAGCCTCTACGAATACCCAAGTTAGCACCACATTGAGGGACAGGACTTGCGAAAGCTTCTATCACTAACTTGTGGGGAAGCTTCGAATGGGAGCCGGAGTTTTATGAAAGTCGCTCTTCTTCCCTCACCTCTTTGGATCTCAATAGCAAATCTGTATTTGTTAAAGGGAGGAGTAGCATTGCTCTGTACATTAATTGGGCACCTGGTAGACCAGCAGTGAGCCCAGCCATGGCTGCAGCAGGGGTGCTTGCTTTGCTAAGGGGCTGCAGGAAGGTGAGTGAGAATAAAGGGAGCTTCAGCTGAGCTGTTCTGTGTTCAGATCCTACCTATGCGTTACATATATTATATAGGGCCCTTCTACACAGCCATATAACCCAGAATATCAACACAGATAATCCACAATATCTGTTTTGAACTGGATTATTTGAGTCCCCACTGTCATATAATCCAGTTCAATGTGGATTTTATACAGCTGGGTATAAGAGGCCCCAGAATCATAGAACTGAAAGAGGTTGCAAGCCCTGCCATTTAGGAACACACATTAAATTCTTGTTGTATACAAGATTTAGTCAGATCTTTGCCTTCCTCTGAGGCTGAGAGAATATGACTCTCATACTTTCCCATGTTCCAGCAGGGGTTTTGAAACCCAGCTCTGCAAACTCATGGCTTTTCCAAGGCAGATAATCCACAATATCTGCTTTGAACTGAATTTTATGTAATTTATCTTATATGTATTTGGTAATGTAATGTTGTGTATTATGTTTTAGATTTTTAGTGTTAGCACTGAATCTTTGCTGTCAGCCGGTCTGAGACCCTCTGTAGAGGTAGAGAAGATCGGGATATAAAAGTTTTAAATTATTATTATTATTATTATCTGTGTCCACACTGCCATATAATCCATTCCAATGTGGATTTTAGAAGGGGGCTTCATAGGCTTCTAAAAGCAAACATTTTATGAATCTGGATATTGATTAATTAATACCACAGCATACAAATAGCTGATGAACTAGCCAAGAAAACACCAGGCTTCCATTCCATATCAAGCACATTTCCATAAAAATGCACGCTGTCCCTTTTAAAAAGAAAACCATCAACAAGAAACAAACAAAACAAAAAAACACCTGTTAAGACTACAACCGCTCTGTAGACATTTTTTTTCTTTTTAGTCTAAAGGGCCACTTTCACTGCCATGTCTCAAAGTATAATGGATGGTTTGATAGTTGGACTGTAGGTGCATCTACATTGTGGAATTAATGCAGTTTTGATGTCAGGGCTCAGTACTATGGAAAACCTTGGGAGTTATTGTTTTGCAAGGTCTTTTTACTTCTCTGCAAAAGAGTACTAGTGCTTCACCCAACTACTATGAGATGCACAGCTAATCTTAAGAAATGTGGCTACAAAGTGGAGTCCGCAACATGCGAATGTGGAGACTAGCGAACCACAGACCACTTACTACAGTGCAGTCTGAGCCCTACCACATACACAATGGGGGACCTTCTAATAGCAACAGCAGAGGCACTCAAAATGGCCAGCTACTGGTCAAAGGAAATTTAGTATAATTCCAAGTTTTTAACTTTGCTTGTGGTTTTTTTTTTATTTACATTATAACTGTATTCTCAATTTGCTTCTGACACAATAAATAAATAACCCAACTACAGCTCCCAGGAGACTGAGCTAAGGGTGCATCAGTGTTGTAGAATTAATGCAGTTTGACACCACTTTAAGTGCCATGGTTTAATGCAATGCAATCATGACATCTGTAGTTTGATGAGACATCAGGACTCTCTGGCAGAGAAGGCTGAAGACTCCTGTGATTCCATAGCATTGAGCCATGGCAGTTAAAGTAGTGACAAACCAATACACTGTGTGGAAGGGGCCCCAAAATATCAAGGCAGATAATCCACAGTATATGCTTTGAACTGGATTATCTGAGTCCACACTATCAATATGGATTTTATATAGCTGTGTGGAAGGGGCCAGAGAAAAGGACTACATAGCTGAGAGGCAAAAAGTGCAACATTTACAGAAGCCCCCTTCCTTTTTTCTTTAAAAAGCCCAGATAGCAAGTGATGTGACCTGTATGCCTGAGGGTGCATCTACACTGTAGAATTAACCCACTTTGACACCTCTTGGACTGCCATAGCTCAGTGCTAAGTAATAATGGAGTTGGTTGGGGAACCAACACCACAGGGCAAAAAAGCCTAAGAGCTTCTAAAACTACATTCCCCATGATTCCATAAATTTGAGTCAAAGTGGTATCAAACTGCATTCATTCTACCGTGTAGATGTACCCTGAGATCTGAGAGACTTCCAGATAGTCATGGCAAAGCCAGCCGTAATGAACTTGGCATAATTTTGGGTAATTGCTATAGATGAAGTTGTTCCAAGCACACAACGAAAAGTAGTATGCGGAAATGTTTGCCTTCTGGAAGGAGGAGACAATCATGTGTGTTATGCAAAATTGGCATCTATCCATGTTTGGATTTAAAGGTGCCACTGGCAGCATATGTTCCACTTGTGTTTCAATCCTTTATAGCACTATTCATATTATTTATATCCCATACATTTCAAGACTAAGTTTCTACTCCTGGATATCTTTACCAAGGAGTTAACAGCATTCAACATGAAAAATATAATCCCACATCCCACAAGGAGTAAGCAAAAGAAGAAGGTTCTAAGGTAGTACTATGATGGTTTTTTGGTTTTTTGTTTTTAAAAAGTCTCTTTGTAAACTACAAAACTGTGTGGCAAAGTACTGTCTGACTGCATAAATATACATGGTGGCAGTTCTAAAGGCTGATTATTTTAGTAGCTATAATAATTTTTAGGAAAATGTTAGCAATGCTTTATTGTTGGACAGTCTTTCCTAAGGGACATCCAGATCCAGTCTGTGTGTAAGGTTGTGTTACACTTTAGAATTATGGCTATGGGATCACAGAAATTGCACTTTTACAAAATCTTTAGCTTTCTCACTACTGGTTCACCCAACTACAAGTCCCAGCATTCAGTAACACTGAGGCCAACTAAAGTGAGGTTAAAATGCATTATTCTGCAGTGTAGATCCACCCTCAAGTGGTAGGTAATTTTGTTGGGCCTGGAATACAAAATAAAAAACCCAAATTACAGTCAGAAACACATCACACTAGAGCATGCATCCACTTTAAATCCAGCTTCTGCCCCCTGCAGAATTCTGGGGCTTGTAGTTTTTAGGGAGGAAGCTTGAAACTGTTGCAGCCACACATATAGGGGTGCAAACTCCCTTAACTCATCACCCAAGCCTGCCTTGTCCCTTATAGTACAACAGAGACTATAGTGAAGTCTTATGTCTATACAGGCAAGGGACTCATGTGGCTGTCCAGAGGTTGTTGAACTGCAACTCATGGTCCCATAATCCTTTATTATTGCCTTTTCTGACAAGATTTCCTGAGAGTAGCAACCTCTGGAGGGCTGAACAATTCCCACCTTTCATCTAGAAACTCCAGAAATTGCTTTTTGTTAGTATTGTTCATCTTTCCTTCTTCATATGCTTTTTTGTCTACAGCTGAGATTGAATGCATATCCCTGTGTGGACTCTTGGATGACTCAGCCCTGCATATTTAAATCTTCAAAACCAGAAGCTTTACCGAACCTACCCAAAGATGGGCCAGCTCATGTTTCACTTCTTACATTTACAGAAGAGGAGATAATGATCAAAGAAATGGGTAACTTATTTGATTTAGTTAAACTTGTTTTGAACTCTGATGTAACTCAGTTCATACATTCTTTGTGCAAACATGCATACAAGCCTTATGAAGGGCCATTTTTCATTGCAGAATTGTTGGGGTTCCTCAGCCAAAGTTAGTATAGCCAGTGGTGAGAGATTATGAAAGTTGTAGACCAGTCCAACCTCATTTTTGTCATGTAAATACACTGCTTAATCATCACCTTGGAAGAGGCCAAGGGCAAGCTACTGCTTTCAGTTGCTTTCTTTCACTGACTCTAGAGCAGGTTTGCACAACCTTTGGGCTCTCAGATCTGCTAGGGAGGACTTCCTTTCGCTCCAGCCACTGTCACAAGCATGATTGGCGGGGATGAGGGAGAGGGCCTTCTTGGTGGTGGCCCCCTGACTGTGGAGCACCCTCCCCAGATAGATTAGGCAAGCGCTGTCGCTGTCCTCCTTCCACAGGCTTTTGGAAATGATTAATCCCAGGCCTTCCTTGGCCATCAGCTAGGACCCTGCCCTACACTTTATCCATTTCCCCGGCCCTATACTAGTTCATTGCACTAGCCCTTGCACAGCCCTTTCATAGCTGACTAAGTCCACTTTGAAATTCCTGGCCATTAGTAATTGAATTCCTGTTTGATGGAGAAAACTGAAGCTGGTTTTAAATGTTTGTGATTGCTTTTTGTAGGATTTATGTTCATGTTTTTATAATGTTTATTTTTGTATGGCTTTTGTGTTATTTGGCAATGGGCTCTAAGATAATTGAATGTTTTTTGCCTATGTTGGAAACTGTACTGATTCTTCTTGGGCAGATAGAGTGGTGTACAAATAAAGTTTTATTATTATTATTATTATTATATGGCCCTCCAGCTGTTTTGGACTTCAGCTCCCAGGATTCCTGACCAATGGACAAGTTGGCCAGGGCTTCTGGGAGTTGGAATCACAAATACCCACAGGACCAAAGGTTGGCTAGCAATGTTGTTCCCAACAAGATCTGGAGCACCACATGTTTCCCATTCTAGCCTTGTGATAATATATTGCACATCACAATTCATTCCTTTAAGTTTATAAATTCTGTTTTTCCATAGCTGCTATCTCATTTTTGCCATATGGGTTTCTTTATTATTAAATGTCACTTTAAAAGTTGATGTTTTCTTT